TTCTCTAGGGAGGCTTCCTCGTCACTGCCATCATTAAGAAGATGATAATCAACTCTCTCGGAGCGAAGACGGCGCTTCCCAAGAGACATGGATAAGTCATCCATATTAAGAAAGAAGTTGCAACATATTGATATGCTTTGTATCTCTTAGAGCTCAAATCCTCTAGTTGGAGCATGTTGGGTAAACAAAAGTCGCGACTGCTGGGCATTCATTCATTGGCTCGGCTTTTGCCGAATAAGTCTTGGCATTATTTACGAATATTCGCGAATAATACGAATAAAACGTCTCGAAATTTAGTCGAATACGAATAATCGTTCCCAGGGAAAAGTCGAATACGAATAGCCAAAATCCTTATTCGTGTCCAGCCCTAATGGTCATGAATCCCATGATGTGCTCACTTGAAATAATGAAGTTCGTCGTCCCGCTAGCCGCAGTGGTGCTCCCGGCAATGACGGTGTCACCCTGAATCCCACCAGTGAAGTCGCTCGTCTGCTGCATGCTTTGACTCGGATGACCCAGATGCGAGGCAGGCGAGATGTTTCTTGTAGAGATCTATTTGTACTCAAAGTAGCAACTAAGGAGTGACCGGACGCCCGCGTTATGGCGCCTTGCCGTTTTATCAGTCCAGTCTTCGGAACTCATCAAAGTTGAGGCTCTGTGGAATATTTTCGGGCCGATACCAGTCGATAGCGCTCTCCAATCGAGTTTAATTATGTGGTCCATGCATGCAGCATGAAGCCGCAGTCCGCACTGCCGCAGCCTGTTGGTCAGCCTGGTCTGGAGACCACTGGGCACTGGCCCCGGCCCGCGTGCTTTGTGGCCGGAGGCCGGGGTTGACTCCGCCGAACATAGCCTCCGATGGAGCGTATATTGGCGTCTTGTCCTCTACCTTCTTTCCAACCCAGAAATTTACGAAGTTACAAGCTGTTGAAGGGCAAAGGAGGTGCCCAGACTGTCCTTACCGAACCCTCAACAGATGAGCTATTCTCAACGGTTGGAGATTATGGCCCTCAAACGTTATCCGTGAATGTTGATGACATTATCGAGTAAGCGATCTAGCATGTCTCAATATTTCCGCGAACCAGCAAAACCAGCATCGTTCTCGTCCACGGTTTAACCAGCAATCGCGAATCGACTTGGACCAACAGGACCGCCAAGGCGTTCTGGCCAAAGGATCTACTCGCGAAAGATCTCTACTCGCGGCTGTAAAGATGCTGGAATCTTACCGGTGGGATAATCGGTTACCAGCTTGTATGTACTACATACCAGAGTAGCCAATGTCGGGGCGATGGAGAGATAATACGTAGCGTTGCATGAAGAGTTCAGCCTTCCGGTTAGTGGACCGATTCTCTATTATGCCTTTGCCCCACGTGCTCTTGAATCCCAAAGGTTCTGTTCTCCGTGTTCTATTCTACGCGTCTTTTGCAGAAGACCACTATGCTACGAGACGAGCATGCGGCTCCTTCATACCAGAAATTTCACATTTGTGGAGCGCACTGAGGCTAAAATTCCGTAATATGTCATTCTATCTCAACCTGGGAAGCGGAGGAGGTTGCTCACGAAGATGTCAAGGCTGGGGTAGCCATTCAGCGGAAAGGCTTTGTGAAGTTGAGAGGCGCCTGCGATCAGGCGATAAGAGATGGGTACGACTGGATCTAGATTGATACGTGCTACATCGATAAATCTAGCTCGGCAGAGCTTCAAGAAGCGATCAATTCCATGTTCACATGGTATCGAGACTCGTATATGCTACGTGTATCTTGTAAATGCATCCATCCGCAGACTCGACATGGAACTATAATACCCGCTTGGGCGTATGCTTCGGACAGCGGTTAACGCGAGGAGTCTGTAATCACATTTAGTGCTTCGGTGGTGGCGACGTGGATGGCGTTTTTATATTCAAGTCAAAATCTGACAGCAATCGTTTGCATGGGCCTGTTGACATGCCTATTGAGATAGTGCCAATCTCTCTCAAATTGGACTGATGGGAAATCCTGGAGCGAGGAGTTAGAGTACCAATTTTCAGTCGACGTGGAGGGATGGACTTTTCAAGGTTCCTTGAGGATTCGGAAGGGGCAATAATCACTCCGGCTGCCGCACTCTCTCTATTGTTATTTCTGTGTACCTATAAGCATTGGTCTTTGGATACCGAACTCATACTTCTCGTCCATATCGAATCCAAGGTTGGAGTTGTTGAGTTTTTTTCGATGACTCAGGTTCGCAGGGCTGACGACCCCGATACAAGAGAGCATTTGTACCAGAACCTTGCAGACCGTTATCGCCCTCAACATACGACGGAAAGAGGCGATGGTGTTGAAATTACAGCAAACATTAGGCCAGCGAAACACTGAGGGCATTCGGTGGGCATGAGTTGGGTGGGCATGAGTTTGATGGGTTACGTGTACTTAATCCGAATTGAGGCAAGGGAATCAGGAGGGGGAAAGCGAGATGAGACCAACTATGCCAATGCGGAATTCTGGACTGGTGCGCCATGTTATGAAAATATAGAGGATGCTATTGCCAATGACCTGAGCAAGAGTCGGGTCCTAGGGCCCGAGTTTGGCTACTAACTTAGTTAGAAAGGATGTTATTATTGACCTAGCAATTCATGGGACCATCCGCAGACACACTACGCAGTCCAATCTCTCCACGCCGTCCGCTGTCCTAACATCCCCCTCCGAGTACATTTCCCACTAATCAAAAATGCCGCCGTATCATGCGGTCCGACCTCGACGCTATAGTCACCGAAATGGCAACCAAGGTCGTTCCCAGTCCACACATCAGTTAGCTTGTAGCTCGCGTCCTTCTCCAACCTAGGCACCTCGCTCCAGACAGCGGACCGCTTGGCCGCGCTCTCTCCCCAATTCGACATGAGGACCAAAATCCCGTCATTGGACTCTCCGGACCAATACTCCGCCGGCCACGTCGCATTGAACGTGTGATCCGGGTTCGTCCCCCACTTGTACGGGGTCGCCGGCTTCCCGATGACTGGGTCCTGATTGAACGCAAGGAGGTATTTGTTCTTCAAGATCTCGACATTCCCCGAGGAGATCTTCTTGAGGTCGGTGCCGATGAGCAGGGGCGACTTCATCGCGGCCCACAGTGCGAAATGCGAGCGCGTCTCCGCGGGCGTGAGGTCGCCATTGCCGACCTCCAACATATCTGCGTCCGAGTGGCCCCAGAAATCGGTGGTGTCGAGGTTGAAGGAGCAGAGGTTCAGGAGCTCGATAATGCGGCTCCATTTTGCTACAAGCCCAGGCCCTTAGTAAGTATTAGTGTGCCCATTTGTTATGTACAAGCGGGGAGCCCACACCCAAAGGTGAAGAAGAGAAAACACAAAGGAAGATTGAAGTTGCTTACACGTGATGTCACCAGTGGCTCGCCAACTCATGGAGGTCTCGTTGCCCCATTTTTGCACGCCCGCTGTTCCCCATTGGCAGAGGCTGTACAGGATGGTGCGGTCGGTGGCTTCGAGGGCATCGCGCATGCGACGGTAACGTTCGGCAGATTTGGATTTGCTCCAATCATAGCCAGCAGGGCATTCGTTTTGGAGGGTTGGACCTGTGATTGGATTTAGGGGCCGTGACAACGAAGATGGTAGCCCAACTGGAGGGTACAGTATGGGAACACACGAAAAAGAAACGGGTACTTACAGGTACCATTCGGGTATGGCCCATGTGGGGGAGTGGTTGAATCTGGTATGCAAAAGTTGCACTCATCCGCCCAGTCTCCCGGCACGTTACAGTTGTCATACTTCAAGTCTGGATCCCGGTTAACTTCGAAAATCAATTGCACGAGACGTTGGGTCTGACTCACAATCAATTTCCCACTCTGCGAATGTATCGGCGTCGACTTTTTCGTAATTCAGGCTCGCTGGGTAGCCTGCACATGTATGGGTACCAGCACTACTGTAGATACCAATCTTCAGACCCATGTCATGAATCTTTTTGGCAGTCCCAGCAATGCCCTCTGGGAAGCGTTCCGGGTCAGGGATCATTCGATCGGTATTGTTGTCACGGTGGGACTTGATGGACCAACAATCGTCAATATTGACATAATTGTAACCAGCCTCCTAAGGGATTATTAGCCACTGTCTCCGAAATAGGGTGTATTTATAGCATAAATACGAGGCTGCATAAGGATGTGGGGCGAAGATACCTTCAAACCCAGGTTGACGAGCTGTTCTGCTGCGTCCAGGAACTTCTTCTCGTTGATGTCGCAGAAGAAAGCATTCCATGAATTCCAACCAAGAGCTGGCAGACGTCCAGTCTCACCATCTTTGGCTACGAGTCCGGTTGCTGCTGGAAATGTGCTGAGCAGAGGCACTATTAGGGGCCACATTTAGCGTTGAAACTCTCGAACGTCTCGATTTGCTAGTATCCTCGAATACGGGCCGAGTGATGCAGAGTTGAAGCACTAAAATTTGGGGGCCGAGAAGTATCCAAATGAAAGCCAAGCGAGAATCGGAATCAGGCAACTCGACGTATTTAAAGAAAATGGGGGCATCCCTCCAGCCAGCATGTGGTAATTCCAAATGGACCATCGTCAACCGAATAGCGGATGGTGACCGAAACAGTGAAGCAAACGAATCTGCTGACCATGATCGGGCATTGGCGGACCTACGAAATTAACCAATGAAGGTCACTTACTTTGGTCTAAACCATCTTGTCCGGCCAAGCTCCTAGCCAAGTGTGGTCCGTCATCGGTTGGTTCCGCTGTGCATATACCGCTGGTGACAAGAAGGAAGGTGATTACCGCGCGAGCTGCCAGTGCGGTGAAGTTTGTTTGTTTTTGAGCCATGTGAGCCATACTGCAACCCCCTTCCGGACTTGCCAGGTTCTTAATGCAGATGAATAAGAGTGATATTTGACAATGCTTGGATGCCGAGCACGTTCTGCCCCGAACGACAATCGGAATGCAGTATAGAGGGTACTAACTTGGTGTACTTATTTGTACCTAGTGAGATCAGGATATTTCAAGGAATACGGATACCTGCATCTGATGTCGTATGAGTCGATGTTTCCGTCCGAAGCCTCAAAGGTAGTCGTACTTGCAAGATTAACTTGAATAGGTAGACAGCACCGACTACCAACTTATAATAAATCCGAAGACGGGTGACAATCTTAATGCGAACAGAGGATAAATCCGAGTTAAAATGGAGATTTCAAGCTTCCGTTCTGGCAAACCAGAGAGTAAGTCAACTAGCTCCGATCCAATGAAACAATGCAGCCACATCGGCACGATCACAGCATGAGAAATGCACAGCCAAGGATTGATCGGACTAAATGCTACACAATGAGAGCTGCGTAGAAGAATAGCGCAAGATGAAAGACCACGGGATTACCCAAACGGATGGCCGAGAGGGAAGGTGAAGAGGTAGCGTTAGGATTGGGACTTGGTATGTCTGACCCGACAGCGAACTAAGTAATAAAGAAAAAAGATGGCCGAAAGATCAACTGCCAGATGACTAGGTCGATAATGACTGATTTACCGTGACATGCAACGGACTCTTGAACTGGGGAGTAAAGTTGGAATGGTGAAGTGGTTCAAATAGAGTGTTGCGGGAGGCTGGGGAAGTATTGTCAATTTGTCGTGTGTGAAGAATGCGGGGAGATGTTTTGGCTCTGCCCCACAGTCTTGGCACTGGATACACTGGCGCACCGTTAGATAAATCCAGCCACCATCACGATCCTTGTTCTGGAGTTAAATGTCGGACATCACGCGGTTGTAAAAGGAAGTTGGATCGTTGATCATTCGCCAGCCGGGTGGTTATGGTTGTTGTAGGACCGATTTTGGTTGGAAGTGGTGTTTCTCTCGCATCTTTAGTAGATATCGAGTCGCAGTTACAACTTTTCGCACTTTCTCACATGGCTGTAGAAGAAACTTCCTCGTGCTTGGGCAGGCCAAACAATAGAAACCTCCGTGGATAGTCTCAGTTGAAGGCAAGAAGCCTGCTGGGCCCTCGAAAGTTGTGCCACAACTGAGAAACAACCACTGGAATGGATACAGTATCCGAGATCAACAGCCGCGTTGCCAATCCGTGGATAAAAGCGCCGTTCGTGTTCTACGACGTTCAGATGGCCCTGATCATCGCATTCGCATCGTCTCATGCAGATGTCGTAATACCAGTTAGTCGCCACCACAATAGCACAAACATTTGCTAGCTCGACTGTATCGTACACACAATTTTGGGATTAAATGTCGCTGGCAACCATCCAATAGGATAGAATTTTGACTTTTTGAGGACTCAGTCCTAACAGGCCACGGCGCCGCGGGCGTTTGATCCACACGCCCTCATCGTGCGACACGAGCGACGCAGATCCGTTCGAGAACTAGCTGCTAGATGCGCCCGGAGCAGATAGCTCGTGATGCCGAACGAGGACAGTGGGACATCTTCTAACGTCTAAAGAATATCATCATCAGACCGGACCGCGGGACTGTGGCCAAACTGGAGTCTGCGCAAAGCAAACGGGTTGGATATGGGCACCTTCGGATGTCTTCCAGCGGAGAGAATAGGGTAGATACTGCTCTGATGGATGTTTAAATAGGTGATGACTCATAAGAAAATAACATGGACAAGTAGGTAGAGTAATGAAAAGAATTTTCAGTCGTATAGCTCGTTTGACACCAGAGCAAATGACCGGATTCAAACGACACGTCGGAGATAATTGATATTGATTGTCTTTCCCGGGGGTTTCTGCACACCGAATTCTGGTAGATACACATAGACATACCTTAGCTGTGCACCAAGAAAAGGCCAATGAACATTCCCAAACTCTGCAACGGAGGTTTCCAGATGGGCAACGATACTGAGAAAGATCAGTAAGGGTTGGACCCTGAATCGGATAGAACTCCTGAAAAGGATTAGCGTTTCCGGAATCCATAACTCCGAATCGTCCCATTGGATGGACTCCGCGGGTTCCTGGACCAAACCAGAGAAAATTTAAGAGCAGTCCCTTGTCCTCCAACATCGAAATGTTGCGAACTGAACCGACATCGAAAACCAACATCGTCGTCTGCTGCCACCATGACGGGACAAAATTACTACGGCTCTTCCGCGCCGCCCGCCCCCAAACACCCATATTACCCTCCCGACATCACCCTCAGGGGTTATATCCCGAACAGCTATGATGTCCCGACCCTGCTCCAACTGTTCTCACTAGCATGCGGGAGCGTGTTGTTGACCGCCATTGTGCTTGCGAAATGCAGCATTAAGTCTCTGCGAACGGGACAGTTGGCGGCGATAATGTGGTTCACGCTATGTACGTTTGAAAAGGCGAGGGGAAGATCTAGGAGTGGGAGCGGAAACTGACGGAATTATAGGCGGGTGTATACATCTATTCTTCGAGGGATATTTCGCGTATAACTTCAGGCGCATGCCCGCGATGATGGACCTTTTTGGACAATTGTGGAAGGAGTACGCACAGTCAGACTCCCGGTACTTGACGTCGGATCCGTTCGTGCTGTGCATGGAGAGCATCACTGCTGTATGTCGCTCCGAATCCCCCTAACATCCGCACCGGCTTTCTGTATCGGATGCTGACTTCCTGCTCTCTAGGCCTTCTGGGGTCCCCTCTCATTTCTTCTCACCTACTACATCGCGACCGATCACCCCCTGCGACATCCCTTCCAAATTATCGTTTCCCTCGGCCAACTATACGGGGATGTGCTGTACTACAGCACCTCCATGTTCGACCATTACATGAAGGGCCTGATGTACTCCCGTCCGGAGCCGTATTACTTTTACGGATATTACGTCATGATGAATGCCCCGTGGATCGTGATTCCTCTTTGTACGTTCGACACCAACATGTGAGACATGCAACAATGCTGACCGGTTCTAGACCTCATCTACCAAAGCATGGGTGTATCTTATAAGGCGTTCGGGGCGCTGAAGAACACCGAGACCGTGACGATCAAGATCCAGGCGAATAGGAAGGCCGTCGAGTCGAAGAAGGAGCTTTAGTCACAACGGCACAGTTATACCAACTTTCAGGCCATATTTGAAACGCACCTTGTAACATAATTATTTGAGTGAGACTGACCAACCAGCGTCGAGTACACTGTATACCTATCTAATGCCAAATGATTCCATACCATCCGCTGCTCCAGCCTTGCATAACTTTTGCGCAGCATGCTTCAAGCCCTCTCACTGCCCAACTTGGCTTATTGTCCCTTCTAATCAGCACTACTATGGTAGGAAGTCAGGCCACCCGCAGCAAGGCATCCATCACGCACACACCGGCCGTAGTGGTCGTCTGTGGTCCCCTTTGCTGCTCGCACGGCCAGTTCTGTTTTCGAATCCCTAATCTTCCCCGGATTCTTGAGGGAAGTCCGCTAGCAGGGGTTTGGTCAGGATTCCGGGGATCTCCCCGGACAAATCCCCACGGCTTCCCGGATGTCATCGGGATTCGAATATTCGATCATATTCTCAAGACTCAATCATATGGGAATTCCTGTTGGGTATCGGTAGATAAACACGTCCCCTTTGCTGCTTGGACTTTGGAGTGCCTTAGACGCGTCAGAAAATGCTACGAACGAGTATTTCTAAAGCGCTTAAGGGACCAAATTTCGGCGTCCTACAGCCTATCGTTTAAGCACCTCCTTGGCCGGATTTATGCCCCGGAATTAGGGCCCTGAACTACCCATGAGCTGGGCCTAGTATTATTGCATATTTCCAGGACATTTTCCTCTTATCTTTCGTACTTAAGGTAAGCCATTGGAACCCCTTAAACAGGCAGTTCGATACCCTAAACAGTAAACACAGATGGTAAGGTGCCTAAAAGTTGCAACACTGCACGTCATGTGTTTGGGGAGCAGGGAGGACGTTGATTTGGCGATACACACTCCTCATCGCCAACCTTCTCTGTGGAGCTGCTCCACTCCGCGCAGTACGAACTAATAAGTAATAATGCATCATAGTTCCACGGGAGTGTTTATTCCGATACCATCAGAGGTACCGCTCATCGGCTCGAAAGAGATACCAAGGCTGACAAATAGTCCCCTGAAATAGTGCTTACGTGCGAGCTCGTATCTGGGGGGCCGAAAAATCAGCATGGATCTTACGATACGCGACCTGTGAACGGATTCGCCGTTCGCTTCTGGAATTCTGGTGACGTATATAAACCCCAGCGGAGGACTCCGTGATTATTTATTATTATTTGATCTATTTAACGCCTGGTTCGGTCCCTATTACGTGATTATTAAATGAGGGTAGTCAGCAGCATATTTCGTCAGCATATTATCGAACCTAAAGCGTGGAGAGACCCAAACCGTGTAATTCTATCATCCGTCCATTATTCAAACATCCACTCAAGAATCTCACCGAACGATCACGACAAAATGGATCTCGCACAAATGAAAAAGATATTCAACATGATGGCGGAGGATTATGAAGAACAATCCATGTCCACAACCCGCAATATCTTCAAGAAATCCATCCAATACCTCCCACCCATTACCTCCTCTAGCGTCATCCACGACAATGCCTGCGGTCCCGGAATCGTGGCGGAGGAAGTCATGCGCGAATTCCTGGCTGCCCATCCAGGGGAATCACCGCCAATCATCCACGCCACGGACTTCAGCGACCGCATGGTGGAAATGACCGCGAAGAAGGCGCAAGACAACGGGTGGACAAACATCAAGGCCGCCGAGATGGATGCGCAGAACCTTGAGGGACTGGAGGACAACCTCTTAACGCACTCCATCACGAACTTCCTCATCCCCGCGCTGCCGAATCAGATCAAGGGATTGAAGGAGATCCATCGTACACTCAAGCCAGGAGGAACGGCGTACGTGAACTTCTGGACGTCGACGCAGATGATCTTCACGGTGTCGAGGACCATTCAGCGGGCGATCCGGCCAGACTTGCCGTTATGGCAGGAGGGGATCAACCCGTGGTTGGAGAAGGGCAAAATGGTGGAGGCGTTGAAGGAGGCGGGGTTTACGGGGGAAATAAAAGAGTACTTCGTCGAGACCGACTGCCCGACGAATGATTTGGAGGAGCTGGTGGACATGTTTAAGTGGAAGTTCTTTGAGGCGATGAAGGTCGGGTGGACGGAGGAGGATAGGAAACGGTGGGAGCCGGAATCGAGGACGGCGTTGGCCGAGATGTTGAGGACGCAGGGGAAAGGGCCCTTCAACGCTTGGGTAACAGTCGCGACGAAGTGAGCCTGGGAATAGGATTTGGTTGTGAGCCTCTGTGGCACGGCTAGATGCGAGTGCTGACTGAAGAGGTTTGAAATTCGTTGTTACAATTACCATTCGTATACCTCATCCGCGGAACGGCTCCGTAGTCCGATTTCAACTCTTCATTCGTGCTGATGCTTGGTGGTCAATCCTCAGTCCGGGATCCCCAACCGCTCTCTTTCGGTCCCAGTGTCAACTCCAGCACATTCCTCCCATGAAGAATGAGTGGCCAATCCAGTTCTTCGTATACGGACACCCTTCAGAGTCGCTTTCTGGATGTAGATATTCTTGTAAGTCGGGTCGAAGTTGATGTTCCTGACCGCCGATACATTTCTCGTAATCGGATTCGTAATCGCAACTTCTCGAAAGAACGGAGGAATGATTAGATAGACATCTTGTCCTGCGTTGGGAAATAGTCCGATCATTGTTAGGACCACAAAACTGCCGATGGCGGTTGTGGACCCTCCCCATGGAAGTTCACTAGGCTCCAGAGAAAAGGCACGAGGGATGTAGTGGTGTGCCCGCTTCGATGAAAGGGCTGGACGCCCTGCATAATGGTACTGGAAGACTGAGAGAAACGACGCTGCGCTGTCCATAGTCATGAGTTTGGAGTCATGAGCGTAGCCGAGGCGACGGACGAATTGCTTGGGACCACCTAGCAAGGCGATGAGAGCCGCTTGGTCATGAGGAACGTAGCTGGTCGCTGATAACCACCTCTTGTCCTGATGGTGACGGCGTTGGCGAAAACCTTACAATGAATATTTCCAGAGACGGTCAGGATCCGTATAGCACCAGGTCCCATTGCGGTATCTGGGCTGGAAGAACCCCAGAAACCCAGTAGTAGACAGGTGGGTGGTCGACGTCTGGTTAGGTTCGAACAAGTTTATCCAGTACGTGCTCCTTTGGAGATACCGCTCGTAGTCTTCAAGGTGCCCCCTTTCTCTCGCAAACTGTGCGATAATGAAGTCCCTGTAGCTATATGCGAGTGTTTTGGATATGCCTCGCGAGGAACCAAGCAATATATTGTGTTCGGAATCCTCAGCAGGTATGTAGCCGAGCCTTTTCCGGTTGCCGAGTCCACCTCTTCCCCGACAACCCCGGTGGATTCATTCTTTCTCAGCATCTTTGACAATCGCAGCGTATCCAGTCTTGAAGTCAATCCCGTTGCGAGGTTCCTTTAGGAAGCCGTCAACTAAAACAATGTCGGCACCATATCCGCTGTGCGTGCAGCCCAAAGAAAGACTCATATGACAATCAGGCAGCCAGCCTTCTTCGCTGTACATATCTAGCACGCTCTGGATAATTCCAGCTGTTTCCTCGGGATCGAGAATCGTCAACAGAGAAAGATGAGTCGAATAGGAAACCGATAAGCAGAATGAATCGAAATAAGGTTTGGGATCCGGACTGGCTACCGCTAAGGTCGTAACTTCGCTGTACTTCTGCGGGTTCACAAAGGCACTGTAGATTCCAAGCCAGAAAATCCTTAGTAACGATCCATCGACTCCCTTGTCGTCTACATAGATCGTATCCAGCTTCATCGTCCAAGTATCCATCGCAGCACCGTGCGCAACATCAAAGTTGAATTCTGGAATCTCCGTCTCGGCATCCTCGCATGCTTTCGCTTGGCTGAGGAAGCTTAATCCCATTCTCACTGAGATCGGCTCATGCCTTGGACTCTCAAAATGTACCCAACCACCACCGGGGGGAGCCGCGCCATTTGAGTCTTGAAGTATGGTCAGATTACGGGCCCTGGGAGTAGTGACTGAGCCGAAATAAGTTCCAAAACCTCGGATCCGGACTAGATCAGGGGGGCGGAAGTCTGCACAGAAATAGACGGTATATTTGCGAGCTCCGAGACGGGATATGAACTCTCCTAGGCCAGTTAACCGTGGTAAATTTTGGTTTGATACCGATATCATGGAATTGCCTTGACAGGAACCAGATAGGTCGCTCAAATCCAGCTGGATCACCAGATGATTGGGTCCGCCATGATCAGATACTGTAGGGAACATGAAACAGAAGAGAGCCGCATGTGCAGTAGCCGTCATATCGACGCGAATCCCGGATGCAAGGGTCACGGAAAAATATCCAGGAATAGCTTGGATTGTGTCTGGATAGTAATTCACACGGCGATGATGCTTCGAAAAATCGCATTTCTCGATATCGCCGGCTATACATCCATCGAAAGGAAAGAGAGGAAAGTTCGCCATGGACATCGGAGGTCCGACACCCGCACCATGGAATGCCGAGAAACCGGTGATGCAGTTATCGTTTGCTCCGTCCATGTCAGCCACAGCCTTAACCATTCCGAATGGCAGAGTCGCGCCAGCGAAGACATTTCCTATAGCAGTTGAGCTAAGAAAGAAATATAACCGAATTTTCCCGTACCTTGTTCCAGGCTCACAGCCAGCGGCTCAAGATAAACGAGGCCGTCGGTTGCAAAAGTAGGTGGACCGACAACTGCAATAATAACCAATCCAGCCAGAACGAAAGAGGCGAAAATCGGAATATTATAAGCAAGCTCTCTGCTCATTTTGCTAGCATAATTAGAAGCAGAGATTTAGGGATGGAATGAAAGACTTTGACTACAGATCTTTGATCCGCACGCATTGGTGTACAAGCGGAAACCGCGTCCTGGATTCCCAACCCATACTATATGGTGACATCTCTGGACGGAACGACATAACATGAACTGGAAAGCGAAGAACCGAAAGACGAATACTTGGAGCATGAAATTGGAGATAATTTTAAGTTCAAAAGGCAGTATATTTCATCTTCTGTCCAAAAAGTCCAGCCCCGGGTCGACATATTAAGCAAAGATTAAAAGTTCAGTCGCACAGATCGACATGGTGTGGGCAGAGGGGATTGCCTTGCTTCTTGCCAACCGATATTAGTCTGGGACTGCGCATCCAATAAAGCAAATCTGAATAGCTCAACGGTCCAGATGAATGAATTTGACATTCTTGCGCTGCGCTGCTATCAATGCATATGGATAGTTATGGATATCGCGATTAGGGAGTGCTACGATGAAATGTCCGTCCGAAGATGTGGCGCGATCATGAGGCGGTTAAATTTTCTAGCCATAATTTCAGCAAATATCGCATATTACCAGGTTTTGAAAACCAATGGTATCAGCATTCCAATCCAAATGCGAGATGTAGAGATCGAGGAACTGGATTGGAATCCCGAAAGTCAATATCTGGATGTGGTCACGTGATATAGTTGGCCTGAGGTCAAATCACAGCACTGCGCTGCAAATCAGGCATCCAGCAACCTCACATAGATCCCAGCCCAGCACGACAACATCCACGCACTGACTATCTGATGTCTTACAGTATCCATGAACCATTCATACTGCTTCACTTTTATCCTTCCATCATTGCTGCCAGAGACTTCGAAATATACTGGCCCATGACTCCAGCCACAGAGGTGTTCACTGAGAAACCACACCATTTTGCGCTTCTTTCATCCTCCCTCCTCTCTCACGCAGCGGGGGTGTTGGTCATTCCGCAAACACCCTCCGCACAATGTCGGCCGGCGCTGTGGTTGCGCGACCATCGCAAACCCTCCGACAGCGTCGTGAGTCTCAGCGCGCAAGTGTAGCACGATCATCGGGTCGAGGCGGAACTGCAGAAGCGCCAGATCAGCTCCCAATTCGAGATCCCGAGCCTCTAGGTATACCGCGCACACATGACACCAGCACGTATACGATGGAGATGCTAACCATCATAGTCAAAACCGCCGATCACATTCTACGCAAGTTCAAAGGAAGCCGGCCTTCCCTCATCGTCCATCTACACCCGACGAACTGGCGATTCGATCAACAAGATGGCAACTTCGGATACAACTCACCTATGAATATCTTCCTCAAACATTTACGAGACGGAACTGTTCCTCATGACATGCTTGAAGAGCTTTTTGCTGCCGATGTTCCCTTCTATGATGGATGCCTCATTGTCGAGGTTCATGATAACAAGTCCAACGCGAGCAAATCGCAGAACGGGAATACGAACTTGGTCGGCGGCAGTACCATGGTTCCATTTTCTATCCACAACTGGAACGAGCATATCACTCCCTCTCCTCATGTCCCTTACCCGAAACGTCCAGTCAATACCACCGCAAAAGATGCCAATAGACCGCCCACGGCCAAAGGCGCCTCGAAGGATGCGGAGGACAAAGAAAACATGCCCGCTCCTGGACAACCTGCCTCAGCTGCGCAAAAGTCGCCTGCCAAAGGACGAATCTTTACTACCGTCCTCTTCCCTACACAAGTGACATGCCATGAAGAGGTCGGTATTCTGTCTCGAACACCACATAGCGAAGCAAAGGGTGGTAAGAAACAACCAGGCGGCAAAGATGGTACGACCGCAGGCATGCACCCTCCTACGCCATTGGCTTCGATCCCCCCTACGCCTATATCCAATAGAGGTCCAAACGCGAAGAGACAGAAGATGTACCTGGAAGGCGATGAAATTCATGAGTTCGAGGCAGAACTCCTCCGAAATACCGAAGTTAGCCTCCTTCTCGAACCTGCCAAGGATTTCCGTGAAGCTCAAGCGATGATTGAATCGATGTCACATCCTCGACATTCGTATCCTCTTCCTGAGCGGAAAGCGCGGAAGCGGACAGAGAGGGAGATGGCTGCGGACGAAGCAAATGCCGCAGAACAGGAACGATTTATGCTTCTGGGTGACGAACGACTTAATCGATCGGTTGCAGATGGTAGCGCCGCTGAAGGCCAAGTTGGCGGCGCGTCGTTCGAGCCCTCGTTTAACCGCTTCAAGAGATTGGAGAGCATCAAGATGGAACACCAGCGCAAGCAACAGCAAAAGAAGGAAGAGGAAGCCCGTGAGGCAGCCGCCCGGCATCAAGTAAATGAAGAGAAATCTAAGAAAGACCGCGAGGATCAAGCACGGATCCATCAGCAGAACATTGCGGCGAAGCGAGCGGAAACCCAGCACCTCTTGCTTCAGCAACAACAGCAACAACATTTGGCTCAGCAACAGCAACAGCAGCACCTCCAAGCACAGAACGCATTGATACAAAAAGCCCAGGCTCAGTCATCTCAAGCCCAGCAAATGTCCCCTCGCCTGGGAGCGATGACATCTATGGGAATGGCGAACTCTCCAGTCATTGGAGGAGTAAACATGACATCTCATGGCCTCGCCAGTCATCCGATGGCCGCCACCTCTTCCGCTCAAGGGGCAGGAAGCCCTCCTCGTCCACCTTCTGCCGTTTCCCATCATCCGAATGCCCAGCCAATGGCTAGACAAGTTAGCCAGGCCCGAAGCCAAGCTGGAGCCTCTTCACATGCAACACCGCAGATGGTCCATAGCACACCGAATATGAACCAGGCGATCCCCGCCAGGAACATGACTCCTCAACCTCGCACTAGCATGTCACAGGGGTCTCCCGTCAACATCCAAGGGACTCCAATGATGAACCGTGCCGCCACTCCGCAAATGGGGGGCCAAACTCATCCTAGCGTGCAGCCATCCCTTCGTGAGCAGCAGCTACAGAATGTGCAGCAGCAAATGCGTCAGCAGCATTTGCAAGGCATGGGCGGACAGCAAAGCATGGGCGGACAGCAAATGTCTGCTGAACAGGTTCGAGCAATGGCAATGGCTCGTGCACAACAATTGGCCGCTCAAGCTGCCGCGCAGCAGCAGGCACAACAGGCCCAAATAAGCCAAGGTCAATCCCCAATGCACGCCATGTCCCCGACCCATCCACACGCCCAAATGGGAACACCTCAACCAGGACAACCCCAAGGTGCAAATATGAATACGCTGGCATACCAGCAGGCGTTGCGGCAACAAGTTCAGGAACAATTGCGCACTCAGCAGCAGAGGGTGCAACAGGAGCAACAGATGGGCAGCAATCCGCAAACACCGCAACAGGCAACGCAGCAAGTGCCAGGGATGAACGTTCCCCAAGAAGGGCAACAAGGAGACCCGCAGAAGACGTTTATGTTCCAAAGAATCCGCAAAGCTGCAGCCGACAAATATCTCCAGCTGGCTCAACAGCACCACGGAAACGTCCCTCCGCCTATTCTGCGACAGCTGGTCTCCGCGTTCCAGACCGAACTGCTCAAGCTGGGTGCATCGCAACAGATGGCTCAGAATGCCATGGGAATCCTGCAGAGCGCCGTCCGTCAAGTACAGCATCAGCATCAACAACAGCAGCTGCAAAACCGCCAAGGCCAAAACGCAGCGAACGTGCCAAACATGCAAAACATGGGCGGGAACGGGATGCCCATGAACATGAACCCTGGAAACATGAGCAACGCGCCGGGCAACATGAACATGGGCAATATCCCCAGCAACCCGCCGATGAACAATATGGCCATGAACCCCATGCAGATGCAACAACTCCAGAACATGCCGCAGGAAGCGCGGGAGGCATACATGCGCCAAATCCAACAAACCCGGCAGCAGCAGATGCTGCGGATGCAGCAAGCCCGCGCGCAGAGCCAGGGCGGGATGAATATGGGGATGAGTCAAGCCGCTGGACAGAATATGATGGCCATGGGCAATATGCCTAACATGGGAATGCAGGGGATGCAGAACATGGGAAACATGAACAATATGGGAAATATGCACATGGGACGGGGGATGCAGTAGGGATGATTTAGGGATCGGCGTCGTACTGGGTCGGAGGATCGGATTCATTCGAGTTTATTAGGTGCACTAAGCATGGTGTTAGGGAGCTTAATTTTGCTTTTCAAGCTACAGGCTTGCTTTAATTCTTCAATTATCATGTAGGAGTTGTAGTTTGACGGTCGGCTAGCACCAGATCTCTTCCTGCTGCTGGGGGTTTTCTTAGATACCCAACGGCCTGCATCTTATCGATTTGATGGAACGTAGTAATCGAGATTGTGATTGTTTCCTGGAGAGGATTAGTATATAACATGTTAAACGACTCCTCAAAAATATTCTTATCCAGTTCGCAAGAGGACTTGTATACAACATATTGAACGACTCAAATGTAAATTTACGCTTTCAGTTTCGCATATAACTCCAACTGCATGTGACTAGGGTTCTTATCACTAAAACTCCCACCCTATATTACATCCTTGATTCCGTTCATTCACTTTCATAATAAAGGTCTGCTGATACCCAGGGTAGGGCGGCTACTAGCAAGAGAAATAATATCGTTCATCCCGGCTCCTTCCCCCGGAAAACCCGAATATATCACGGCGTAAGTATCGTTAGTCTGAATATATATATATTCTTGAATGATACAAGCAGATATCGGGTGTTATTCAGCAACAAGAGCGATCGCTCCTGGGACAGGTGGTATACATCTCAAAGATTGGCACTGTGAAGACACATTTTCTTGTTGACATCCCAGAATAAAAGCCATGCTCCAGTGGCAGACCGAAGGAGTCTTGAATGCGGTCAATGTGCCTGCAGCTGCAAAATGGCTCTGCAGAGGGGAATAGAGGTGATAATTCCTACACTAGATGTCGCAGAGCCAAATTAGTCCCTAAGAAAGCCAAAGCTAGAAAAGAAATTGAGAGGTAATTAGGCATGAAGAGTGTACGTAGACAGAACCAAGAGCCTTAAAATGGTACCGTACAACAGGAAAAGGCAGTTACGCACAATGTTCTCCTCCAATTGGTTCTAGCGTCAGTGGTTCAATGTTGATTGTGACCTTGGTCTTGTCTACCATCCTCAAGTGATCTGAAGGCGCACAGTTGTGAAGCATCACTTCAATTCTGCGGAGTCCTCACTCATGGCATTTTCCATATAATACAAATCGACCTCTCTCACTGAACCCACTGAAAATCCCCACTGATCTCATTGCGCACAGAGTTATGCACATTCGGAAGCATGAAATATCTGTCCAGTGAGTACTAGGATTGCATATCTGGGATATTGCAGCTAACCAAGTCCCGCAGCATAAAATGAATCCAAAGCGAATTGTAAGGCACGCAATAACAACGACGGCTACGTCACTAACAATTATGAAGGAGGAGATGAAGGAATGGTCAGACCTCCTGATTCGATACAAGAAGCACCTCAAGGATACCGACAGGAAGGGCAAAGGGATCTATGATGCACAACAATCATTGGCACATTCCATGTATCGAGTTCGACACCAGGCTCTTCTTGAGCAAGACCGTGCTCAGCCCTCGAACCCGAACAACGAAGTCGAACGACTCGGAGCAAAGCTGGACAACTTACAAGCAAACTATATGCAGCTTATACAATCGCTGAAGTATGAGAGAGACCAATGGGCATGGTGGAGGCAATTGATCGCTTATGTTGAGCACGAAATGGGGGTCCTGGAGCTGCAAGAAAGAAGTTTGACACAAAAGCGGTTCGTCGGTGCGCCTGGAAAGAAGCTCTACATCTGTGTCAAGTCCGAGAGGGATGGTTCTTCATCCTCGGCGCCACCGGAGAGCTGAACCAGTTAGGGGCAAAGAGTGGTCCTCAAGTTGCAGGAACTCGTCACCACTCAGACCGTGATCGGGCCTGCTACGAAGGCTTTTGTTTCTCGAGGGACCTGTATGGAGTTATGTTAGTGATACTGCTTTACAACAGTAATGTCAGCGTAGCACTCTAAATTGGTAGCTCAGCGGAGCAGTCCGGTAGCTCGTTTCTCGTGTTTCCGTCCTGACAGTCAAAGAACTCACTCCGGTCGTCCTTGAGACGATGACATTCTATTAGCATCAATTCATATATATCGGTTCGAATGGATTTTTTCTTTCTTCGTTGGTAAGCATAAAGTTTCCTGAAAAACCTACCAGGGGTCTACGATTCTGGAGCTACACCTAAAAGGTTGGCTGGCTGCAGCAGAGGAGACCAGACGCTGAGGACGGAGACCGTGACGTCGACGACATTAAAATCTGAATTATGTACAGTCTGTCTAGCTCGTCTAAATCTTCCATCAATGAGCAATCCCCATTGCCCTCTCAGTATCCCATTGCAGTGTGGTGGCATTTTGAGGGCGGAACCCAGGTGATGCCAGCGATCTTGGAAGACCCGAGCGGTCTCTACACCCGACACCTCAGCATGATAATAGTATCCTACGATTTTGTCTTTGGCGTACGGTTATTTCTCCTCCTAACCGTATATGTGGCCGGCTTCAACTCTTAAACCTAATACACTTGTGTTTCCAGTCTGGAAACCCTCAGTGATTCGGATCAACCCTATGTCTGTCGATCGCCAGCTCCGCACTGGGTCCGACTACTTCTCCATTCGGCATGGTGAGAACAACAACGGTCTGTATCGGGCGTTGTATATTGCTAGGGGCATGCCGCCCGAGATACAGCCAAAGGTATACCAGAGCTTGATTGCCACCCAAGGATAGATTTGCTGAAACAAAGCGACTGCATCTCGATCGTAGCTGATATCGGGACACAAGTGCAGTGAATAGAGTGGACGGGAGGTATAGGCAATGTAGAATCTTCGTGGCCACCGTAGTACGGGAAGAGCTGAGAGGTTGCTGGCTAGAGTTGAAGCATTTAAGAAGATTTAAAGGAGGCACCGGTCCTATTCCCATCTTCGTATAGTCTTGTATACCGTGCTTTCAGCGTCGTTGAGCTTCTCTGCCACCTCCCGCTTGATTTTTCCACTGGATATGCCCTCTAAAAGCGCAGCTCTTTGAATTTCAATTAATTCGACATTTATTCGTCGATTACCACTAATTTCAGCTCCGGATGATCTCAATTTGATGATTCGTAGGGCAATATCCTAGCTAGCAAATCGTACGAGAAGTTTCGAGAAGTACTGGCAAGTAGGATACAGGTATCACCTTTGGATTTGCTACTGGCTTTGATCGTGAGATTCAAGTGGGTAACTACGTCGCAATGGGATCCCAAGGGAAGGGATATTTGAGAGAAGTGATCCATTTTTGTTTAAAATACATAATTGGATGGACTGAAGCACTCCTGGAAGGATCAGAGAATCCGATGCTCAGCCGGGGGTCACTGTTCTTCAGTCCGTCGCCGATATTCCCACTGACACTTCGCGCTGCAACATGTTCCAGCCCTTAATCCACAATCTTGGTGCTCTTTTAATCCTTCTGGCTGTGATCAACTGATCTCCACCTGGAAGTTATCCTATCGTACGGCCCAATCGCAAAGAAACTCTCTCTTATCCACCCTGTGCTGGAAATATCTCCCGGAAGCGCATGGTGGTTGCCAGAATTCCTCCTCGACTCTACTTCGCCGGGGGATTGACGCTCAGGTGACGCATCTCCGCCCCCTTCCGGGTCTCTTGGCTCCACATGATCGCGTCGATGACCTCCTTCTCCGTCGCAAACATGAGCATCCTGTTGATGAAGATCTGGGCTTCCTGCTCCCTCAGCATGTTCTGAGCCTTCACTGCGCGAATTCCTTCGTTCCACCACGGCTGGCTGGCGATGTCGGGCTGCATCCAGTAAAGGGATTCGGCATATGTTGGGACGTGCGGGAATGGGCCAACGGTGCTGAGGACTGGGGTGGGAGGAGCAGAAGGGTCGTCAAGGGGGTTCGAATGCAGAGGCGCGGAATGCATAGGCGCGGAATTCATCGGCTCGTGGGCCGTTGCGGACGGCAGTGGAATGCCGGGTTGTTGGGTCGCGCTGGTAAGCGGTGCGGAGTTCAAACCACTTTCAATGGTGCCAGTGGCGGAATTGTGGTTGGCCGCCGTGCCGTTGGGATTGACTCCATTCCCAGTCATTGTCCAATTCGACATGAGCATTCCAGCACCATGCGCAGCGGTTCCACCTCCAGTGTTAGCCGAGTAGTGAGGAGTGTTCAGAAACACTGGCGGCTGGGATGGGTCATTGAAGGGCAATGGAGCAGACACTGGACCAGGGTGCGCATCTGCCTCACCCCGCATGATTGCGTCTAGGTCGATCGGGGTGAAGGGCTTCTTTTGCGCTTCTGTAGCTCTAGTATTTGGAGTGTTGATAGAGAGGGAAGCAAATCCATTGCCAACATCGACGATCTCGGAGGTTCTGTCATTCGGCACAGCGATCTTACTCGGGTGTATGTACCGGTTCCCATCAGTTCCGCGTGGCAGGAATGGGTACATGCCCTCAAGCCTAAGAAGGCGGGAGACCACGGTGGCCATCTCCAGCGTATACTTGTTCTGGACTTTCTTGACCTCGCCATGGAACCGCTTTAGTTCACTAAGTCGGTAGCTGCTACGTGCTGCCGCCTCCTTGTAAGACTCCGCAGTCCAAGGGTTGTACTTAGGATCGTGGAGGAGATTATTGATGGCATTATGGACCATACCAGCAAGCTAGATTATGTTAGTCTAAGATTCTATGATGAAAGGAATTATAAAGGATGCAAGGATGATTGATAGGACTGATGGACGATGTGGAGCAATGTTATTGCATGATGCACGGTCCCCTCTTAGCCCAGAACAAACAAAGGTTGCCCACTCCAAATGGAACCAAATGATCACAAGTGCCAATCAGTGCAGTGATTAGATAACTTGACTTACGGCTTTCACGTCAAGCGACGCTGGATCCATGGCGGGGGGGTATTGCGACAGCGGTGAAGGTCGACCTGGGTAGACTTGGGGGACTGCAGCTAGTGTCTGTTAGATTTGGTGGTGTTTAAAGTGGCAAGAAGAAAGTAACTTACGAGTCTGAGTCTCGGGGTTTGTGGGGTCGACCATCTTGCTACGGTGTTGCGGTGATACCCATGCACAGGTCACGCGATAGGAGTGATGAGATTAGATGGAATGGTTTTTGTGTCGGGATGTTGAAGATAAAGAGTGAATCGTGAGAATGGAGAAAATGTGACTTTTAAATGCAGCCCTGAGAATCCGCGTGGCCCGCCATCTCGTTGTCGTTGTTGGCCATGACGCGAGTGCAGCATTTTGGTCGAAACTCACCATTTTGATAGAAACTCAGCCAGAACTCAACCAATATTGATTAATATTTTCTAATTTTTATGGGATAGCTATATCATTATGTCTGATTATAGTTATTCTAGCTTAATCGGTTTCTTTCCAGTGTTCGTGATTGATTGTGATGTTAGCAGAGAGCGTAATGTTGCACCGCCACCCCCGGCCATTCAGCTGACGATGGAACATACCCTCAGCTTCCTCGTCCCATATCAATGCAAGTGCTCTTTACCTATGTGTAACTGCATCTAACCCACCACAAAATGCCTCTTCCCGGTCCCTGAACTTCTGCTGCTCATTCGTCAACTCGCTCTCCTCCTTGCGAGTTTTCTCCTTTGGGAGCTTTTCCAACTTGGCTTTGAGGATTTCCCTTTTTCGCCAGATCTTGACCTGGCCTTCCGACGCCTCTGCCAATCTCTTGCGAGTTGAATCCAGCTTCAATAACAATGTGGCTCGGGTTGTTGGATATGTGGTCTCCATGGAGCAGGTCCCAGATCCGAGGGAGGTCACCTTGATCAGATCCAGTAGCGGATGAGTCTCGTGCCACTAGTAAACATTGAAAGATATAGTGCAGAATGAGGCCTTTCGAATACAACCTCTACCTTGGCAACACCATTCTGAATATCCCCTGATCATAGAACAGTTAGTCACAGTGATATACGGACTGTCTCCTATATACCACGACTTACCCATCCCCCATACAATCCTGATTGGTTCTCTGCTGGCCAAACATTTTGCAGGATTGCTCTCGGATTCTATCACAAATCTGGGGATTGGATTGTGAAGAACAATTTCTAGACCAGAGGTGTCGATCACCATGAGAGAGATTCCGTGCGGATGTCTGCAGCCAGTCAAAACGATCGAATACGGGTATATACATCATGAAACTTTTATTTAGGTCTATGAGAGGTGGGAAATTTACTAGTTAGTGAAGTTCAGTAAAACCGGAATTCCCACTTTCGATAGGTTAGCTTGTTGCCCCCGAGCAAATTTCTAGTTCTGTGCTTTGAATGCTGTTGCAGTTTCATTATATAGCAGGACCGACTTGTGCTATTTCTGGACATTGTAGGGCCATCCGAGAAGAATTCATTGCTCGATCTCACCCAGTCAACACTGCAGATGCGCTAAGAAAACATCTCGAATTGAGAGTGGGAAGGATGTCGGTACGGAACGCGGGCGCTAACATGTGCATCAGTAAATGTTAGTATTCAAAAGCCTATGAAATGCCGCTATATATTCATGTTGCGATAGGAAAGATTTCCAAGTTACCGGTGTTGTGGAGTTGGAAAAGGGAACCTGAACTTGGTCCACCGCGTTGGTGGTTTGGAGGTCGTCATAATAAGAATCCCCGCGATAATGGCAAGGCTGAGTGTGGCTGAGACGGGGTGATTCATGACACATTCAGAACCTCACTTCGGCATGCCAAGCCTGTTTCACGACTCGGAACATCAAACTCTAGACAACAGCGTACTCTCTCCGATCTGGACTCTATCTCTCAAGACGTGCTAACCAGTCACCAATTCCTCTCACGAAACCATCTCCGAAGCCCGTCTAACGCGACACATTACAATGGACTCCCCCGACTCCCAAACAGTACCACCTCCCTGCCACATCTTCCTCCTCCCATACGAAATCCGCGAGAGAATCTACAAATACGCCCTCAGTACTCCGAACACCGTGACATGGCCGACAAAGCTCAAAGCCTCCAGCGTCCCCGGCGTGTCCCTCCTACAAACATGCCGCACCATCAATGACGAAGCCTCCCCGATCATCTACGCCCACAACGCCTTCTCCTTCCCTAGCCCCTCCGACGCGAACATGTTTAGCTGGACACACTACCCATGGAATCGAACAACTCCTCTGGCGCGTAAAATCACCCACCTCGACCTGGTCATCAATGACCGAGACGTGCGACTCTGGACCGGGTATCTAGGCAGCTCCTTATCTGAGCGCAGTCTCATGCACGACTACCCCGCCCTCAAGACCCTCCGCATCAAACTCCGGTCGTCCTTCTTCGCCATGCTCGTGGATCTCGACGTCGGTGATCGGTTCCGGCGCTGGACGAACGACCCGCGGTTGCGGGAGCTGTGCATGAGCCTGGAGAACAAGACGAAGGCGGAAGTGCAGATTCGGTGCTTGGCGCGGATGCGGCGGGAGGAGATCGAGCTGCTGGTGCAGACATTCAAGAAGGATTTGTTCTTGGATAGGAATGGGAAGGCGAAGACATGGGCGGTGGATATTTATGGGATATCGGTGGTGATGGAGATCGCGGAATTGATGCTATCGACGGGGTAAGGAGACGGCGTGGGATGTCGAAATGAAGTAATGACTGTGATGAAGGCGTTGAGGCCTGGCGCTGCTGGCACGCCGTAGGTGGCACAGAAAGCTACTAATAACAGATCCTTTTGGTGGACACGACAAGTTTCCTGGCTGACGTATTCTTGTTCGACAGCACGGACTGAGCTGTGTAAGGCCTGTCCTTGGTGGAGAGGCCTACTCTCCTTTGCTTGGTCTTCAAGCTCTGCCTTGATCGGACCTCGGACATATTCGGCGGATCTTATTATGTAGAGCGTAGAGAGATGTAGACGACGGCGAGCAGTGACCTGCTCGCCCCTACTAGTGCAAAATGAAGACCTAATGATTGATGACCACCAAAAGGAGTAACAAGACAAAGAGCAAATTCATGAATATGCGCTTGAATTTGAGGTTTGTAAACAGGATATACATATCTATCCCTCCAAGCTCCCACCCCACTTTACCTTGATTGGATCCTACCAACCCCGGCGAAACTCCTCCGGCAGACTCATCAACGCCTCCCTTGCCTCCTCAGCCGGGTGAGGGTCCGCCAACGTCTTCCTAGACGTCGACTTGGGGTTCAGCTTCGGCTTCTTCATCGACGGTGATAGCGGCCCGGTGTCCGAGAAATACCCGAAATTGACAAGGTCGGGCGGCGGGACAGCGTCGTTTGAGCCGAGGGAGTCATTTAACGAGGTCAGCGCCGTGGCGATCTCGGTGTCACTGAGGGAGCCGTGGTAGGGATCGGGGACTTGCTGCTGATCGACGGAATAGAAGCCTTGGGAGGGGTTGGGGACTTGAGGATGATCGACGGCTCGAGAGAGTTTATTGGGTTTTTGGAATTGAGGTTGCTCGTCAGTACGGTATCGCGGGCGGCCGCGAGGAGAATCACACGAGGTGCGACGTCGAGATCGCTTGAGCGTTTCACGCTCCTCGTCCGACCCCGCATCTTTCTGTTTCCGCTTGCGCCGCTCGTATCTTGATCGACTCGTCGCTTGCTTGCGTTCCATCCTCGCCCACAAGTACTTATCCTCGTCTCCTAGATGGACTAACTCATTTGAGCCCTCGAGTCCACGGCTCTTTTTCGTCCTATACATGCTCCTGGACTGCGAGTTGACCTTCGCATTCACAAGCGCATACGTCAGAGTCTTCACATGCGGCTTCCGGGTGCCCGCTTCGTATTCCCCGTGTTTGGGATAATCAGGATAAATCCCCACCAGAGTCCCGTCTTTACACGACTGAATAAAATTCGCCGCCTTGATCCGTACGTTCTCGGGTAGCGCCGCCGCGAACCGACCGCCCGGCTCCTTCGGTAGGAATTCTCGTCCGTCGGCCTTGACATCTAGGTGCCTGCAGATCTCCGGGAAGTCGAGGAATTGCTCCATGCAGTAGAGGTGGACGAACCCGGCGCAGAGGAACGGGTCGCCATCTATTTTCTGGCTGTACCACCGTTCGTCGAACGCCACTTTCACCCGACCCTGCCAGATGACGCCCCTCGATAGCCGCTTCCTGCTAGATCCTATCTGCCGATCGGGGCATTCTGCGAAGCGGCATTGCGAGCTGTGTGAGGAGGGGTACCTTTTGGCCGAGTCAGAGGGTTGCAGTTGGATCCACAGGGTAAGATGCGAGTCTGGCGCGATGGGATGATCGAGGAGGAACTCCCGGAGCTGGTCACGACGATAGCACGCTTTTTGCAGTCCACCCCAGTTGTCGTAGTCGAACGTGTACCGGGTGCCCAGCCAGAGCTTAAGAGAATTCCTGGGATATCCGTAATGCAGTAAGCTGTCATACTGGTTGGACTGGGCGGCGCGGGCGTTCTCGCGTGACTTGCTGCTGACTCGGATCCATGGCTTATTGGGATCGCTTTTAGGTCGTTCCCTTCCGTAGGATTTCTTGTGAACGATTTCACTAGCATCGGTTAGTTCTTCTACTGGCGATATGGCACGGGAGTCGGGGTAGTAGTCGGAGAGGCCCGAGTCGTCGTCGGAATAGTTATGGGGAGCGGGGATTGAGAGCTTTGGTGGCTCTTGACGGGGGTTGATCAAGAAAAAAGACGGATCGGGACGGAAATTGAGGGGGTAGAGGGAGGTAGTCGTTATTGTCTGCGACGGCTGTTCGGGGTAGGGAAAGTCTCCTTCGAAATCGCTGAAGTCCAGACTGTTGTCTACGTCAAACGCATCGATAGTACCCAAGCCCTCCCCACCAAGCAGTTGATCGATATCTTCAACATTGATTTCAGGCACCTTGAGCTGCTGCCTCGACCCATTGTTGGCCAGTTCAGGCTGCTGCTCGGCGTCTGCTTCTAGCGATTGGTTTTCTGCTGAGTTCTGCTGAGCTGCACTAGGACGCGACAACTGCGTTACGAATTCAAGCTCTTTGATGAACCTGTCATCTGGAGCAAGTTCCGGAAGGGTTTCTAGGGGAGAATCGTTTAAAGACGCAAAGGTATTTTCGTCAAATACGTGGTTAGCGTAATCCGTTACTCCCGCTTGCAAATTTCTCAACTCCATGAGTCCATCTCGACCAGATAGATCGTCCGCGACAACATTTGGATCGCCTCCGTTTGACTCAGGAGGATCCTCGAATAAGTCGTTGTAGTCTGACATTAGCCCATGGACAAAAAAGGAAACCTAGAACGTTCTTGTGATGCGGTCATGCAGTTGAATTGCCGCTATTTGATGCCCGGGATCGAATGGCGAAAGCAAGTTTCATACGGAATATATTGTGATGACCCATAGTGCCAATGTAGATATCAAGTGGCTCGAAGCTTGGGGGAGAAGTGATCCTTTGATTCTGGCCGCTTTCGGCTCGAAGGGTGTGAAAGGGGCTCCACCTACGCTTCATCAAAGGCTTTATGAAATCGGCAGTTGAAGAAAATCCAAGCAATGACAAAGCCAAATGACGTCTAAGAACACCGTTCCTTTGTCCTGTTACCAGATGCGGTGCTAGTCCAGATCGACCTCGTCGACAAACAAAGACCATTGGCTGACCATGTACCATAGGCAGGAACCAGCTCTTCTCTTTCATGCATTTTGTATGGAGAATATCCGAAGTAATAATAACTACCCCTAAGTTAGTTATAAACAGTAGTATGGCTTAGCCGATACTCAGGAGGAAGCCAAAGGATCCGCTCTGTATAGACAGGTTTTTGACCGAAGCGAAGACAAGATCGCTGACAAGCAAGGCAACGAGCTAATAAAAGGCGCTGGAGAAACTGCTCTTCAGCTGAGGGGATACTGCCGGGGGGTAATAAATCATCATGCACGGCTTGGCGCTGTCGCTCCGGCGAAGCCGCCTTGCTCATCGATACAGGATAAGTCTATTGTCGCAGGCCTAAGGCATGAGCTCTAGGAGCTTCATGCTACAAACTGCATTAATAATCTTGCCATGACTCTCGTATATCTGTAGGGCCGGGGGACCAGGCATTCAGCTAGAACACACAACTTACACAACTTACACAATACAACAACTTTGCTGCTGGAACAACAGCACCTAACTCCCAACCATTTTAGCACATCACGTGCGACATCTATAAACTGGATCGAGAATGAGAATGACAGTCCACTGCTGCTGAACATTCCAGGCTTTTTCGACGCATCGAAACGTGACGTTTATTGATATTAGCGCTGACCCTCACTCCTCTGGTAAGGCCCGGTGTTGTCTCCACTCCGAAGCCCATGGCAAGCAACACTCCAGACATCAGTAGCGTGTCCACCAACAGCCATTCGCAGGCCGCAGTGGGTACCTTCCACACACCGGTGTATTTTGGGTATAACAAAAGCGAGTAGAAATAGCTATTCGCTATACGAAGAGGCTAATCGGCCGTCTAGATCTGAATGATGTGCTCAACCCTCTGCCTGCCGCTACAGACGCGCCTTTCAACGCCAGCGACAACACGACCCGAGCTGCCTTCCCGATACCCGCGTAGACCTCCTGCAAGGGATATACAACTGGGCTGATGGCCGAGACGAGCGCTGCATCTTCTGGTTGAACGGTTTAGCCGGCACGGGAAAGTCGACGATTGCGCGCACTGTAGCGCGCACATATGACCAGAAGCGTCTCGGAGCTAGCTTCTTCTTCTCGCGCGGCGGTGCAGATGTTGGCCATGCAGGCAAATTCATCCCGAGCATTACGTTGCAGCTGGCGAGCAGTATCCCCTCCCTCGACCAACATATATACGATGCTCTCACAGAGCGCCGCGACATTATGAGCCAGTCTCTCCGCGACCAGTGGCAGCAGCTCGTTATTCGTCCGCTATTAAAGTTGGGCAGAGTCAGTTGCCAATCCTCGTACGTTCTGGTTGTTGATGCACTCGATGAGTGTGATAATGACAACAACATCCAAATTATCATACATCTCTTGGCTGAAGCTCGATTGTTAAAGACGATTCCATTACGAGTCTTCTAACGAGCCGACCTGTGATTCCAATTCGATATGGATTCGGCCAAATACCCGATGTCGAACATATGGATTTTGTACTTCACAATATATCATCATCGATTGTCGATCATGATATCCGTACTTTCTTGCGGCACGAGCTTGAACTCATTGCGGCTAGACATCACCTCGGCGCTGGTTGGCCTGGGGACCATATCGTCGAGCAACTCGTCCATAGTGCACATGAGCTATTCATTTGGGCTGCAACCGCATGTCGCTTTAACCATGAAGGCAGAAGCTTTGCTGCGGATCGCCTGTCCATAATCCTCAAGGCTAACTCCGTAGTTGACTCTGTGGACGGATTTTCTTCAGACGACTGCGACAGATGACAAGAATGACGATCCTGCAGTGGCGCCGGAGCGTCACCTCGATAAACTCTACGTTACAGTTCTCCGGAATTCTGTCTATAAGTACAAAAAGCCAGAGAGAAATAAATGGCGTAAGCGACTGGGGACAGCGGTGGTAACGATTGCTGTACTATCTTCTCCTCTGTCCACGCAGTCACTGAGAAAATACTCGATACCACGCAAGATCAAATAAACCAAACACTAGACGATCTTCATGCGATTCTAAATATTCCAAACGATCAATCTCAACCGCTTTATTTACATCATCCTTCATTTCGGGACTTCCTCCTTAATAGAAAAAGATATGAGCATCTACACTTTGAGATAAACGAGAAGCAAGCACATCAAACCCTTGCTACACAGTGCATTCAACTCATGTCTAGAGTTTTCAAGCAAAATATGTGTAGTATAGGGCGGCCAGGGCCGCTTGTGGCCATATGTGATACAGGCCGGCCCGGTACGCTTGTGGCTGGCATTGAAACCCGTCATGTGGAGCAACACCTCCCTCCAGAGGTTCAGTATGCATGTATCTAAGTTACTGGATCCAGCACCTTCAAAAGAGCAACGTTCAGCTCGACGACAACGACCAAGGGCACCGGTTCCTACAGGAGCATCTCCTTCATTGGCTAGAGACCCTTGGATGGATGAAGAAGGTTTCCGAAGGAATTCACGCCATCGTTTCTCTGGAGTCTACGACAGCGGTAAGCCAGAGTTCCAGACTAAACAGAACGTAAGTACTTAGCTAACCTCCAGCATAGTTGTATAGATGTCCCCAGCTACCTAGATTTGTTTATGACATGAAGCGATTTATCCTGTATAGCCGGTCCGCGATTGAGCAAGCACCGCTCCAAACGTATTGTAGTACGCTTGTGTTTGCTCCGGAGGGGAGTATGGTGAAGAGGCAATTCAGAGACTGCGCATGTCGATGGTTGCGAAGATTGCCAAAGATGAATCATGATTGGAATGCGTTGCTGCAGACGCTCGAGGGCCATTCAGGGTTAGTCTACGCCGTGGCCTTCGCGCCAGACGGCAAGACGCTAGTGTCGGCATCGTACGACAGGACGGTCAAGCTGTGGGATGCCGGGTCGGGCGTGCTGCAGCAGACGCTCGATATTGGAAACACCATCTACGCTCTCACTTTCTTCGATGACAGTACCTCTCTCCGGGCGGTTCTTGGATCCTTGCCCATTTTATCACCTCTCTCTAGTGGTATAGGTGTGACCAGTCTACAATATCCATCTTCTATTTTTATCAATGACCTTTGGATAAGTAGCCATACAGAGCGGGTCATTTGGCTTCCTCCCGAGTATCGGCCACGCTTTATTGCTGTTTATGAGTGCATTGTTGCATTCGGATATACATCTGGAAGAGTTATGACCATGAAACTTACTTTGTGATATTTCCCTAAGCATTCTTTAACCTCCTCCCCGCCCACATCCGTTACAGATGGCGTCTTTTATATACAACGTGAATAGCACGAGTGGCGACAGCCGATGGGTAATGTTTGAATACACGCCAAACGACCAACAGAACCGCATTAGTGGCTTGAGACCGAGGCCATTATTGGCATCCTCATATTCTTTTAGTAGCTAGGTGTGTAGAACGTCATATAGGGGTGCCGTTATTGCCAGCGTTGTCGCCCGTAATGGTCAGAACTTTCGGAGCCATACCTTGTTCGTGATTTATGGTAAGAAGGCAATCGGACAAGTTTTGGCCAGAGTGAGGCCCCTGGATTTCCGCAGTCCAAGTCTTCTCGCTTTTCGAAGTCTAGGGTGATCCAATGGCCGATCACACCTAAGATCGGCAATTAATTCTCGGAGGCCCAAACATTGAGCGATACGGATAGCGCAATAGAGTTGCAACTTTGTGTCAGGCCTTGCTTGAGCGCAATCCTGCTTTGGAGAACTCATCCCTGATTCAATTATAGAGAGTATCTGCGCTCTTAACGAGAAGCTTGACATTGGCAGCTTTAAAGTCTGTTTGAAATGAAGGATGCTCCACCACCGTGAATGACTGCCGTGTCTGGATCACCCACTGAATCAATGCTTGCTCAATGCTTAGACTTGCCTTAAGAAGGCGGACGAATCGATCGAGGGAGGTCATCGACGTTAACGACTCGCTCGGCGAGTCGCGTTTTACCCTATGGCGGGTACGGAGGTGGGTAATAAGGCTTGAGGTCGATCCATGGCGAGCAGAATCGGTCGAGGACCAACTACAGCGTTTGCACACAAATACTCGATCATTCTTAGGAGGCTGGCCCCATTTAGTTTCGAGCACGTTAATCCAAAAGTTCTCTAAAGCCCAGCTAGTTTGTGCCTTTGCTTTTCTGATCTGGCGTCTGGCCAGAGTGGTTAACTCAGTGACGGTCGGCGGTTCAGAGCTTAGAGGCTGAGGCTACGAAGAGCAGTGAACTTGTGATATTGACTCAAATGATGTCAAGCTATCAGACTTGAGAGACTCGTATGATCTAGGAGACCCTTGAGGCTCGGACTCGAGGTCATCAGGAATCTCTAGAGAAAGATCTAGGGGAGTGACATCCAATCCGTTGGTTAATGCCACATAATCGCGGCGAAGGGCTGTTCGTGGACTTCGGGAGAAGGCGATACCAGATTAAGCCATGCTGCGTAAGAAATCAGGATTACTCTCGTTGCTACGATCCTAGACTTCATAGATGTTAAGTAAATCGATATTGTGTTGTTTATTGAATAGAATTGAACGGCAACACATGTAGGATCGTTAACGCGATAGACGTGCCATAACTATCCAGGATTCGCGGCTTGAAGTACCATACACAAACCACCATTCTCCATCACCGAAAGTCGAATACATGATTTGACGCGCCATTAACGTGTCAACTCATGTAACTTATTCCCAGTGCAAATTTAATAGTTATTTAATAGGTTTTGGAGATTTTAGGCGGCGTTCACGTTTGAGAGGTTGTTTGCGCGGAAACTTGAATAAAAATGATATTAGGAATGAGAGGCATTCTTTGAATCTCTCTATACTCTACCTGTAATAGAATAGGGCCCCGTACCTAGACATACGGGATATATGGAATCCAAATTCATGGCTATTCGCAGCACGGCTCAAAGCAGCGCAAAAAACACCTGCGTGTATTCTGGCATAGGAGCTGGACTGAAATCTGTCTATTGACAAGCAAGACGATAGCATATAACTATAGTTATGGGAAGAGGAAATGGGTCGGCCCGGAACAACAAATCCCCGGAGAGATAGTTATGTGAATAATAACTATGAATAACTAACTACGAATACGAATAACTAACTATGAATACGGGCCATATTCGTATTCATTTATTCCTTTCGGAGCTCTACCAATATATTCCATGACAGAGACGCAGACGGCAAACTGCTCGCCGATGATACACATACTGATACCTCGTTCGAGCTATGTTATATTACCTGGCAGGACATCGATAACCTCTCTAAAATTGTTGCCATGTGGACCAGGTGTAAGGGGGAAGACATTCTGCCTCTTATTACTATCTGAGTTGCGGAGAGGCGCCAATAAGAGATAGAAACCCATAATCATACGGCAACTACATGTTCTGAAATAAGCCGAACCCGTCAAGAAAGGCGAGCAGGGGAATAGAGATGATGGTAGAGCTTTTGCTAAACTTGTCAACGAGATACTGGCGACTATATCCCGCTATCTCCAACTGAGCAAAATGTTTGCAAACTTGCGAAAAGCATTTCCAAAATGCTACCAATCTGGATCATGTAAGTGGGTAATTTGTCTTTTCAGTCCGACGTTGACGCTAGTTCTAGCATCAAATGGTGCATTTAGAGCGATTGATTGAATTCTACGGTTGCTACTAAACATTCAGTACCTAGCCCGGCATGATAATCCACCTAGAATCCGGCCCATGCGAGTCCAAAATCGATATATACAATTTGAACGAGACTGCCGCTACGTGGTTTCAGTGGAAGGCTTATGTTGACGAAGAGTATCAGGATGTGCTACTTCATCATCGTGAGGTACAATCTGAGTACAGCGAAGAGGTCTACCCGTTCTGGTGCCCTGAATGCGATACAGGTTTTACAAAGCTATCAGGTCTATTTCAGTACGTGTGTAGCAAAGCATGCAATCAAGATTTGTACGAAGACAAGATGGGCAAATTGATCAGATGGCTAGAAAAGGAGCATAGTGCTAGTGGGCGTGAGTGAGCACAAAGCAACACGCCGGCTATAGCTGCACGATATATGCCTCCTCATCCTCCCAGCCAGGAACGTGGAGCTTCTGGGCCATACTTAAAAATGCCGAACAGACAGTACGTGCTGTCTTCTGGCTCGGTAGTTTTGCGGAGTTTGGACTATGTCAATACATCAGATACGCTGAATTTCTCCCAAGAAAAGCCCTGTAGAGCCTCTATATGAATGCCTGTAATATCGTAGATTAGCTGTCCGAGAGGTTCTTTATTGCCGAGTCGGTGACTGCCTGTACCCACGGGTCCCTTAAGCCGGAAAGCTTCAATAGGTCCTTAGCTTCGACATCGCTAATTACCATTAGTTGCCAAACTTGGATGAAGACAGGCTATACCCTTCTCTGTGACTGCGAGTTCACCGAATGTCCTCCGAAACATGGTCAGACGAAGAACGTCAGTTCCAATATGACATTCATGTAAGGAGAGCAGTAGATCCCCTTGTGTTCTGGCCAGACGCTCACGGGACAGAACGAGAATGCTTCAGACGGTTTCCGGGTAGGAATGACATACACACAAAAGAAATGCAACGATTTCTGCTATTGCCGATCGGTCTTATAAGCCACTGTTCCTGGGGCTGTTGATTACTTCTCTTAGAGAGTTGCAAATGCCCTCTCACATTAAGCAATCAATTTCGTATCCTCTTTTCCAAACTCAAATCGATCTTTGCTCCGAAAAACATTCCCAAACAGAAGATCCTGAACCCACCGCGGCCAGTTGCGAAGCCCAGTCTTACCTTCCTCGCTTTTTGGAACAACAAGCCTCCCACTTCGACCTTTGAGGACCTGCTCAACGACCACATCACCCACATTACTTGGAGGATCTGGATGGATACCGTATTTGTTCAATGTCTTTTCCGCACCCTTAATGATGGCAGTCGCATGCCAGGAAGGATGAACAGATGTGGTGCAAATGCCTTCACCACCAGCGTAGCGCGAGAGGCACTCGTTCCGTATACCTGAATGATATCAGCAATGCAATGACCAAAGTCCTTTCAAACGCAAGTGGCCTACCTTCCGATACATATAGCGCTGCAACCTTTGAGCAGCAGTAATCGAGCAATCCAGGAGCCGCTACAAAGGAGGCCATGGAAGCAATAGTCACGATATGACCCTTTCTTTTCTTAAGCATGCCTGGCAAGAATTCGCGGATAAGAACGAAGTGCGAGATCAGGTTTACTTTGAACAGCCTCTCGCACTCGGAATTACTTGTCTACGATGCTTTCAGTCTCATCGTTAGCTTCCACTACCAGGACAGGTGCAGCCTACCTCGAGCACAGTCTTGCCAATGCCTATGCCAGCATTATTGACTAGAACGGTCGCTTCTCCATGCGTTTCGCGAATCTCTTTGCACCGCGATTCAACTATTGGCGTATCGGTGATGTCGCATTTGTAAAAGTGAACATCAGGCACTGACAATTCCATTAGCATGATCCCACTGTTACAATTGCGGAGCCCTGCAGACTGAACTCACATGAGGCAAGCTCGAGTGGGAAATCTTGTATGTCGAGCACCACAACTCTAGCCAGCTTCGAGAAGGCCTTGACCATCTCATATCCAAAACCTGAGCTTCCACCCGTGATGATCACTAGCTCTTCCTTGTTCGGTCCGAACTTGAATGCGGCACCAGGCCTTCTTCCAAGGCTCCAGTTGTTCCAAGCTAAGCTGTTCAGAACTCGATTGACCCGCTTCAGCACATTGACACCTGTCAAGATCTTCAGTACCGTGATAAAAGCAGCTAATCTTGCTGCCCCATTCTTTGCGAAGACATTGTTCTGGAAAGGCGCTAAAAGGCGTGCGCGAACATTGTCCGGACCTCGAGTAAGCGCGTATAGAAGCGCGCCTGTCAGGAGAGGCTCTTCAGCCGCGGTTTTGATGCCAGTGATGACTTTGGAGGCCATTTTGTGATGGACTTCGTGGAGAGAATGCGGCCACAATTGTGACAGAACATGGTGCCCAAAGATCAGTGGTTCTCATCGGATGCAGCATGATATTCAGAGAGGAACTCTGGCCGAGGTGGACGCCGTGAACACGAACCCCGCAGATCCCCGCAAAGGCCTTGATCTCGCTCACCTAGCGGGGAAGTGGCATAATATAGACGGATATTATTTTCAAAGTAATACTCTAGAATTTCGAGCGTTTCGTGCGTTCCAAAACCGTCGTAAATCAAAAAGCATGGCTTTTGATGCGCCCGGCTTTTCACTTTTGGTGATGGTTTGTGCATAGACTGGGTAGCATTTTTTGTCCACAGAGAGCCCAGGCATCGACAGTCGGGGAGAATAATCTGTCGGGGGGGAGAAATCTCGCTACCCGGAATAACTTTGGGGTTCGGCGGTCGCACCAATCGTCAAATAGTCGGCATAAAGTGAACCTTCCCTTTGGCACCGCAAATCGAATCGTGGTGTCTTTCTGTTTTTTTCCAACTTAAACTTAGAGTACAGTACACGGACTCGCGCTGACTAACTGCACTGCCCCGTATACAACACGGTGTATTGAAAGTGATCCCCATGATCAGGATACACCCACTTTGCACTCGCGAATTCTTTCCTACCATCTTCATCTTTGAATGGTGTGTAACCGAGCCGCCATGGCTCTCAAGTGTCTGGATGCATTCGCAGGTATTAGCACGCCAGACCCGGACTATGTTATCACGCGCGGCCAAGGTGATAAGGACAGAGTTATGCGAGAAGGCCATAGAGGTAACCAAGTCGCCATAGCCGTTATGTGTCTGGACGCAGTCGCCCGTGTCAGCACACCAGACCTGGACTGTCTTATTATATGAGGCTGAGGCAATAAAGGTAGAGTTTCATCAAATTGCCTATCACGGTCCGTCCGATTCTGCTCTAGCCAAGGCTGCCATAAGAGGAGAAGGGTCAATGTACACTTCTGCCTTTTTCATCTTGCCCGCGTCATCGCCGGACGGGAGAATGTGAAAGACACCAAACGCCGGCACGACGATTTCTTCTTTCTCTGGATCGTTCTTCGCGCGGTATGTGATTGTGCACGCCTGGTAAATCTTATCTCCAACGAGGTCTACATCTTTACAGTCAGGTCCAGGACCATGAGAACGCCCCGCAAACTGGGAGGGAGTACGCACCAAAGTAAGAGACCACATGGTGCATTAGCTCAAGTTTCTCGAATATCGGGCCAAAGAAGCCTTTGAGATTGTTGAGGCCTTGGACTGGTGGTACGTTCGCATACTGGAGGATGCTATCCTCGGCATACACCTCGGGGAGACGCGCGGGGTCTAGCGAGTCGCTCACTTCGTGGAACTAGACAATACCGTATCAGTATGATCGTAGTTGCGGCTGCGAGCTAACTGCGCTGTAATGTATCGAGAGCCAAGCTTACTTTTCTGAGCCACTGGCGTGCTTCATCTGCGTTGGCTGGGACGATTGCCATGTAAAGCTTCAAAGATACCGACGAATCTCTTCCACACAATTGAGTGATATGTTGATCGCCAACAAATACTACTTTGCCGATTGACTTAACTAGTTATATAAACATCGGACAGCCATCCAGGACCTTGTGGACGGACCACCGAAGGCAGGGGATTTATAAGCCCGGGACGCGGTTCAGCCCGGTCCTAGCTGTCCTCGGTCCTGGCCCTAGGTCCTGCAGGAAGTGGCTTAGAAATCCTCAATAGCACCATTCTATGGGTGTTTGGCCACCCTTGCCGAGCATTAGAACGAACTTATGATCCACAAAAGGTAAATTGACACTAAGCCAGCCAATAATATGTTACGAAGATATGAGCAGCACCTGCTCCATGCAGGCTCTCGTGTCGTACCTTGCCTGTGAAGCCATGGAATCAAGTTCTAAACCCCACTTTGACGATGAAATCAGGGCGGCAGTAACTCTGCGTGTCCTTTTGCGTATGTTGAATGGCATGCGTCCGCAAGTTTCACCCACTTTCGAAAACATCGATTAAGGACAGCGAGAGCGTCAAATATGAGAGCTCCCGTCAGCTCGAGACGGGACGTGTTGACTACGGCATCCTCATGTCGTCATCAGGCCAGCCCTATTTCGTTCATTGTGCTCAGCCGATTCGCTGCACGCGATATTTGAAACCAGGTATAATTATGGAGACTAGCTTCCAAAATAGGTAGCGAGCTTTTTCCTTAAACGGGTGATTGGGGGGAGAGAGAGAGATTCATACGCCCGTCAGGCCGCTCTGCGAGGCCCATGCGGCCATGCCCCATGGGGAACAGGGGAACAAACTACCTAGGCTGACTAATTACATGCGTTGGTGCCTTGTGGCCTTATGGCCCCATTTTCTATCTACGTACTAATTAACTTCTAACTACGCCATAAGTCTGTTCAGAGTCTACGCACAACAAAATTCAGGCCTGACACCACCATATCTTCCACCATCAATATCTCCACGAAAATGAGGTCGTTTGGTACAGAAATTAGTGGCAATCGACGGCAAAATGCTGAATTATCCGAGAATCAAAGAGCTGGGATTTTAGAGGCTGTTTCCGGGGGGAAAACTAAGGCCGCGGTGGCAGAGGAGTTTCAGGTCGCAGAACGGACGGTGTACAAGACCTTGCAACGCTGGGAAGAGCACCACATCACTCAATCTAAACCCCGCCAAGGGGCCCCCCTAAAATTATCGCGTCGCGACGAACGATATCTTGTACAGTACGCACGCCGGTTCCCCACGGTTGAGTACAGCGAGCTCGTTCAAAGCGTCCGCCATATGCGAGTCTCAAAGACAACGATATACCGGACTCTTAAGAAACACCACCTTACAAAGTGGCGAGCACGGAAAAGGCCTCATCTGTAGCCCGGGCACGCAAAAAACCGGCTTCAATTTGCCCGCGAGTATCAACATTTCGACTTCTCTGGGTCCACTCAACCGACGAGTGCTCCTATGAGAAGGGGGCGGGCGGTAAGCGCGTCTGGGTATGGCGCTTTTATCACGAGGCATACGATCCACGTATGATCGAGCCAAAGACTTCTGGTAAGGCGATTTCGCGGATGATCTGGGGCTCAATCTCGCGTGAGGGGAGGTCAGATCTGGTGATCATGGACCGCGACGAAGACTCCCCCAGGCAAGGATATTCCGCGAAATCCTATATCGCTACATGGAGGAGGGACTCCTCCCTACGTACGATCCCGGGGATGTTATGATACAGGATAACGCAAGGGTTCATACTGCGAAACTCACGCAGGAATGGCTGGAGACTCACGGTATTTGGGTGCTCGATTGGCCAGCTAATTCTCCGGACCTGAACCCCATCGAACACATGTGGCACTTACTTAAAAGCAAAGTCCTAGAGCTCCACCCTGAATTGAAACAGATGGGCTCATCAGAGGAGGTACGGGAGGCGATGAATGCCGCGTTGAAAGAGGCGTGGTGGGCAGTGCCTCAGGAAACGATTACCAAGCTAATTGACTCAATTCCGCGGCGGTTACGGGCGGTAATTAAAGCAAAAGGATGGCATACCAAACACTAGGCTATTCCTAATTAGACAATCTGAAAAAAGTATACTGATCGCTTTCTCTACGCTTTTGAGCGTTTCTCGCAAAGGGGTGGTGATGGGAAAAAATCACGTGGTTGACGACCCTGAACAGACTTATGGCGTGTTATTGTAGTTAACTAGTTAACTTAACTAACTAACTAACGTAATCCACCAGCGAGTCGCCCAAACCACCGAGTCGCCCACTTCATCTCCGTAACAGCGATCATCACGATTTTTTCGCAATGTCTCAACAACAGAGCCCTCAATTACCTTCAAATGAAGCTAGAATGAACCTAGCCATCCAGACTATCGAACAAGACCAAGTTCAATCAATTCGAGAAGCTGCAAAAGCTTACAACGTCCCGTGGAGTACCTTACGTGACCGCCGCAACGGAATGACTGCACGAAGCGATTGTGTCCCGAATTCGAAAAAGCTCTCAAATATGGAAGAAAGGGTGATTATCGACTACTGCCTCGATGTCGACGCGCGCGGATTTCAGCTCAATTACGATATGTTGCGAGATATAGCCAACAAGCTACTCAGCGATCGCGGTCAGGCTCACGTTGGTATCAATTGGCCGTCAAGATTCGTACAACGCGTTCCAGAGCTCAAAACACGTGTTAATCGAAAGTACGACTATAAAAGAGCCCTGAACGAAGATCCAGAGATTATTGGCGCGTGGTTTCGCCTCGTACGCAACGTGAAGGCAAAATACGGTATCCTGGATGAAGATACATACAACTTTGATGAAGTTGGCTTTCAAATGGGCGTAATCGGGACGCGCATGGTCATCACGGGTACCGAACGACGTCAGACTCCAAAAACCTTGCAGCCAGGCAATACAGAATGGGTGACATCGATCATTGCTGCCAGCGCGCAAGGTTGGATTGTCCCACCCTTCATCATCTTCAAAAGCGCTCGACATTACAATACCTGGTACGAGGCGATTGCGGATAGGCCTGATTGGGTTCTATCAGTTAGCGAGAAGGGCTGGACGTCCCTTGAGCATGGATTTGAGTGGTTAAAGCATTTTAATCGCTTCACAGAAGACCGTACGACTGGCGCCTATCGGCTTCTGATTATGGATGGCCATAACAGCCATGACACTATCCAATTCCAGGATTTCTGCAAGGACCAGAAGATTATTACTCTCTGCATGCCTTCGCATTCATCTCATTTGCTACAACCCCTCGACGTTGGCTGTTTTGGGCCATTAAAGCGCGCGTATAGCAAGGAGATTGAGGACTTTATCCGGTGCCGCATCAACCACATCACGAAAGAGGACTTTTTACCTGCTTTCAAGACCGCCTTCGAAAAAGCAATTGCTACGGAGAATATCCAGGGCGCCTTCAAAGGCGCAGGATTAGTGCCTTTCGATCCAGAAGCTGTTATTTCAAAGCTTGATGTCCGATTACAGACCCCGACGCCATTACCAGAGATCACTCAATGGGAGTCGCAAACACCACGCAACGTCGCTGAAATAAGGTCCCAAACAGAGTACATACGACAGCGCCTTCAAAGAGATCAAAATACCTCCCCAACACCGCTTTTAGAAAGCTTTTCAAGCCTTGAAAAGGGTGTTCAAATGGTCGCGCACGGAGCTTCAATCATGGAGGTCGAGATAGGAAAGCTTCGGAAGGCAAACGAGACGCTATCAAAGCGCAAACAACGCAAAAAAAAGGTGCTTAAGGGCGCTAATACGCGCTCAATTACTGATGGGCTTGAATTAGCTGTACAACGTCGGGATCAAGATATAATCAGTGAAAATGGTACTTCTAATGACGTTCCCGCAAGGCGCCAGCGACGTTGCGGACGCTGTCGCGAGCCAGGACATCGCGTTGAGACCTGTACAATGCCTCAATTAGCTATACCAGAAAACGTAGATCCTAGCCTACTTCCTAATTAATAAATTGCTTCAGTAGTTGTTGAGATATTCAGGTTACGGTAGTGGGCCACGGTTGAGGTGGGCGACTCGGTGGTTTGGGCGACTCGCTGGTGGATTACGTTAGTTAACTAAGTTAACTTAACTATCGATAACTAACTAACTATCCAACCTTTAACTCCCTTTGCCAAACGTGACCCCACTAATTATTCCCGAGTTGTGACCTAACTGCCATCCTGAACTATTGCTGCCTGAGAAGACCATCGTACAATGTGAATCATGTTTGTCGCGTGGCTCTTGCCCTGGCAAGCTAGATCGCAATTGCGAGCACACAACCTCAGAAGTGACCTGGCCAGCCTTGAGTAGGCGTGGTTGCTCTTCGACTTCCTGAATTGCTAGCGCACGCTGAGCGCCGCCATCTTTTTCATCCTCTGGCTCTTCCTGGAAATGCTCTCCCCGCTTCTGGACCTTGTCTTATTGCTTTCTTGTGGCCTCAATATGCTCCTGAATGGCCTTCTCTAGAGTTTGTACTTGCTCTATAAGCTTCTTGTGGTCGGTGTCGGCACCACATTGTGATCGGAGCCGAACAATGCTTCTGGAATATTAGTTTGTGTGTCCCAAATAAAATAGAAGAGCAGGCACACAGTTGGGTGCTTTCTATGCGAGGGTAAAATGGAGGGGAAGTGACGCAAGACCTTTGGAGCAAATAACAGTCTCAGGTTGTGTAGTGCGGACAGGGGAGAACAGAAGACAACGATTCGAAGAACGCGAAGAGTAGGAGGGCGGCACCATTTGAAATGAACTTCGTGGAATCCCAAAGATCTAGAAGTCCAGGCACAATGTCACTTAGCGGTTGTGTAAGCAGTACCATACTACAAAGATACTACACGAAAACGGAGCATCTGATAGCAGAGCACAGGAATATAAACTACAAAACAGAAACCAGACAGAGTTCCAGACATACTACATAAGAAAATAGGAAACAGAAACCGGACCACAAACGCCAGGCCCATAGACCACAGAAAACAACCACATAGACCCACAGACCACAGGAAACGAAACACAGACCCAGAGAGGACAGAAAACGAAATGGCGCGAAGGGATGAGGAGAGAGGGGAGAGAGGAGGAGAGAGGGGAGAGAGGAGGGGGGGAGGAAAAAGGAGAAGAGAAAAGAAAGGAGAGAGGGGAAAGGAGAGGGGACAAGGGGGAGAAGAACGGGGGCTAACCGCCGGACCCAGAGTCGCGGGAGCGAGGAGGGGGTGCCGTAAGGGCAAACGACATTGTCGCTAGTGTATCTTTTTGAAGCGGTGTGGGTCCTTTCTGCCTAGAGCTAATATCAAACAGCTCTTTAAAACACTCCATATCTACATCCTCAAACGGCTCTGCAAGGCACATTGAATACCAAGCTTTATGAAGCTTGATTTCGCTGCTTCGGAGCCAGTCTTTCTCTCCACGCTCTGCCTGAAAAATCCCCCACACGAACGAGCCCAGGGATATATACATGGCTATTTACGTTAGTTTACAAACGAAACACAGTTTTAAATGGACATAATAACAGAATATAGTTTCGAATAACCAAATGCGGATTTAAATAGACAAATAGAAGGATAAAGTTAGAGGGAATACATATCTAGATGGATAAAATGCAGATTCAAATGGACAGCTAGATAAAACATAGGCAAAAGATAGATAAAACACGGATAACTAACTATATAAAATATTTAACTTACACTTGCAATAAAGTTTCCCCAACTCAGAGGACCTGTCTACATCTAGATATCCCTTCATATAATACCACATATTAAGAAAGTCTTCCGAAGAGAACTTCTCGCCGAGATGGATGGCAACACCAGTGACATCAAGTCAAGATAAAGACTTGATTTAGGAGCACGTTCTGCTCGAGCCGGTCCTACATATGTAGTGGTTAAATACTTAAACATTGAATTCTGGATTTGGACATATAGATCTGGAGTGAGATATGGAGATCTAGAGTTGGATCTATGCTTCTGGAACTTGACTTCTGGATATGGAGTTTTGGAGATTTGAACTTGATTTGAACTTGATTTGAACATTAAAATGGACTTTGAAAATGGACTTGAAAATGGAATCTAGACTTAGGGACTTAGAATTTTGAACTTACTCTCATTTTCTCGAAGGTATATAGATATTGAACGATTTGACTTGATCTTTAAAGACCTGTTTGGCCCGGCGCTAGAGGGCAGAATCCGCAGTCATGTCGGCCGGAAAATCCTGGCCGTACACCTTCCGGATCGACGAAGGGTGGGCATCGGCGTTCTGGTTGAGGAACTAACTCCACCGAGTTTCGCGCCCAAATTGCTTTGATAGTGACAGGAAATCAAGCTCGGACTGGGACACTTGTCCGTTCTTGGTCTGCTTACTGCGCTTCTTCGGCGCAGAGAGCTCTTCGCGGCGCTTTCGCTTGCGTGCCTATACCACCAAACGAGTCAATTACTACAATTTATATGGATTTACTAGGGAATTATAGTAAATGATTCATAGGGATATAAAAACAAGTAAACTTACGCGTGGAGAAAGGGAATCTTCCTGAAGAGAAGCAGTCCCATCTTCAAAATCGAGAGGAGCCTATACCACCGAAACCGAGTTCTGCTGCCCCATAGACATTCTCTATAGCTTAATGGCAAGGAGATCTTTCTATGATAATTATAGATAAAATTATAGAAATCTCTAAACTGCGTTTGATGATGGCGGCACAGATGGTGAAATGGGCCTACAGATAAAATGACACACAGCTCAGAGTTCTGGCTTTCATAGAAGACCTCATTCAGTGGTTATGTAGCGTTTAATGGTAGATCAACGAGTTTGCACTAGTGACCAGCATAGGAGGGTTATTGATGTATTTAGCGCGGAGCCCAATTGAGCACCCTGACTTGAAGCTCACTCGGGATATACTATACCGACCAGGTCACGTAACTAATGAAGCCGTTTGGGCTGCATATATAAACTGCGGAGTGTCCTAGTGCTTTACTAGTAGGTGGGATCCTGAATTGCCTTGTCCTGAAGATAATGCAATTCGGGGTGCGTCGTCTAACTATAGTAAGTTATGGGAGATGCTTCGAAAGACGAAGATTGACAAGCAATAATGATTAATTAAAGCGACAGAAAGGTCAAGGTGACTAAGCTAAAATCACGTGACTCGGAGCTCGGAGTTCGGTCCATTCAAAATTCCGAACCAGCGATGTGGCGTAATTATGCCTAATTTCGCCTAAGGCATCATATACCGGGATCGCCACAATTTCAGTGATTACTCAATCAAAACGAACCTCCTCAAGTCGTCAACGACCACGCAATTCCTCCACCTTCGACGCAGCCCTGGCTTGATATCGCAGCGATGAGTCGACGCGTGGCATTTAGCCGCCTTCCGTAAACAGTCTCGATAGTAGCTTCTAGCTACTTCGCGCTTCACATAGAGCGCGACCGGCCAATAGAATAGATGATTACGTTGGTTTATCCACTGATCAATCTTGAGAGGCGAGATTGCGTATGCTTCTCTGCCTGTCCTGGAAGCGTGTATAAAACGAGGTTTGGTATTGTATTTTCGAGTCTCAATAAAGCAATTCGATCAATCTCACATTCACGTACACCATCACCCAAATCTATTTCACAGTTTTTTGACCATCTCTTTATCGATCCAACATGCCGTCCATCAGATATATCAACCAATCCGCTCCATTCTGGGACTTCGTCGCCGGCCTCGAAGACCAGGGAACCAACCATCCTTTCTTCGCCGCCCATACTTCTGAAGGCGGCCACCCAGGGTGGACAGGTCCCCCTCACCACGGCTGGCGTCTCTGGCAGCAACGTCAGGAGCAAGCAGCCCAACCTGGACCTTCAAATACTGAGAAAGACACCGCACGAGAGAGTGATGGCGAGACCTTAGCTCCCGAGGGCGACTCGTCCGCTGCGAAGGAAAAGTCGTCGGAGACCACTCCGGAAGGCGCCCAGAACCCTGAACATCCCCGATGCGGTCGACGAGGAGGATGGGGCCGTAATGGATGGGGTGGCCGGCGTGGTGGTCGTCATGGTTGGGGCCGTGGAGGTCCATGGGGTGGCCCAGGTGCCTTCAGTGTCGGCGCCGGACCTTTCGGTCTTGGACAATTTGCGGAGATATTCAACTCACAACTGTTTGGAGGCGAACAAGGCGAGAAGAGTCAGGATGACTTCACTCCCGACGCCGATGTCTTCGATACCGAAACGGAATACGTCATCCATGTGTCGCTGCCCGGTGCGAATCGAAATGATATCGGAGTGAACTGGGATGCGGACAAGAGCGAGTTGAGCATCGCCGGTGTCGTTCACCGCCCGGGTGATGAAGAGTTCTTGAAGACTCTAGCGTTGAATGAGCGGAAGGTCGGGCCGTTTGAGAGGAAGATTCGCTTGGGAACTCGTGCCAATCCGGCTCAGGTTGATGTCGATGGGATCACGGCCAAGTTGGAGGATGGTATCCTGCGCATTGAAGTTCCGAAGAAGGACAAGGACGACTTTGTTCGTGTGCAGAAGGTTGATATTGAATAGTTGTTGTGGCTGGAGTGTTAGTGTGAACCGTACATGTCTTTCCTTCAATTAGCAATACCATAGCATCTGCAACGAAACAATCATGAATCCACGCACTGTATTGATATGAGACAATGTGATGTTCGTAAGAACATTCCAGCAAGAGAGCCAACAGGAACATAGGCACGATGCGATTGGTCCAACTTGTTTTCAATCTGGTAGCACGGCTCCCGGTTGGCTGCAGGCGATTCACTGTTTCATCATCAGCACACCACATCTTTCATATGTTGTCATTCCCGAATCTAGGATTCATGCACATGGCGAAGCTGTCAACACGTCACTGGCTAGCCCGAAACGGGGCCGTATGAAGCTAGGATACTACGGACAGTGGCCTGAGCTGGCCTAGCATCTATCTAAATCTATGTATATTTCCATGCCTTCGACATGCCAAACATTAATGTTCGAATCCCAGATATAAAGAAACACATGTGTACTTACTCACTCATCCTGCCTATCGCACGCAAGTTATGCCATGGGATCCAGCTGGATGCGCGAACCACCACCTCCCTTGAGTAACCGACCAATTTCTGAAGGATGTATCAAGTTCATAACAACCACTGCCGCCGCAATGAGCAACGAATCGAAGACGTAGAGGTACACCTCCTTCGACAACAGATACCCGTTAAACCCCTGCAAATACTCGATCACACGGAAGATCGATCGAACGAAGATGAGGAGGCTCGTGGCGTACAGGGCGCCCATGTGCTTCTGCCATGGCATAACGTGGGCGAGCTGAGTGGGGACTTTCCGCAGTCGGAAATGGAAGAGAGCGCCGGCGATGACGAAGAGCCCAAAGAAGATGATCTGGATGAACAAGCCGCCGACGATGATATTGCTGCCGGCGTCCACGCTCTTTTGTGTGTCAGCTACGGCGAGGAGCCCGCCTCTGCGATGAATTAGTCTCAGAATGCATTTATTTAGGTACAGCCTATGGAAGGCGGAGAAGCGGAAATTGCGGTAGTTCTCACCCGGCGCCTTGCATGCAAAAAGACAGGACATCTCCCGTCACGAAGATTTTCGTCATCCACGTCCGACGAACGAACAGGTGGGATTCTCCATCAACCATCAGGACAATCCGCCCGAGTTCCATATAGATCGAAGCCGCCAGGAAAGCCGGCGCCACGAGGACGAACAGGGTTTGGATCAGATACGGCCCAAGAGTCCACTCCCCATTTTCCTGCGTCGCCGAGACAGTGCGTCCAACGTAACCAACTGCTTCCACTAGAAAAATGTTAGGTATTGGTTCTCTTTGGGGAATCGCTTCTCTTAGGGATAAGAGGGTCGCGAAATGACAATGGACATACTGAGAACGCCCAGGACGAACGGAACGAAGAACCATGTTCGCGTTCGGATCATCTGGAAGGAATGCCATGCTGTCAGGACGAAGAATACTACGGTAAAGATGATCGCGGCGGCGAGATTCGGTTCATAGTGGTAGTATTCGAAGTCCACTAGACTTGTATCATGACCTTCACGTCGCGCAAATATATTTGAGGTCATCCTTTATCGTCCCTCACACGACTCCGCAGGGGTGGAGAGATTCAAACGAAGGATTGGAGAGCGTGTTCTGGCTCGGCTCAGAAGGAGTGCATAATAGCGAATGTCGATCTATATAAATCCCAAATCCCAAACAGCAAAATTGCATCCTTAGATGCGAGCTACTAATGACTACGTCGATCCTTAAAAGTTCTAGGCCGTATTTTTCCCCTTTGCCCTATTTCGCAATTCTTGCGAGGCTCTTGCCCGCTAGCGCAGAGATAACCCCTTTTATAGGGCGCTCTAGGGATCGGACTAGGAATCCATCCAATCAGAACACGCTCTTTACTACAACATTCAGCTATACGATGCTGTTTTGATGTCCACCTAAGCTGGGGTGGTTCCTTCGGCATGGGTCTCCATCTCCGATTCGGGAATCGATCCGAAATCGTTGCTCCCTGAGGGGTTCCCACGTGCGTGAAAGTCGACGACGTCCAACCGCATTTTTCTCATGTTGACGAACCTTTGCAATATTCCATGTGCAGGAGTTCAAATGTGAAAAGGAGTTCGCGATATGTTTGGGGAATACGATCCCCAGAGGAACTGGTGTCTTCATCCTATTCCCCAGCCACTGTCGCCTCCGCAACATCTGGACTGGATCCATGGATGATGGATGGTTCTTGCAAGAACCAGACTATTGTTGAATATGGCTACGCTCTACGACCGGTATTCCCTCAATGCCATAGTGACCAAAGAATGTCCTCGTATACCAAATGCAGGTCGCGTCTGGGCAACCGATCGCATAGAATTGGCCATTATCGGCATTGCTACGAAGCTCGTCATGAACCATGACGTTCCCCGAGCCTTCGCATTCTCGTCACGGAAGTATCATACATCCCCCAGAACTCCTTACTTACTTGTGTCGAGAACATAACGTCCCGCGATCTTTCCTGCCTTCATCATATCAAAAACATTTCCTAGCTCCGACAGACCGACAACTTTAAACGGTGCCTTGATCTGCCCCCGGCGGAAGAACTCAATCGCTTCCGCCGAATCGATCCGGTTGCCGACATAGGATCCGCGGATGCTAACCATGCGGACCACCGTCTGGAAGACAGGTGCCTTGAGATATGCGTTTGCGGGAAGACCGATGCAGACGACAATGCCTCTCGGGCGAACGTACTATTCAAGTCAGCGTCTGCTCGTCTCGATCACCAGTTGTTGACCCCAGCATCCCTAAACATACCTCCGTTGCCTGTTGGAATGGCTTCTCATTCACCGCCACCAACAGCACCGCATGCGGCCCCATCCCATCCTCCGTGCACGCCTGCACATCTTTCACGATATCCTTGCTCGTCGCGAAATCCACAAACGACGCGCTGCCCAGCTGCTCAATGCACATCTTCCGCTTCTCCTCCCCTGTATCGATCGCGATACACCGCAACCCCATCGCCTTCGCGTACTGCTGCGCCAGCGACCCCAGGCCGCCACCCGCGCCGACGATCGCGACCGTTTGTCCGGGGCGCGCGCCGGACTCTTTGAGGCCTTTGTAGACGGTGATGCCGGCGCAGAGCACGGGGGCGATGGCGTCGAGGGGCACTTCTTTGGGGATGCGGGACACGTGCGCTGCTTTGCCGATGCAGTATTGCTGGAAGGTGCCGTCAACCGTGTAGCCGGATAAGGTCGCCTTTTGGCAGAGCGGCTCGTCGGCGGCTTGACAGAACGAGCATTGGAGACAGGTGCCGTTGATCCACTGCGGAGGTGTGTGTGTAAGCCTGCGGCCATTTCACGAGGGGTGTTGGAGACAATAAGTGGCGGGGTGGAAGAGCGTACCTTAACGCCGACGTGCTCGCCGAGCGGAATGTCCTCGACCAGCTCGCCCTTCGCGACGACTATGCCCGCGCCTTCGTGGCCGCCAACGAGCGGCATCTTGCGGTCCAGCGGCCAGTCGCCCATCATGGCATGGTAGTCCGTATGGCAGACGCCCGAGTACTTGATGTTCACGAGGACCTCATCCGGACCAGGTTTCGGGGTATCGACTTGCTTGTAAGTGACCGGACCGCCGGTCTTCTCTGTGACTTGAGCCCATTGCTTCGCTGGGACTTCGTATGTCGGGGCCATTTTGGTGGGTGGGTAGAGAATGGACGGCAGTTAGGACGAGACTGGGAATGTAAGGAGGAACTTCTGGATAGTAGTGATGTGATGGAAGTAACGGTTTAAACGAAAAGCAAACCTGACGACGTAATGGACCCTGATATATGTTTACATTTGGAAATGGATGTAGCCATTGCATGGAACGTGAACCCATGGTTTTACAAATCATATTTCCAGTTGTCCGGAAGGCAATACGCGTCAAAAATACCCAATGTAGGCCATCTACACCGTTTGAGAATGTAACATTCAACGCGCCTGACAGCAAAATACAGTTGATCTTCTGAAGCTCAATGCGGGGAGGTGGGCTGAGATTGTATCATGCCGTGCGTAGATGAAGCCAACAACCAATGACACCAAATTCTGACCTTGAGCGATCAAGGGTTCTTCCCCACACATTTCCTCGATCTGTTGATCGTTTGATCATGGAATTCGAATACGGGTCGATTTCGGCATGTTTAGCATCCGCTTGACCGCGTCCCTCACCCCATCATGCGCTCGCCCGTGATGCTCGGAATATTGCCCCTGCGGAATCACGCGGTGACTCAAGCTAAAGTCGGCAATATGCTACTAGGTATGTACAAGATTCTTATCGATTCATCTAGGCCTCAACGTCGAGGCTATAGCTCCTTCTTTAGGAAATGCTCCGGCGCATGGCTCGTCTCATAGTCTACATGGACGTACGCCCGCTCAACATCCGGCAGGCTCTCCAGCTTGGTCTGCAGTTCTTCCGCCACATCATGCGTGCTTCGTAACGAGTCATCTGCATCCATGACAATGTCAACCTCGACAATGAGGCGTGGTCCGGAATGGTAGGCTCGGACGGTGTCGATTGCCGAAATGTGTTCCGAGTGGGTCATAGCTGGGTAGAAGTCAGGACGGTAGTTCTCGTGAACCGTTGATGGCAACTTACAGATATAGGTGATCAACTGCAGCGTATGCGTGTCGGCAGAGACTCCAATGAGCAATTGGAACTCCGAATATGCTGTTCTCGCCCATAGGAATATGATGAGTGTCGATAGGACGATGGCGCCCATCGCATCAATCCACCACTTCAACTTGCTTCCCAGGACCGCGGTCATCAATCCAAACCCATTGATCAGCAAATCGTTCCTATGGTCCTCCCACAGGATCCGCACCTGGCTATATATATTCCTCAGCGCGTAGCAATAGAAGAATAGCGCCAACTTGGTGAAGAACGCAATCGCGACAGCCAGCACCGACGGTAGATGAAAATCCTTTGTGTCCGTCTCCGACCCTCCAATCAGGTCTCGACAGCTCATGACAATTACGACCAGCGACACTGCGATCATGACGAAGCAGAAGATGATATTCCCCGCCGTCTCAATCCTCGCCTTCCCGCTCGGGAACTTCCTCGAATCCACCCGTCCCACCGCCCGGTTGCACAGGATCAACATCACGTTGCTCAGCGGATCGAACAGCGAATCCACCATCGTCGTGAAGATCGACAGCAATCCGGACGAGACCGCCCCGTACATCTGCAGGCCCGCCAGCAACACGTTCGCCACGAACGACCCCTGCACCGCGATCTGATACTTCAGATGCGAGCTCCCCTGCTCCGCCTTCGCCGCCGCCCGGTGCTCGTCCACGGGCTTTAGCAGCCGCTCGATGTTCGCATTTTGCGACTCGTAGAACTCCTCGACTGCGCGGCCGCGGCGCCACGAGGAGATGTCGGTGCTATTGGCGAGGGGGTTGGGGGTGCAGGTCGACCGGGAGGTCGAGGTAGTTGTGCGTTTGCGGGACGAGTTCGCTTTGATCAGGTCAATTTCCGAGGCGGTCTTGAGCCGGGCGGCAAGTTGAAAGGGATCATTCTCCTCCGTGTATTGAGCGGGGCTTTGGCGTTCGACATCGCCTTCGTGGGCGGAGGAATGGAGCCGGGCTACGGGGTCGTTTTCCTCGTTTGGGGTGCTTGCTTCGTAGGCGGTGGTGGTGGCTTTGTAGGGTTCATGGCTGTACGGGAAATGTGTGGGTGTTGGCGCGTCCGCCGGAGTCGGCGGTCCTACATGTCGATGCAGGCTTTCAGGACGAGGACTAGATTGCCTGGAGGGGTTAGGGTCGAGGTGAAATGGATGCGGTCGGAGGGAGATCGAGTGTCGGATCTCTTCGGAACCCATTCTGGTATCTTGGTCCTCCTGAGACGGGACATTGAAGAATCACGAAAGACGAAATACGAACATGACGCGCGGAAAGTTTGGGGGTTTAACGGTTTAGAGACAAGGAAGGAACGGAGTAAAGCTTGCTTGTCTAGTGAAAGCCAGGCCGGAGTCGGTCCTTCTGCCGTGCTTTGCACCCCCACTGGGCCCCACCATAGTCACCTAGCACAGCCACTAGCACAGCCACCAACCTTTTTCCCGGGTCATCAAACATCGAACCTGCTCTGGCACTAAGTTGCAGTTCAACCCTCTTGAGTGAGTGAGTCTTGACAGTTGACACAGATGTCCCTCTTCCCTTGCATTTGATGTTGTTTCCCCCTGTCAAGGCTCCCTCCATTCTGCACTTTCCACTTCAAGCGCCGCCACACGTTGAGGGTAGAGGTCCGAAACGAATACGAATAATATGAATAATATGAATAATATGAATAATATGAATAATATGAATAATTTGTGAATATGAATAAAGTCTTGGCGAATAATGTGAACATGAATATGCCTTATATTCATATTCGCGATATTCATGAATATTCATATTATTCATGAATACTTCGCATAGATATAGGCAAATGAAGTTGTAACATCTAAAGCCTCATTACCATAACATGTCAAGAAGTGCTTGGGATTGTCAACAATATAATAATCAAGGCGTAGATACACTGTCGATGTTCATTTGATCAAAAGCCTAATAGTCTGAATACATTAGATATAACTAAGAAAGTCGCCAAAAAAAGAAACGAAAAGGAAAAAGAAAAAGAAAGTAGATATCGTAGTATCAATACTCTGAGTTTATCACCTTCTCCATAGTTCTCTATGCATTCCTAACGGCCATGAAGGAGTCCTGAAATAGACTACTACCAATTAAGAAGGAATTCGTTATCAGTGTCCCTTCAGGAGTACAAGCCATCTCATCGTCTCTGCATTCATAGAGTGTCTCCTAAGACCCAACACGTCTCGTGCACCACTAAAAGAACGTTCCACGCCCACCTCAATAGAGGGAACGGAGAGACAGTCGCGTGCCGCTTGAGCCATGCAAGAAAAGTCAGGCGCATTTGCTTTCTACCATTTCAATACCCAGTCAGGGTCACCGTCCGCAAACGAGGGATGCGGGTGTTAACGCGACAGACGTGTCATAACTATCCAGGATTCGCGGCTTGAAGTACATAAACCTCCATTCTCTATTACCGATAGTCGAATACATGATTTGACACGTCATTAACATGTCAACTCATGTAACTTATTCCCAGTGCAAATTTAATAGTTATTTAATAGGTTTTGGAGGTTTTAGGCGGTGTTGACGTTTGAGAGGTTGTTTGCGCGGAAACTTGAATAAAAATGATATTGGGAATGAGAGGCAATCTTTGAATCTCTTTATACCTGCAATAGAATAGGGCCCCGTACCTAGACATACGGGATATATGGAATCCAAATTCATGGCTATTCGCAGCACGGCTCAAAGTAGCGCAAAAAACACCTGCGTGGGTTCTGGCATAGGAGCTGGACTGAAATCTGTCTATTGACAAGCAAGACGGTAGCATAATTATAACTATATGGGAAGAGGAAATGGGTCGGCCTGGAACAACAAATCCCCCATCTAATTTAATAGGATCTCAATCCAGGTCTGTTGGTGCTTGCTTGGTTTCATAGCGAGGTAATATATTTCGCGGGACGGATGGCGTCTTCATATATTCCCAGGTAAAGCGGTGGTGTGCTTCGCTATTCCTGCTTCTTTGTGATTTCCTTCCTAACTGTCAGTATCGTCAACATCAATGGCTTCGTGAAACTGGTCGGCCACCAACATGGCAGTGCCGCTGGTGTTCCTGGCCATCTTTGTTGCGATCGCCGCAGCCTAGGATCCGAATATCTTGAGGACAATAGGATTTCCGACATGCTCCGTAAGAAACCCGCCACCTGGTATTGGGCGTGGACATTTGCCTTACCTAGGTAGCGTGTATAAAGGTATCAACACATCTTCCCACAAGGGGATCTTCTTGAGGAAATGATGCGCTAAATGCGCAACAGCGAATCAATTTTGGCGCATTATGTGAAGCCAGTGACATGAAATGCCAATGCATCATTGGATTTGGTCAGGTGTTTAATAACATGTGGGATTGCCTGAACAAGACCCAGGCATGCAATACCACTGAGCTCAATGGTATGTCAATCACATTACAAAGTTGTCAAATAGAGCTAATCAAACCCTTTCAGCCTTCGATTCAACAGTGCACAGCTACTGCGAGAAGATACCCTTCCCCTCAGCTATTCCCTCCTTTCCAAATATCACGGCCTCAAACGCAACAGAGGACCCCTCCCCGGGTACAACAGAAAGCATCTCCAAACTAGCCTGGTTTGGTATTGGAGTCGTGATCGGCCTGGTCGGAACGGGTGCGGTCTTAGGCCCATTGTTCTGGTGGCAGTCACGGCGGTGGAGAGGGGGATTCCAGTATATCGAGAAGCTCAGAAGCGCAAAGTTGAGTCATGGATGTTATCAGTATCCACGGGTGGAGCTGCCCCAGTTGCCAGGGCATGGGGTTCCTGGCGAGGCCAGTGGACGTGTGCTGAAAGGCATTGGAAGCGGAGAAAATACCTAGCCGGGTATTCATAAGGCATGGAAGATGTTTGCGAGGTTGGGAATCGATGACCTATTTTCTCTCTTTGGAGTCCATGGTGATGGTGTGTCTGATACCCCTCTTCTAGATGGGGGGTATTAAGGTGTTCGTTGGATTCAGGTGCAGATGAACCACTTGGTCTTCACGAAGGGATGGACCTTGCCAAACCAAATCCTAGATGTATCCCAGAAAATGAATTTCCATCTATTCAGATGGAAAACATTGAATATTATCTATATCGAATTTCATTCATGAATGAAAAAGATTATCGGGGAGGACTCCGGAGTAACATTTATTGATACCCCTGAAGTCCCAGGCTCCAAGCTGTGGAGAGGAATGTGGATCCGTCCCAACCCCCGCCCAATGCACGATATATGAATCGCAATCACAATACGAAGTAATGTGAACCAACTCCTTTGACATACGGTTTACAACAACATACTTCCTCTTCCTAACTCCCTCAGCGGGGAATAGACCAAGCGTCCCATAACTCTACCATTCAAATCTCCCAACCCATCCGAGGACGCCCTATCCGCCGGATGCCTTCCCAAACATAGCTGTCAGCGCCCTACGCCCGCAATGGTGGTCCATGTTCCTCGAGTCGCGGCCGCGCTCAATCCCTTCCGACAGCGTTTCCAACGGGATGCGCAGTATCAACAAGTGCCAGATGACGAAGATGGAGAGGTGGGAAGGGCGGGATATCTGTATTCTCCGCCGCGACCGCGAGGACGCGCACAACCCCCTCCGTTCACCAATCGACAGTCGAAGTTGAACGCAATTATCGTTCTGTTTGGGTTTGCGATTGTCACTCTGGTGATCGCGTTGTTCAGGTAAGTCCTCTGGCTGTGTTGTTTGCAAAGACCTGGACGAACTGTCTAGGCGGTGGTCGAATACTCAAGCGAAGAATTCCGTAGGTCCAAAGCCTTCTCAAGTAGAGACTCTTCCTTCTGCGACACAGTTGAAAATGGATACCAATGCCATCCTGCGAAATCCCATTTCTGGGGCCAATACTCCCCTTACCACTCCCTCAACGACTCATACACTCAAAGATCAACCGCCCACCTTTGGGAACAATGCGCCATTTCGTCTGCCCATGTCCTCTCCCGTCATGGTGCAAGATACCCAACCCTCGGGAAATCTCTCATATATGCACAACTTGTAGCGCGACTACAGTCTCAAATACCCCAGACGGCGATGATCGGCAAATGGGGCTTCCTGCGCACATACAACTACACCTTATCCATCCATTCCGATCTATTGAGCGAGTTCGGACAGCGCCAGATGTACAACAGTGGACTCCGCTTCCATGACCTGTATGGCTCACTATTCAGCCCTGATGAACTGAACCTGTTCGTCCGAGCCGGCGACCAGAACCGCGTCGTCGAGTCCGCGCTCAACTTCACCCAGGCCTTCTGGTCAGCCGCAACGCCGAAAGCGCCCCATTCCAGCGCGACCGATGAACCGATTCCAATCCTTCGTATTCCCGAGAAGCCACGCGAGAACAATACCCTGCACCACTCGTTATGCGCGCCGATTGAGACGGGGGAATATAGCGACCTCGGGAGCCATGCACAGGAGGAATGGCTGGCGCACTTCGGGCTACCGATTTCGACTCGGTTGAACGAGGAGCTTCCTGGCGCGTCGTTGACCGCGAATGATGTCGTCAGCATGATGGAGCTCTGTGCCTTTGAGACGGTCACCCGCCAGCCGCCGCAGGGAGAGCTGGCGGGGTTCTGCCACGGCTTTACGGTCGCGGAGTTTGCGGAATTGGATTACTATCATAGTCTAGGGAAGTACTACGGATATGGGAGTGGGAATCCGGTGGGGGCGGCGCAGGGTGTTGGTTGGGTGCGCGAGTTGATTGCGCGGTTGACGGAGCAGCCGGTCAAGCATGCCGGAAGCATCAATACGACGCTCGACTCCGATCCAGCGACATTCCCCCGCGGAGGGAAGTGGAAGCTCTATGCCGACTTCAGTCATGACAACGACATGTCTGGTCACCTCGCGGCTCTGCGTCTATACAAGACGCGGCTGCGCAATAATACGAGGCAGCATCCGTATGATTCGGACGGGTACTCGGCATCTTGGACGGTCCCGTTCGCGGGGAGGATATACGTGGAGAAGTGGAGGTGTGGGGAGGAAGATCGGATCAGAGTATTGGTCAACGAGAGGGCCATGAATTTACCATGGTGCCGAGGCAAATCTCAAGCAGATGGTGAAGACATGACTTGTGCAATTCAGGATTTCGTGGATGGGCTGATGGAGATGGGAGATTGGGGATGGGACGAAAAGTGTTTCCCTTGATATTTGGGCAGGTTTTGGATATTGCGGCTTCAAGCGTCTGAATTGTAGATATACCCTCTATCGGTATCATTTAGGAGTCAAAAGGTCTATTTTGAGTTTCCAGATCTTTGTTTGGTGTTGGACACTTGCGTATGTCGCTATCCATCCTCGTCCAGATATCAATGTGATGACTCGTGGAAACTGGATTGGCCAAGCAAACAGTCCGGATATATGACTCGGGTATGACCGAACACGATGAGTGGTGATTTCCCAGCAGAATCCACATCTTGAAATACAAACCACTCGTCTATATAACATTTGCGCTACCATGTTCACGATTTATAGAATGCGGTGACGACATTTGCTACTTTGACGTTTAAATTGGTTGTCACGGCGTATACCAAGAATGGATGACCCTGAAGAGCAACGTGTGTTTCTAGCGGCCATCAACTCTTTCTAGTATGTCTCCCCAATGCATTCGAAATCCCGGTCGATTTAAACAGTCGATTTTATATTTTCCTTTGCTAGAGTATCATCGCATAGTCCACCAGCTAACCCTAACGCAGTTCGTACCGACGTGCCGCTCATCTCAATGTCACCCATACGCGAAGGCAATGCTTCTATAACCTACCAGAAAGCCATTGGAGCCTCCTCGCGCGGGAGCCATTCAACTTACAGAAAGTTTTCAATGATGTAGACGATGCAATCGACTCGAATGCAGACATCGCAGAGGCGATTGCAAATGCCGGGTTTCAGTCGTTCGGTCTTGAGCCACCGGAGAAGCTAGATTCAGCGGGTATGTCGAAATATCTCGAGCAACGCGTTTATACTGGCCTCCGGACTCTGACGGTAACCTAGCAAATGTATCACCAAGTGACTTAGACAAGGCTCGAAGTACGATACGGCAACTGTATAGAGATTGGTCTGCTGAGGGCGAAGCTGAACGCCTCGCATCATATGTCCCTGTGTTTGCCGCGTTGCGAACGCATTTTCCATTTCCTGAAACTGAACTCCACGGGATAAACATCCTCGTCCCTGGCGCTGGACTTGGGCGGCTTGTCTTAGAACTTGCAAAGGCTGGATACACAGTGGAAGGGAATGAGATCAGCTATCACCAACTTCTCGCCAGCTCCTTCATGCTGAATCACACTCAGAGGGCTAGGCAGTTTGAGCTATATCCGTGGGCTCTCACATTCAGCAATCATCTCTCTCGCTCCAACCAGATGGAGAAGATTATGGTCCCGGACGTGCATCCAGGGACATTCTTGGACGAGGCGAGCCAAGGGCTTCCTATTCATGCCGGCGAAAGGATGTCCATGGCAGCTGCCGATTTCTGTGAGGTGTACAAACAGCCTACCGCATCAGCGACATTCGACGCAGTCGTCACGGTCTTCTTTATCGATACTGCGCCGAATCTAATCCACTACATCCAAGCCGTGCACAATTGTTTGAAGGATGGCGGTTTGTGGGTCAATCTAGGACCTTTATTGTTCCATTTTGATGGGAATGCTGCTTCGAGGGGGGACACCGAGGATATGGAGACATCACAGAATGACGATGGGGGACGGTTCAAGGGGATAGGAGAACCCGGCTCGGTGGAGCTGACGAACGAAGAAGTTCTCGACCTCGTCGAGAGGCTCGGGTTCAAAGTGGTGGAGAGTAAGGAGACGGGGTTAGAAACGGGATATATTCAAGATCCACGGGCGATGCTGAATTATAGTTACAGACCATCGTTCTGGGTTGCGAAGAAGTGTGGGCCTATGCCAGCAAATTTATCGTGAGAATAAATTCCACTTGGAAAATGAATCTCATTGATCCTAACAAACACTTGAGTCGGTTACACGACTTGATATGCGCTTTGTTTGTGGCATACGGTTCCTTAAGAAAAGGGACCTTAGCCAATAGATCTGGCGGTGAGGGCTACCCGAAACAAACCTCGAGTCCAACTTCCTCATTGTTCCCCCCGCTCGATACGGTAGGCAAGATAGGCCTACCTAAGTGCATGAAATTGAGTTCTCTGTTTGTATTTTGATTCTTTTCTCAAAATAATTCACGCTGCCATCTTCCTGAGATACCTCTGCTATTGTTGCGCTGCAGCGAATTGTTCATTTATAGTTACTTCCATGGCGTCGAAGAAGAGCGTGTCGTGGCGCTTGCCACCAGACTCTCCAGGCTCGACTCGACTCAATCTTCCGAAGCATCGGAGGGCGCCCCGTACTATTCCCTGGATTATATGTTTCTCTGCCTTTTTTATTCTTTTCTTCTTTTGCCAAACGCGGTATGGAGTCGAGTTATGGAGGGGTCAATGGAATCCGCCGATCGCACAGCCTCCGTTCAGCTGGACGGACCTCTACCCGTCGAAGTCAATAGAGTGGCGGAGCTGCTTTGATAGGTTTCAATGCACCCGGTTGGATGTTCCACTTGATTGGGAAGATGAATTGGATAGGCGGAGGGCAGCCATCGCCATGATTAGGCTGCCTGCGAAGGTCCCCCCTGGACATCCTAGTTATGGAGGAGCTGTCCTTATCAATCCAGGTATGATCGTGTATATGATTGCCTTGTTATAATAGAGCTCACATAACGTAGGCGGGCCTGGTGGCTCAGGAGTCAATACGTTGCTTTCGATAGGACAAGAAATCCAGACCATTGTCTCTTCTCCAGACAACCCTCCAGAGCCATATGCACGATATGCGGATGGCGTAGAAGACCGGCCTCTTTACTTTGACATCATAGGCTTTGATCCAAGAGGGGTGAACAATACTGTTCCAACGGCCTCTTGTTTCCCGGACGACCTGAGTCGCCATAACTGGAACCTCCAAAGTGAATCCCAGGGTGTCGCCTTGGACAATTCCTCTTTTGAGATAGTTTGGGCTCGTACACAAGCTCTCGCGTCTAGCTGCTCCAAGACGATCTCCGGTATGGAGCGTGGTATTGAGGAGGTAGGAAAGTTCATGAACACCAGAGTGGTCGTCCATGATATGATCCAGATGGCCGAGAAGCTGGGCGAGTGGCGCGAAAGGACTGCAAGGGGAAACCTCAACCGATGGAAATCGCTAGGAGATCACCATCAACGAGCAGTTTTGAAACAGCAAGCCTACCAAAAAGGCGCAGAGAAAGTGCTCTACTGGGGTTTCTCCTACGGCTCGGTGTTAGGAATGACTTTGGCCACAATGTACCCTTCGCGCCTTGGTCGTATTGTCGTGGACGGAGTCTGCGATGCCGATGACTACTACCGTGGTGGATGGATGTCGAACTTACAGGACACTAACTTTGTTCTCGATTCATTTTTCCGACTCTGTAATGCCGCTGGCAAGAGCTGCGTGATACATGATGAATCTGACCCCTTGGCTGCTCAGCGAATTTTCAGCGACGTGACGGACTTCCTGAAACTCACACCCCTTCCTGTACCAGGTGATGGGGCCTTTGCTCCAGATGTGATCACCCTTTCAGATCTCCTCGAAGTCGTCAAAGATGGCCTCTACAACCCTCAATTTTTCCCCGTCGTCGCTGAGGTCATTGCAGCGCTGCATGCCCGGGACGGCAGAAAGCTGGCCGCGCGCAAGCAAGGCAATCGGCCCACGTCGACGGCTTTTTGTCGCGGCACGGACTGCCAGAAAAAAGGACCGTGGTCTGAAGATTGCCACGATCCAAGCTTTGCGGTGTGGCAAGGTACGTATCTCTCAATTTCGCCATCACGACTACCCAGCACTTCTACTGACGTGATACAGAGGAGACGTCCGCTGCGATACTGTGCTCGGATGCTCCTGACAAGTTGAGCGAGGGGCAAGAGTTTCATAGGGAGAAGTGGCACCAGTTACTGCAGCAAAGCGAAGTCCTGGGACCGGCTTGGTCGTCGATCACGCAACATTGCGCGGCCTGGAATGTCCGTCCGAAGGATCCTTCGCCGGCTAGGTGGGCAAACGGTACTGATGAGAATGGGAATATCATAGGCATTGGAGCGAAGAAGACGAGCACGCCGCTATTGTTCATCGGGAACTCGAGAGATCCCGTGACGCCGCTCCGCAATGCTGTTAAGATGTCAACACGCTTCCCCGGTAGTGCTGTTCTGCAACAGGAAGGCGAGGGACATTGCTCGTTGGCAGAGATGAGTCTCTGTACCGCGGAGATTGTCAGGAACTATTTCCGGAAAGGAGCAGTGCCACCCCATGGAACGGTCTGCAACATTGATGGGAATGTTTTCCACAGGGACGCTGTGCGAGAAACCGAACAGATAGGAAGGGAACATCGTGAACTACGTACGGCGCTCAGACGGTTAAGTAAGCTGCCACGGAAGTCGTGGCTGGGAATCTAGCCTCATCATTCGTTTGGTGTGATCAGAAATGAGAGTTCTAACTATTGATTTGTCCAACTATAGTCTGTCGTCAGATAGAAAGCACAATTGATATTCAATTGCTGGGGGCCAGTCCCTTTCCATTCTCTTCAGTTACCTGTACACCCAGTTTGTCAAAATCGACATCATTCGCCCAATCTTCAAAGGCTTGCTCATCGCTAGACGCATGCTCATCGAATGCTGGATCATTGGTCTCATCTATCGGATTCAATACGCGCCCCGGTTCCTCGATCATTTCGTATTCATCGAATCCATCTTCTTCCTCGTCGTCCTGTTCGTCTTCCGCCGTGCTTGTGAACTGCGCATGCATGCGCCTCTGAGTAGGCTCGGTCCATGCCGTGAAGAAAGGGTGGTTGGCAGAGAGCGGGCTTCGTTGGCAGACATAGCCCATTGGAGAATCTGAAAAGTCTTTCCCGCGTCGGCGCATAGAAATCCAATCTTTCATGAATGCAAACGAGTTTCTTGGACCAAGTACGGGGGAAGTAGGCCAATTGAGCACCGATATAGTGTGTTGCTGTTTTGCATCGGTATTATCACTGGTAGCCCCATCGATCGCTGTAGAATCAGTATCAGAAGCCGCTGAAGAAGCCGCCGAAGAAGCCGCCGAAGTACACAGAGACATCTCCACGTCGTTAGCGGGGATTGAATCGACATGAACGGCCTCCATAGCCATATTTGAAGAGCTCCCCTGGACACAATTACTGGACTCGTCGCTACGCATCTCGACATCTGTGGCGCCTTGCTCGTTGTTCGTTTGCTCGTTAGAGATTCCGAGGAAGAAGGCAAGATACTCGTATTCCTCATAGCTGAAGTAAAGACGGCCTGCAAACGCCCCGATCTCGACGGTGAGCCATGGTGGAGCCCGCCAAAACTTAGGGAGCGGTGGGAAGGACCAATATTGGAGGTTGTTGAAGCATAGCATGCGTCGGGATATGGGAGCGGCATATGTGATGAGGTGTATTCGGCTGTCCCACTTGCTAAGCAGCCCGAGAACCGCTTCCGCCTCTTCAGGCGTGATGATGAGAGCGTGGCAAGACTCTACGCTCAAAAGCAGCCAGTTCACAGATCTGAGGAAATTATCGTTGGCGGTCCCCCTAGGGGATCGTACAGTTCGGGTGAATTCTGCCGAGACGAACAACCTGGCTTCACCGCAGTACTTGATCTTATGCTTCTTGCCTGTGGCAGTTTGCTCGAGGACTTTGAAAGCAGAGACGATGTCCGAACTGGTCGTTGGAAGGGTACCAGTTTCAATGAACGAATTGATTGCCCGGCTGAGACCAGCAAAGATAATTGGCTGGAAGTAGATCGGCTTTTGCACCTGTCGGACCTTCTCGACCTCCTGTTGCACCTCTCTTTCTTGCTCCACCTCCTGGAGCGCAAAGGCATTTACAGCTTCGCCTGTGTCCTGGAACCTTTTGCGACAGCGGTCGAGTTCGCCGATGATATTCCGTATCTCTCCTGGGCTAGAGTTGATCATCAACCTTCTCCGAGCTCGAGGTTCGTACATCTCGGCAAGGCTCTGCTCCTCTCTTTGTCGAAGGATCTGAACAAAGTTCTCACGGTCTCCTTCAATCTCCAAAACCCTGGGATGATCAAGCACAGCTTGTTTCCGCCGACAGTAGTCCATTCCCTGAGAAATGAATAACGGCTGCATTTGCTCGATCCCGACACACGTGTTCTCAAGTAGCCATGACACAACATCGAACGACGTGATTTCTCCTTTCAATGCCGCTCCGCGATGATCTCGAATGCTCTGATTCACCTCCGGTGGCAAAAAGAACGTGACGCTTTGGGTAGTGCCAAGAAGGCGAAGTCGCATGGCAGCTGCTTGTTGTTAGCCGATTCGCGAGATCTGTAAGGAATTTGAGGTTACTTAGTGTTGACAAACCTTGGACAAGTTGATCTTTTGTTTGAGACAACCCTAGTGTTAGAGCGCCCCGTGCATTGACTGGGAGCTTCAAGTCTGTTCCACGGGCATGGGACTGATCAATATAAACAAGACATCCAGCAAGATTATCCGCGAAAGACGAAGCCAGGAGTGGGACGAGTGTCCCCCCCTTAGAGTAGATCATAGGCTTGCTATTTTTGTCGAAAAACAGGGCAGCAGTAGCACTGTGACCTTCGGAACCGTGTAACTTACTGTCCACACCTAGCCATTCCTTGACTAGTGTCAGATTGTCCATCTCAAGGACTTGAGCACCAGCATCGATAAGGATCATTATCCCTTTCTCGCAGAGCATCCGCAGTAAACCGTTCTCACCAATGTGCTTTCCCTGGAGGTCCACAGCTAGGACACAGTCCCTATTTCTCGGCTTCAGAAGATATATGAGAACTTCGGCATTGACACTAGACAGCTTTGGTAGGTCTTGCTGCTTTATGTTGAACGGAAGTAAGAACCGATTGTCGTTAGTACCGCTGAACCCTGTGGTGAGGGCCAGAGCTCCTCTAGCCTGACCTTTACCACCCGTAGTCTGCATAGGAGGGGCTGCCGAGGAAGACTGTGCTAAAGGAATATCCCATGATGAACTCTGCAGCTTATGTGGGAAAACCTTGGCATGCTTTGGAAAGGCCAAGTTATTAAGAAAATAGTCAATGACAGGCACCTCAAGCCGCAGGCAACTCCATAATTCCTTGAGCTGAATCTCGTCATCGAGATTGATGGCCATCCAATCCTTCAGCGAGTCGGGTACAGCCCCCTGGGCATGTATCCATCTCTCGTAGTGGCTGGCAGGATCATCGGTCTGCATCAGGTGCTGAAGGGCCCCACGGAGCTGCTGAGGGGTAAGTCCACCGTAATAGAAGGATAGCGATGTCAGCAAGAGCGATACATCTGGCTGACCGAATTCGGCTTGTTCACTAGGGACACCTTTTGCATGAAACGGCACGCTTATGGGCTCTCGATCCGGATGTAGTCCGTATTGTACGTTCCATCTCTTTTTTAGCGTAAGGATCAGAATCCGGTGCACAAATAACCCCCGCAGAAGGTAGATCACGTCTCGGATGGTCGGTATTTCACAAAACCCGTTACGAATCGCTTCAACATCAACAGGAGTGACCTTCTCCTCTGAAATGAATCTCCGAATCTGCTCTCCATGTTCTTGAAGGACCTCTCCTTGAGGGAGAATGCTACTTCTGCCGGAGCAAATGTCATCAACCAGTCTGTTGACCAACGCAATCTCTGCATCCCGCCTCATGAAGTATACCATTGGGAAACCGCCGTTGGGTCGTTCAACGACCTCGATGGAGGTTGGAAACTGCTGGTGGATGCTCCAAAAGTGCACCTTCGCTAGGCTCAACACTTTCTCCACAGTTCCCCAGCGATGAGAATGACCAGGAAGCACCTTCTGAGAACCGGAGGGGTAAATCAACTGCGTTTGGACGGCTAGAATACTGTCGCTTTCGTCTAGAATATCGCGACACCGTCTCTCGAGCCAATTTTGAACGTTCTATCGAGCGTTAGTCATCAAACAGCTGGCGATTCAATCCAATGGGGTACCGTACTATCATTGGAGTAGCCTGCTCTACCTTCCCGTCAAGAAGCATCTGGAGACCGCTCAACTTGAAGGAGAGACCATGTTCCGGGTTTTGGATCAAAATGCCACCCGAGCGCCTCACAGCCTGATGTAGATCGTGATATGCCCTAATGTTCTGCACGGTGGCACGTGTCCTTCGAGAAAAGGGGATATGTGAGACTTCCCTTCCAATTAGCCCTCCAAGGCGGGATTGCAAAACTTGCGCTGACTGCAAAAGCAGACTTCTCGGTACAATCAACCGGACCAGGCGCCTTGTATCAGCAAGCACGCAGGCCACCATCGGGAAGACAACGCTACTCTTACCTTGCCCCATATTCATCTGTAGAAGAGAGTTCATCCCACCAGAGGGGCTTATTGTCGCCATCGCGACGTCCACCTGCTCAGGACGAATCGAAATATTGGACTCGATTTCCAGCAGAAGCCAGTCTGGGAACCGTTTCGGATCCCAGTTCCGAGTGCCCATATTCGCAACTTCGGCGTGGAGAATTTGATCATTGCTTCTGGACGCAGCTGCCCATAGACGAAGGAGTCGCTGCAGTCGAGTGATAGCATCTGCGAAGTGGAAGACGAAATCTTTGGCTGGGCCCACAAGTCGGGCTCCGGCCGAAGTGCGAATTGTCTCTAACAACGAGACAACGCTCACTGCCGGCCAGAGCCCGCCGCTCTGCATCCAGAAGGCTTGCGGTGATGCTGAAGAAGGTCCATTTTGCGCGGCACAAAGGAGTTGGAATATGTCAGATCGAGCTTGCTCGATATATGACTGTAGCGTCTGACTATTGAGCTCGCCTAATCCCATGCGATCCATAGTTTTGGTGGACTTGAATGCATCCAGACTCTTGCGTAAATCCGCACCGTACAGATTCCGAATTGAAGAACCACTTTGGACGAGGGGCGTCAGGATTTTTTCTAGCTCAATCACCTCTGCGGAGGCATTTAGTGGTTGGCGGGTGTTTGGATGGGATTCTCCAGGGCCATTTTCGATCCGATGCTGGGAGAAAAGCTCCTCCAAGGGGAACATCCGGCCCATGGATCTGAACGACACCCCATCAATCTGGAAGCTTAAGGGAAGCAGCGAAGCCAGGATTTCTGTCGTTGTCCTCTTGTCAATCTCTGCCCGGCAATTATCGAGATGAAACCTTTTCTGGGAAAATGACTTAGGGAAAGTATCGTTTTGCGATACGTAAAGCTTGTGCAAGGCGTGCTGCACTGCCTCAATGTACGGTGAGAGACGGAAGTTCGCGTAGAGACGGCACCATTCTGCCTTTAAGCTGTCTAAAGCATCGTCGAGCCTGATATAGCCGAATGCAATGTCGGACAACCCTTTCACATTGTGCCAAGCGCACGGGAATTGTATTGTCAGTAGATCGCCCAGCCGATCACAATCGCGCTTGACATGGCGCTCATAGTCCTTGCGGATGTCGGTCTGCTCGGTTCGTGAAAATTGTCGAATCTCAGGGGGAGGAGGCTCGGCAAACTCAGGGACTCTTTCATGAATGAATGATTTTCGAAACTTTTGATATGCCTTGAAGCCAACAAAACATTCGAACTCAGGCGGCGGTATGACTTTGAGTTCTTCGACAAATACGTAGACCAGGAGCGTACGTATTGCATCCATGTCAACTTCATCTCGGAAACAGATCTTCGCAAACAGGAACATCATCATGCTTTCGTCTTCCAGGTTCAAGCATCTGCAAAGTGACACCAGGCTGCCCCAGTGCTCCGATATATTGAGGGACAATATCTCGGAGAGAACGCCACCGGAAAAAGGTGTATCGAACCCCCCGATAAGCGGCCAACTCTCAAGTTTGCCCATAAGATCTTCACAGGTTTGGAGAGAGCTTGGATTTGCATTTCTGACATCTTTCACAACCCGGATGACATTCAACCGCGCTGCAGACCCACTGTCGTCGCCTCTGGCTTGGTAGAGTAGATCTACAACCCCGGTGAGCGGTTCCTCTATGCTCGCGAGTCTTTGATACAGGAGCCGTCGGTACCGGCTTCGATCAGAGAGATGGGCATCGCCTTGAGACTCATCCATCTGGTATGGCGTACCATTCGTGTCATAGAATCGCCCAAGCTCATTTGATTTAGCCAAGATACGCTGCACCGCGCTTAGATACGGTTCTTGCTGAATGTGTGTGGTGAGGTGTGAATCCCATGTGATACTTTGCATCCTCTTCATCTCAGGAGGATAGTAGACTCTGATAGGAGTTAGGTGTGCGATCTGTGTCAGAATTGTTTTGTGCAAGGTGGGATTGAGCGGTTGCCAAGGAATGCTAGACGCTGAACGTAAGCAATGCAATGCCTCCTCGGATCCAGTACGCCGGGTCAGTGGATCTGGTAGAATCCATGACGTGTACGCATGAAGAAGGGCCTTTTCGTAAAGAAATCGCGGCTCTGGAGCACAGTCGATTCGTCCCAAAGTATCGTTTACAAAGTACCTGCAAACTGTTAGCAAGCGCTCAAAAATCTGATTCCTTCGTCAAAATATTGTCCGAACGGGTGTATACAAGGCTCCAAAGGGGCACCATCAAGCTTAGAAGGACATACCTATAGTATCCATCGCCCTCCATCTTAACGGCGACCCTTACATGCGCGCCGGACCTGGTGAATTGAAGCGGTCCAAATGGTACCAGAACGAAACGTTCCCCAGGGTTATTGACATCCTTAAAAACTATTTTAGAATAAAGGCCATAGAACGTCCCACAGTCCTGATTCAAGTCAAACTCGGCTCGAAGTTGCCAGCTCTCCAACCGTTGTTGGCTGTTCACAAAAAAGCTGAGATCGAGTCGTTTGAGCTCTGCGAAGAGACGCTTCTTTCCCTGGAAGACTGTAATGAACCCTGGAAGCTCAAAGAACCGGAAATGGTCTACCATTAACCGGTAAATGTAAGAGTTGGGATCTACCAAAACAGACCCCCGTCGATGAGCAGTGCGCTTGTAGTAGTTGATCGCCCAATTGGAATACTTCAAATTCCAGATGTCGGGCTTCCGGCGGATATCGATGGTGCCTGTGCCAAGATCAAGCCAGTGATAGCAGCTATCGACCAGATCTGCAGGGAGATCATAGCTTCGTTCGTCAGGATAGAAGAGTTTCCGTGGTAGCAACTCCAGAAGTCTGCGTTGGAACACTGCACGGATAACAAGCTTGCCGTTACGGAGACCGAAATGGACCTCATGTCCATTCATGTGAGTGGCTAGGCAGTAATCCATTCCTTCGATGTTACTCGGCCACGTAAAAAGAGTCTCGAAGCCAAACAACTCTTTCAGAAGCTCCAGTTCGCGATGAGTAGGGGGGAGCTGGCCAAGGGGCTCATTGTTGATGAGCAGATGCCCCTCGATGTAGTTCAACTGCACAGATCGCTTGTCGAGAAGTTGTCCTTCAGCACCACCAGCATTAGGGATGTCCACAGTGATCTCGATCCAATTCTGGTATGGTGCATGTAAGAATGTGCATTCGGAGTAGATCATCGCCTTTCCCGCATCCTTTTGAGAAAAGACATGGTCAAGAGCACTGGTGATTCCTTTAGGTCGTGCCTCTATCGATGAGCGCACCAAATTCTCAATCGCCGCACGCAATCCAATGTCTCTGACTAGGGCATTCTTCAGAGGAATAGGCAACGTATGTGGGTCGCAGTTCAAGTTGTCCTTCAAGACGATAGAGGAAAATATAAACTGCTCCAGCTCCGATGAAGTGAGCCTCGAATTTGTCTCTGCTCTTCCTGACAAGGTGATTCGGCACAAGAGAGAGCCCCAGAGGGAGTATGTCGTGACTTTATTCGAGACGTCTGCGTCAGAAGTTCCCTTCAGCATGATTGTTCGCAAGTCCTGGATCCATCCGAAAGTGATCTCTCGCGCAGTCTTCAGCAATTTCAACGTCCTGGTTTTTGAAACATCGCGATGGGCAAGCGATTGGATCCGTAACGCAAGAGTGATGATCATTTCCATGACAGCGTATTCGCGGAAGTTGCCCCATAAAACATCAACACGCTGTTCCAGTTGTGCAACTAGCTTCTCGCAAAAGTAGTTGTCTTCGAAGACAGCGTGAGCTGTACGCCGGACTCCATCCCTGTGTCCCGGACCAGCTTGTAACGCTAGGCGCGAAAATAGGAGTACTGTTGCTTCTGCGCTGAAGTTCAGATTTAGGGATCCGAGTTCAACGAGCATCGTTTGCCATCTAGAAGCCATCGTTCCTGGAAGTGAGAGAAAGGACAGATATTCATGCACATTCGTGCCGTTCGCACAATGGAACTGCGCTGCAAGAACCTCGGATGTAGAGGGGCCTGTGATACCAGTGGAGATTTCCCTAAGGAGTGGAAAAGCGGATTGGGTTGATCCAGCGGGGACCTGAAGCATGCAGTGCCTCGAGAATGATGGGCGGGCAGTATCCTTCAACCAGACACCGGATTCAATGTCGTAGTACTCCCAGTTCAGATTATTCTCGCAGAGGATATCCTCGAGATCCACTGGAAATGCGCTCTCCTTGTAATGGGTTTCTAGAAGCGATTTCGACTGCGACGCAAGCACAACACCCGTCGCTTGGGTATGACAGGAGCGGCGGGCAAGCTGAGAATATGTGTGGACAAAATCTTTTGGCTCCTTTCCAGCTCCCACTTCTAGCCCAAGTGTCCTGAGGACCTTGAATGTCGAATCTCTATATTTCAGGTAGGAGTCAGGCGCTAAGAGTTCAAAACACACCACCCGCGCCTTGACCTCATCTGAGGGCAACGGATTCTCGAGGATGCGAATTCTCATTCTTTTTGTGACCCTCCCGAGATAGCATCGCCCACATCCGTCAGAATCGTGGATCTGGCCATAGGGCCACTCACCGTTCTCTGTGTACAAACAAGTGAGAGATGCCCGCTTTTTCATGTAGTCTGTGTACTCCGACGTGAGAGATTCCCATTCATCCTTCTTATCAGTCCGACGCACTTGGTGTACTGCGTGCAGATGCTTAAATAGCGACTGGAGTGCCGCAGAGCTATGCCCTTCCTTAAAGTATCGATGGGCAAAGCAACTGGGTCCCGGACTCTCGAAAATCGTGACAGCACCCATTCGAGCATTAGAGTGCCTACGATCTAGGTACAGCTGGACTTTTGCCAACCGGTGCATATCGGCGAGTTTTGGAATTTCCAAACCGTGTAGCAGGCTCGATGAAAACGGTGGCACGTACTCTCTGAGTAACGGATAGTGTTTAATGGCGCCTCGGTCCATGGCCACCCAGAGATCCATCACAAGGAGGATCATCAAACTGCATTGAACAGAGTCGCCAGCATATGCCTCCAACGCAGCAGCGAGGCATGTGTCGATCCAGCTTGTAATCTCGGCCAAGGAAAGCGGGTGTTCGGTATCAACAAGCGCAGCGCGTATCTCCAACTCCTTCGCAGCGAGGGACGTATATCGCTTTGTGAATTCTGACGCTGGATCGGACACATGTGTGCTGGGCGGCTGGTGATTCCGGGTCTTGTACCCCGAAATCTTGGCTTCATCAAGGAGCTTTTGGATATACTGGCCGCTGTGGGGGAGGGATAATGTGCAATCCTTTGGTGAAGCTCTAAGCGGAATTCGGTAGACTGGTCTCTTGGTCTTGGTCTTGAAATTTTCCCAAACGTCCGCCAAATATGTATTGGTCCGATTCAGCGCGTTCTTGAAATAAGGCTGTCCCCACGCAAGGAGCACCTCGTACGTTTGTTTCGCAGAAGGTGAGGCAACTTCGCGATCAGACTCCATTTTCGTGAGTTTTCGAGCGAGCTTTGCTTTCAGTAATTCCAACTCTTCACATTCGAGCTTGCCGATGCAATCTTGGAGAAAGTTGCATAGCAACATACACATGACCATCTTGTAAAGTGCCCGTCCTGAGCGCTTAGACTGCAGCATGAGGGTCCTTTGCACCGCCACCCGAAGGGTTAGCCAGACGGCAGATCTCCTCCACGGCTTGTCAGAGTCATGCCAAACCACGTCATCGCGAACACGCTTTCTGAGCAACGGTACGTTGGCTCGGTAACCACATGCCTCAACAAGAGACAATAGGCATCCCGTAATGAGGGAGGGGTCCGCTGTTTCACGAGTCTCGATGATCTGGGCGCCAGCTTTCTTCGTTCGGGCAGCGAACCGATCAATAGACTCCGTAGCAGCTTGTTCCAGAAATTCTGCGAGCTGCTCTTGAAACAAAGGCTTCTCGAAGTCTGTGTGCAACATTGCAGAACTGGTGGTAGGAAAATCCCAACGCAACGCACTAGTCGCTGCGAGGACTTGGTCGCAAAGAGGCGAGGCCTCGAACGCCTCAAAGAACACCTGAGCGTGGTCACCACCCCTACAGGAAGTTAGACGAGTGCAAGATAGTCAATCATATATTCACTTACTGGCTGTCATATCGGATAACAAGACCACAATTTTGTTCCTTGATGTAGAGTACAAGTGACATGCCAGGTCCAAGTTCGGCCAATGCTGCCAGGAGCTTCGCTTTGTCCATGGCATTTTCGAAATTCACAGTCCTGAAAGACTGAAGCATAATACGAATGCTGTTGAACTGGGGCGCCCACTCCAGTGGACCCTCGCCTGCTGCCACTTTGCAAGCTGCGATCATTCGATTCGTCAACTCAAGGTCGACAGCATCGATGAACGGCTCGGCTTTGCCAGGAAGATTTGGGGGTAGTGCAATATGGTTGAACACGGCCTTCGGCAAAGCGGCCATGTTCCTCACTTCGGTTGCCATTTTCAGAGTGGTAGCGAGAGTAAAGTGAACGAACGAAGGTTAGAATTTTGAAATAAAAAATATGCGAGAGAAATGATACAGAGAAACGGCTTGCAAACCCGGGTGATAAAGGCAACCGGGGATGAATGGATTGCTTTGGTGGAGTGCTTTGGTGGAGTGCTTTGATGCGAGGACAACACGCAGATTGAGTTCGGTTGAAATGCCCGACGGATTGCAGATGATCCACGTGTCTCAGTGCCTCAACGACTGCGATGTCTCCAATATGTGAGCAGATATCTTTACTAAATGACAGGTAAAGAATCCGGTGGTTCTGATGGAGACGTGATTGCAATGAAACAGGACAGGAACAAGCTGTTTGATCGCTCCTGATCGATGTAGCATGCGATGGAGCTATGAATGGTTAGATCTGAAAAATAGAGAGAAGTGAGTGCGTGACGAATGGAAGATGAAAGGGAGTGGGTGGAGGAAAGATGAAAGTGAGTGGGAGGAAGAAAGCGAGTGATCCAGGTTAAGGGGATAAGTCTTTAGAAGTCGCCTGGTATGTAGATCACTCACTTCTTGTCGCTTCATGTGAAGGAAGCCTTGTGTATTATGTATGCCCTTCGGCAGCCTCCAGGACACTGAACGACATCTGCTTGGCTTCGAAATAGCGTGTTTTTTGTAGCGAAATCAGCTGTGCGGGTGAAAACTCACTCGACAAAGCCACATGACAGAGCCATATTCAATTCAACCCTAAACAAACTTGCGGCTGAGGCGGTGAAACCAGTCAATCCTGATATGCATGTCTCATATCCAGACGCGTCTCTTCGCGTCCCTGCTAAGGATTCTGGACAGGACATTAGCACATTGACAGACACGGCCATGGGCGGTTCTGATCTTCCATCAGAGACTTTCGCATGGTGGATAGGTATACTAACACAAAAAGGTTTTCTAGACCAAATCTACAAGAGTTTTGCAAATTTCAACGCGTTTGATCAAGACGTGAGGTTGGATTGCCAAGAAACGCCCATAGCCGCTAAACCTTATTTGAAGTTCATAGGATCCATCAAAAACGGATCGGTCAGAGATGGAATTGAACAATGGCGAGCTGGGAGCACCCGTTTGTCGGATGGCTGGGCATTTCTTCCGAGTTAGAGGATGGACGTACTCTGGCTGAAACCGTCATGCATTTTGCTACCATTCCTATGCTAAACTGAAAATGCTATGTACGGGTGCTGGAAACGAAGAGCAAATGTGCCACCACCACTCCGCCCTAGTGTCGGACATGAGTGCATGAAAAGAAGGCACGCTCCATGGTTGAGTAGACGGGGATTCGGGAAATCTGTAATCTCGCGCGTTAGGTCGCAAAGAAGAAGTATGAGCCCTTACTCGTGGAAAAGGCATTGTCGGAACCCAACCCGTCGTCCGCATTGGATCGCCCGGACTTCTCGAGTGGGCGGAACGAATTCCCGACCGCGGCACGGCCCATGACGTTTGCCGCCCAAGAAAATCGTCTGCGTGCTGTCAGCGTCGCCCTGCAGGTGTTGGGTGGCCACGGTAGGTAGCTCCGGCTCTAGAGAGCCTTGGTCCGCGAGAAGAGGGAGCTGTAGACGGCGTCAACGACCGGTTGGGCGCTGATGATGCGGCCGCCGAAGAATCGGCCGTTGAGACCTTTCATGGCGTTCTCTCCTCCCTGGATGGTCGAAAACTTGACGTAGACGTCGCCCTGCGAGCTGGGGTCAACGGAAATGTGGACGACGTGCCCATACTTCGCTTCACACTCCGCGGAGATGTCCTCTTCGAGTTCTTTGAACCAGGTGTCACCCTCTTCCTCACTACGAATGGATTAGCATATGGTCGTGCACTCTGGGAAGGGTTTAACTCACTTTGGGTCGAACATGTTTTTAAGCACGATGGAACGGCTGGCTTGGGGGGCACTCATAGACGTTTGAGCAGTAGGTTTGGCGGTGGGTCGCTTCTGGTGGGAGGGAGCCTCCGCCGGTTCATCGGTACGCGCGAGTTTTCGCATTAGGGAGTCTCTGCTGTAATTGTTGAAGTTTACACCTGCAACATCGGTGTCATCAAGGGCGCTGGCACCTCCGGCGCCACGGTCGTTGTCACGGCCTCCAGCACGATCAAACCCTGCTCCGCCAGCTTGGACGCCACGGCCTCCGCTTCCGGAGAAGGCCGAGCCTTGGTAATTCGATGGCTGGTTCATGCCGCCGAAACGTTGCAGGAGGTTGGCGGTGGATTCGTTGGTGAACTTGTCGTTGCCGAGGCCAACGCGGATGGCACGTCCTGCTAAGTCAAATCCATTCATTTTCTCAAGAGCATCGCGAGCAGCTTGGGGGTCACGGAACCTTTGGATTTGTTAGTATTGGAAGGTTATACAGAAACAGAATGGACTTACTGAACAAACCCGTAGCCTTTGCTGCGGCCGTGTTCTTCCTTCTGCAATTGGACGAATTCCAATTCACCGAAAGCCTCGAAGACTTGCTGTAGATCACTCTCAGTGATGCTGAAGTGGATGTTGCCAACATACAGCCTGTGGAATGGAACACCAGTAGACCCTGCATTCCCTTCGGCGGTTCGGGCTTGTCGATTCTTCTCGGCTTCGGTGAGCTGGGCAATGATGGGGATACCTAGTAGCTTTTGGCCCGTAAGTTGAATCGCCAATTGAACAGACTCTTCGTTCTTGAACTCGACATAGCCCACACTGGCATACGTTAGCTATCATCCTAGGATATGGAACGTGAAGACATTACCCCTTCGAGCGGTTGCTCACTCGATCCTTGACAATCTGGGCTTCCTTCACCGGACCAACCTTCTCGAAGAACGTAATCAACTCCTTGGTTCGAAGACGGGCAGCCAACTGCTGGACAAAGATAGTGCGACGATCTCTCTCGTCTTCAGTGAGCTGAGGCGACTTAGACTTGCCACGTTTCGCGGACGGCGATGGACGACGACCATCCCTCCCTCTCCCCCGCACACCTTCCCGGTCACCTCGGTCTCGGTCTCGATCGTCTCGGCGTTCGCGACCCCCGGGTCGATAGTGTCTGTCACCGTCATTTGAACGAGATCTGGATCTGGCTTTCCCATTTCCACGATAATAGTCCCCTCCCGACGCACGATACGGATCTTCTACATCGGCCGATTCGCGCCGCGGTTCACGTCGAGAGCGGTGCCGTTCCTCAGGGCTTCGGCTGCGACGTCGGCTCTTCAGACTGCCGGCAGCACTTCCGGCACGCTCGCTGCGCGCTCGCTCACTCCGGTCGTCACGCGGTTCATCGCCGTCGATATCTCGGGATTTCCGGTCTCGACTACGGTCCTTTCGTTTGCGATCGTGATCTCGGTCGCGGCTGGAGTCTCGGGCGCGGTCTTTCTCGCGTCGTTCATGACGGCTGCTCTTGTGCCGGTCTTCGCGCTCCGCCGAGGCACGTTCCTTGGCGTTGGCGGTGGAGTCGAGAAGAGCTTCAACGTCGAGACCTGACATGTTGGTGTTGGATACAGTTCGTTAAGTGGTCAGATTTCGATTGTGTGGTGATCACTTTGATGAATCAGAGTGAGTTGTGCGTGTAAAGGTTGAAGGCGAACCCTTTTGTGCTATGAAACAAGGGTTTTGCAACGGCTGCGGGGAATTTTCCTGTACAATGTTCCCTTGCTGTACCCTTTGGTATTGCAAACGGCTTAATATCGTGCGTCTTGATGCAGTAGAGTTCAGGTACAAGCCAGGTGAGTTTGATGGTGGAAACTGGAGGAGAGGAAAGTCACAGGCATTGCAGATCGACATGGAGGCGGCAATCGCCGTAATTCCAAGATTTGACACATTTTCATTGTCCACGTGACCGCCATTCAATCGGTCGTACGAAGATGGGGGATCTTTTGAAGCAGACAGTTTTTAAGGTCTATGACCATAACATAATGAGTGCTGATCACATTCAGGTATGAATCAGGATATAAGACGTAGGTAAACATCAATATTGGCTAAGTGGAGGTATTATTCGAGACTGTTTATACAGTTCTCAGGCCGTGGCAAATTATAGGGATTAGGATCTCAATATGAACCCGTCGAAGTTCGTTTCCATAACCATTACAACTCCAAGCAACAAAGTCCATTGATCAGAAATAAAGTCTTCATGATGACTTGATGATCTTTGGTTCTGGCATCTTCAGCTCCGTTCCAAACACCCGGTCCCAAAATGGACTGGTTACACCGAATCCATTCTCATAGTCTGCGAAGTGGTGTTGAAGATGGTATTTCTTTAATCCTTGGTAATAGGACGGAAGCCTATGGATAGTTAGTAAGAAAATTTTCAACAAGGAGGGAGGTGATCATGAACTCACTTCTTGTGGTGAAGGAAATAGTGCGTCAAGTCATATGCGATGTAGCCGGTGATACCTCCGCAATAGGCAGCCGTTGCAGCATACCAGTTGTAGGAGAGGACAGCGTGGGCGAGCGACCAGAACGGTGCTGCGAGTACCGCAAACAGGGCAGGCGGCATGACGAGTCGGAGGCGATCCATGGGAAGGTAATGGTGGACGCCATGTAGGAGGAAATGGAGAGTCAGGAAAATCCCGTGATCAGGCAGATAACTAGAAAATCGTCAGAATCATGCCCGCAATCAACATTGGACCGGGAGGCATACTTATCGACATGGAAGAGGAATCTATGCAGGATGTACTCCAGCAACGTCCAGAAACACAGTCCAAAGAACCAATATCCGAACAATTGAGAGTCTGGGAGCCCCTGGCTTGCCACCCACACTCCGTATGAAACGCAGGGGACCCAGACCAGTGGCACAACCCACCACGGGGTCTTACTCAGCGGCTCGAGGAAGTTCCCGAATATCGGCGCCGACGCTCCCCCTTTGTAATGGCGTGGTCTGTGAATCTGCTGGAGGTAGAACTCTTTGCTGAACCCTCCCTTCCAGACTTGCATCAACATTGGTTTGTTCAAGTCGATGAACTTGTGTGTCTTGTAGTCGTCGGCAAGATTGGTTTCTTTCGTCAAGTCTGCTTCGGAGGACATGCCGGTGGCTTCGAAGACGTATCCAGTGGGCAGCCCGTTTTCAATGCCGGTAGATGCACCATTGGCCTTGAACCCGTTGGCACCTGCCTTCCATGAGCGAGGAGGGACGATTGATTCAGGCTGGCTGCTCTTCGTCGCCGCATTGATGGTCGTCGGTACGAACCCGATCAGAAGGTCTTCCAACATCTCATATGCGGAATCGGTATGGAGATGCGATACCTCGTCCTTCAAGACCTCCTCCACATCCTGGCCTGCGTGTTCCAGCAGCAACTCCGGGCCGCCAGGGTGACCGTCCATGAACTCGGTGACATCGTAGACGTTCGTTCCGATGGTCACATAGCAGGATTCGGCGGAATTGTGCGACTCGACTTCGGCCCGGGTGATCGTGGGCAAGGTTCGTCCAGGCATCGTGGAAGGAGGCGGATTGGAGATGGCTGAGGCAAACGGAGGATCGTAGGCGGGGTGGGACGACTTGTCTCCACGTGAAAACGGGACGAAATCAAAGTCCCCGAAACCGACGTTAAGGAAAGACCATACGAGTTGGAGAGAAAAATGAGGAGGGGTTGTAGAAATATTGACGGCAAAGTTACAATCCCTTTGTGGTTCAAGACTTCAAGTGAGCCCTGTGAGCCCTGAGATTGTGCATTGGGATTTCAGGATTGCCCCATAATAGGGAACCTGAGCAGGTTCTCCTAAACGCTAAAATTGCCGCAGGCACCCGGTACCGCCAAGCCCGTACCGCCTTGCGCCTGCCCTTTTCCCCTGTCGAAGATCATAGATCACCGGATTGTCAGGCAACCTCACGTGATTGGCTACTTCGTTTTTGCATCGGGAACTTCATTTCTTGGATTTTACAGAATCCGTCAAGTGCAAGTCGAGTACGAATTGCATGCATCCGGATACTTCCCTTTCCGGGACTGTCTCGAATACCGGTATTTCTCAAGAACACTCCATTCCCTACCAGAGAGACCAGGAGCAGGGCTCATATGAATGGTACAGCCAGTCGACTGTGACTAGGTACGATGCTAGTTTGTCAACGCAATTCGTCAACACCGCGAGCGAGTCACCGCACCATTAATTTCCGTCCGGTATTACTGTACTATCTCCGTCAATTTTGGTTTGAACACACCGATTACCAAGTGACGCCTCCCAGCTCCATTGATCTTTCAAATGTCAGCCTGACTATGCGGACGCTACCGTCGAGACACTATCAGTCGTATCAATTCAGCTATCGCCGTTCAGTCCCCCTCTCTTATATTCCGCGATTTGCAATCGGTTGAGGAATGAGCCGCAAGTCACTCTGCTGCAGTATATATCTTTGATTGTTTCTTTCCATTCAACCCGGTAGCCCGATTACGTTGCGGTATAATTTCCCACTCGTCGATGTCTAGTGTTAGCTTCCAAGGACAAGGTATCGTGGATACAAGTTTCCAGAGAGGGCGATAGATTCGTTGTTCAAGTACATTTGATAGAACCTATTCGAGTAGTGGTTTGTCTGGATACTTTGGTTTGAATACAAGTGTTTTAAGTCTTCGTCTATCTACACCCTGGGTGGAAGAATTGAACATTCTTTACCATTAACCTCTCTCCAGCCTCCGAGAAAGGATAATCGTATCGCCTACTAAACTAAAGGAAGCATGTAGGGGAATTCTATAATTTTTGGAAAGTAACGTTCGAGTGTCTTTGTCCCTTGGGGATATGCTACAAGGTCATCATTGTCTTTTGCTTCTTCTACTCCGGATACTAACATCTTTCGAGATGTATGTTGGACACTTCGAGCAGGCTTCCAGCTTCATAACAGAAAGTTCATTGTCCTCCGACGGACGTCCGAGTCCATAACACAGGCTACTGGTGTTCTAGGTAAAACACAGTAGTCCATTATCACAGCTGCCCCTTCTTCAACCTGTTCTTCATGTCTTCTTCCTTCATTCTATTCTACTCTCCATATCTCAGCCTATCTTGGTCTCGAAAATGGCACCTCGAATCATTTTTTCTATCGGTGTGCGTCGCCGTCGAACTCGCGACCCTAAAGGCGACCCTGAGGCCGAGCCTCTGTTGAAGCGCCGTAGGATCGCCAAACCTTCACCGCAGCCTTTACCGAAACCCACCAGGCGGCGACTTACACGACGACGATGGTCGAGCATCCCGGAGCCTAAGGGGTCACAGACGCCAGTAGCAACAACCAATTCTCCCGTTCGTACCACGTCACGACTTTGCTCCGATTGCCAGCCTAAAGAGCGATATATCCTCGGCCGAAATTCCGATCCACCGATCCGGACTCGTTTGTCTATCCACCAATGCGAGCCGAACAGTGTCCCGCGTCAACACAGGGGACTAGAAAGCATCCTCAAACGCGTCACCAGCGCATTCAGACCACCAACGAAGATCCCGGTAGAGCGCGTTTGGTTCGCGAAATCAGATGACATCGTTCTCCCCGATGATCCTTACGATTCCGACGGTACCGGTGACTCCGTTCCTGCGAGGGGTAGAATGTAACGCTGGACATTATTCGGAAAGAGGGATGGCTTCAGTGGAAACACGGTGCGTGATGTCGAGGGGGTAGTAGCGCGATTATGTTCCCATGGAAATCCAGGGAGCCGAGTGATGAAGGACTGTCTTCTAAATTGAGATATCGACCGAGTTGAGAAAGGTAAATCGTTCAGTGACGTGGGGACTCGCGCAGCAATCCAGTCCGCTCGTCAAGGCTACAGCGGGACGATTAGTTTACACTCAACGCTTAATTACCTGAAGAACAATCATTATTGCAGAGATCAACAGCATTTAAATGTACCTGTACGGATATGAAGAAGGCTTCGTCCAAGTTCTCCCAGACCTTGCCGTCCAAGTCAACTCTAATGACAGTGACCTTTGCCAGACTGGTTCAATCAAGTCACTATGCACTATCCCTAGTTAAGAGTGCCGGGTCGCGTGGCGGTGCCATTGGAAATCATCAGCAGGTTCGATTACGTGAAATCCTCCAAGGTGCAAAAAGTCGTCGCCTGTACTCGGACTCGAACTAGTGACCTTCCAATTCCTAAAACCAGTGCAAGAATATTAGTCATCCTCATACCTGTCCAGATATACCTCCCCTTCTCCTCCCACTCCCCTCCACACTGATCCTACGAAACTGAAAACATCAAAAATGAACAGAATAACAAAAAGGGCCCTAATTTGGATTGCCAGTAGAAGGAGGTTTCATTTTTGTGCCGTTTCTGGTATATTCGGCTTAACCCCCCCAGAATATCATGTAACGGGATGAATTAGATTACCCCAGTGACCGATGCCAAAGGGGGGCGCTACTTATGTTGCGAGACCTTGATCAACTTACTGAAAATTGAGTTGTTTGAATCTGTATAGTTAATTCATGTCTAGGTCTGGTCAGTGAGCTCACCACTGCATTGATTCACCCACCACTTCACTGTGCTTCATTTCTACTTCTAGCTGGAGTTGTTGATGCATCCCTTGCCTATTGTTGTTTGTCTATGACGTTTTACTGAAGCAATGTAACAGAAAACCCCAAGCTAGTTAGCCCTATGATTGCTAGCAAACATTCAGTCATTTATATCCAAAGTTGTGATTTTTTTTTCTCTACATAGTTCTCATCCAACTTCTTCTCCTCTCCACTGCTTTCACTGATACCATTTCTAGAACAAAGCTGTCGTCTCTTGTATTATTTGTCGTCCATCTTTGTTCCAAGTCAATGCCACCTCTTATGCTCTAGTGAAACAGTTTGAGTGAAAGGGGTAGGATATGATATCAACTACCGGTTGTCAATGGATAGATCAATGAAATGTACAAATGAGAAGTTTGTTATCTACTCTATATAAGCCCTTCACTCCTCCCAAGTGCCGTATATTCATATTCCTCATGTCTTATGGCTACAATGCCTTCAATTGCCCAATCATTGCTGGGACATTTGGATAATCTGTCAGACAATCGAGCAGCTCTCATAGTTCACTGGCAAAAGTGGAACAGACCTTCCCTCGTATTCATAACGCGCTTGTAGAGCATTTTGTAGTACACTGTCTCAATCAAATTATTGCTGTCCCCATCCATTGTATGATAAGGATGGTATCCTAGAAGATTGGCTAGAATCACCATGCATGTCCGACGACTAATTCGAAATTGGCAAATTGCATGATCGCACTATACAACAATCGATTCACAAGCATAGAGAATCTCTACTAGTCCCAAAGCTTATATATATCAACCGGCCTCTAGAATACCGATGGTGTAACTGGTTAATAGCGATAACCGAGAGCTTATCCTTCACGAAAATGCCGAGCATAGTACATAATTTAGGGAAGTTAGATCTGTAACAAACATCTATTTGGTTATGGCTCTACTTTCCTTATGGGAAAGAATTGCCAGCACTATACTGGTTGATAGGAGTTTATAGTCTCTAGAATCAATGAGATTCGATAAAGGATAATTACAGCTTGGTGCTGATCCTTCATACGACAAGTCTTATAACCTGTTGCCATCGGCTTGAGTTCGACAGAACGGAAAGCGGCCTTCAAATCCGATAAAAAGCAGCTGAATTGAGCTCAAAACTTGAGGCCTAGGGCCTCTGGGTTGCGGATGGGGGACATGTTAGCCTCTGGTCCAATCGAGATTTGGAACAAAGGAGTCAGTGTGCGACAGTGAGTGGCCCTGAATCTGATTTAATGCATAGTCTAACTTACACAGGGCGCCATATGGCGTTCGATAGCAGGATATCTAATCTAGGGCGGTCTTCCTGTATGCTCCGCACGCTGCCTTTATCGTATAAATTATACAGGAAGTCCAATATCTGACGCATTATGTAGCCCGAGAGTTTCCAATCCTAGCTCCGCAACCCGAAGAAACGGGTGCGAACGAAGCGCCACCACCACGCATAAGCCGTCAACAAGGACAATGCTCGAGTTAAGAAGCTGCCTAAATCAACGAGGTGGAATCATTTCCTTTTCCACAGCTGTTTTGAAGAGGAAAATTTAATCCAGAACGTGTACGGATCTGTGACAGCAAACGACGTCGAGTGGCGAGAGGCATAACTCTATCGCTGGCTATGCTAGATATCTCAGAGCGGGAGTTCGTGCTCGGCCTGATATGTGTGTGTGGTGGTTTCCCGTGTATAATCGCTTAGAAGCATTATGTTCGAGGCTCAGTTCGACATTCAGGATTTGAACCTATGCAAGGGGCGCGAGACGATGGAATTTCGCAAGATGAATGCGCACAGGAGGCAGAATCAATGTGATGGAGCTCATATGAGCTGTGGTATGAAGAGAGCGCTAGAAGATGCGGACAGGGAGATGGTCATGAAACACCTCAGACTGACGGAGGACATGCTGAAGCACGTTTTCTATAGCGAGGCCGTCACCGATGGTGGGCAACCCACCGCGACCATCCAACCTCCCACCGACGCTGATCCACCGAGCAGGACAGCCTAACTCGTCAACGCTGGTCAACTAATCATTGTAGATCTCCCAGGTGGTGGCAGCGAGGAACTTGACATGGACAACAAAGTGCGGAGCACAATCTCACCCGAGAGGGGGAGACTGATGGATCGGGAAGGCACAACCAGAATTTACAGATGGCATCATGTTAATTATGATAACGAGTCCGTCGCGAAATACAAGAGTACGTTAGACTAGGGTAAGGGTCGCTGATTGTAAGGCAAATCCTATGCCCAGAATACTAACCCCCGACAAAGCACTGGTTGGAAAAGCACAAATCTGGAGGAGACAAAGGGGGGAGATGATGAAGCAGGAGAGGATTCTTAACCTCTCGTAAGCAGACATTCTGCTCTCGGCCCAACGTCTGAGACCAAAAAGAGCCAAGGGGCGGTCCCTTCCGCCCATGTGACAGACCGAAGCGAGAAATGATTCCTCAAAAAAGGATGGATGGAGAGCTACTACTGAGCGAGGAGGAAGCCTGCTCTGAACTCACCAAGAACGAAGACAAAGGATACTGTATTTAACTTGAAGCCAATTCTGCACAAACAAATCCAGTGATAATACTTCGTGACCAGATATTTGGACACGAACTTCGATTTCAGTGCAATCAGTGATCAGACTTCAGGGCACTAATCACCTCGAGGTTCAAAGGGATTAGACGGAATTATGGCCATGAGAAACCCTCCATGGCCTCGCAATCTCTCCATTTTGACATTGTTTTACCGGTCCAGAAGCATGAATGCTAGCTAGGTAGGGGTGGTGTATCTCGCCCGAGAATGAAGCTAAAATAGCCGTTAAGGCGGAACTATCATCAATGTCATCCACTCCTAAGCCGGGCAATCGTGTGAGTCGGTAGTGATTTTTAGTTGGCAAAATACTTATCAGACGTAATCACGTCATTCATAGCAGTGCTATCGTCACAATAAACAAGATCCGTCTTCCAATGCATCAATATATTTGGTATACGCCTCTAACCCAATCTATCCGGCATTCCCCCTATTCCCCCCCCTCTTCTGCCTCGCAGCATGCCCCGCCAAACTCTTCCTCATATCCACCAAACTCCGTCGATTCTTCGCCTTCGCCTTCCCCAACGTCATCATGAAATTCTTCTGCCGCGACTTCTCCTTATTCGTGCTGCTCTTCCCCGCCGCCTCCTTCTTCTGCTTGCGCAGCGCCGTTGTGCTCATGTGCTTCTCCTGGCGGTCTCCTTTGGCGGCGGCGATCTTCTCCTCTTTCGTCTTCTTGGAGGAGAGCGAGCCAACCGCTTCGATCGCCTCCGCGGTCAGCGGGTCGTCGATATGCGCTTGGATTTGCTTCGCGCGCAGGGCGGCGGCGCGGTCGAGGTGGTGTTTGCGGTGGGTGGGGTCCATCTCGCCGAGGACGGAGGATTGGGTGCGGAGTTCTTGGAGTTTGGCGAGGTCGGCGGGGGTGAGGATGCGGGAGGTGGCGTATTTGGAGAACTGGGCTTTGGCGGCCTGCTCGGGGTCGAGCGTTTCGGAGGGACTCTTCTCTTTGGCCGCGTCGGTCGGCGGCTCAGTGGCTTTTGCGGCTGTAGCGGTGGATTTCGCAGCTTCTTCGGCCGTCTTCCTTCTTTTGGAGGCTCGTTCGTCTTCGCTATCACTGAAATTGATATCCTCGCCGTCACTCTGGACGTCGATCCAGCCGCCAGAGTCGTCACTGTCGTCAGCTTCGACATCCCAATTCTGCCACCCAGCTTCCTCATCTTCCTCAATACGTTTCTCATCAGCAGCTTCTTCATCCCCCTCAGCCAATCCCGACTCTTCCTTCTTCCGCAGCGCTTCTTCTTCTTTATACTTCTCCAGTAGCTCCAATCCTTCAATCACACCCGGCTCAAACTCGCCGAACTTCTTCGTAGTCAACTCGCCGCTCCTAAGCCCCAGCGCCGCCTCTTTTCCACGATCGCGTTTCTTAAGCATGCTCGGCCCAACTTCTCGGTACAGACTCAGCAAACCCCGAGCGGCCATCATCACGCCCTTGTCTTTGCTCTTCCGGTACATGATCAGATCCTGAAGCAGCGGCTCCTCCATCGCGAGCGGCTGCCGCACGCAAATCTCTCGGATCGCGTTCAACCCCGCACACGCGACCTCCGACGCCGCCGCTTCCGACACAAACTCGTTCGCGATCTTCTGCACCAGCGGCGTGATCGACTCCGGCGGCACCAATTGATGCGTGGCCTGCGCGAGCGACGCGAGGAACGTCGTCACCGACGGTTGCCGCGGCGTAAGGTATTTCAAGAAATAGGAATATAGACTGGTGATCTGCAATTGATGCAGGCCGATCAATCGTGTTACAAGCTGCAACACATACAACTTCTGCTCCAGGTTCAGCTTCGATTTGGCCTGCTGCAGATGTTTGGAGAACAGCGAGTCGGCGAACCCCTGTGGATCGTGCAGCAGATGCAGCGCGGAGAAATTCAACATATGCGGTTGATTCTTCTTCTTTTTCTCCTTCTTCTTCACCGTCACCACGGCCCGTTTGAGGTCGCGGCCCTTTTTCTTCGATTTCTTGTTAATCTGCATCTGGTGGCGCAATTGGTTGATGTCGATGTCCTCGTCATCGCTCGACTCGTCCGCTGCATCTTCGCGCTCCTTGTCGCCGCCGAGGAAGAATCGAACGCCGCCAGAGATGACTTTCGGGTTGTCGGAGAGGGAGGCCTCTTTCATGATCTCGACGGCTTTGGCTTCTGTCCAGATTTGACGTTTCCAGAGCTCGCGCGTGATCTTAACGGCCCATAAGCCCTTCGTGGACTCTCGGTCGGACGCAACGAGATTGAAGAGGTATGTCTGCGTGGAGCGGTTGAGTTTATGGTTGGTCGTCTTTGCATTCGACGAACGGAGGTCGGACAGAATCTTTTGCAGAAGTAGAGACCGGAAGACTTTGCTAGGTGTTTCCACTAAGATCGGGAAAAGGGTGTCGAGAAGGCTACTTCGATCAGCGGAGTCCATATATATCAAAGGCGGGAAATCTTACGTATTGGACGTTATGACATGCTTGTTCTTCAACAGCACCAAACTCCCCACTATCTTTTCCCTCAAATCCACCTGCAACTCCGCATGATGCTTCGACAACAACAACATCAAATCTTCGGGAAACTTCTTCGTGAGCTCGGGATAGCAGTCCGCCACATGCGCAATCATATCGATCAGCTCATGCAGCGACACCAGCCCATTGTCGTCCGTGTTCGCGGGCGACTCTTGGATCACCGAGAACAGCGAATCATACTGGTTGTATTGGTTCTGGAAGTCGTTCCTGTAGGAGATCGGGTCCCGACGAATCTTGTTCTGCAGGTTGACGAGGTCGGCCTCGACCTTTTCGAGGGCGCCGACTTTGCGTTTGCCCATTTTGAGGGCTTTTCAGGTCGATTCGGCGTAAAATATGTGTGAAGAGAGGACTACAATTCGTGGAGTTGGAGGTGAAAAGTGCGGCGAGGCGGGAGAACTGAAATTTTCAGCCACATTTGATATTTCCCACATGCACCGCCACATATCGACCCTGGCGGGCCTGGTTTCACTCCTGTCGGATTGACAGAGGTGGGGGAGAGCCGGCAAGAAACATGAACAGAAAATCGAACAGCAAGACCAATATAGACTTATTCGAGAGGACGATTATTGGAATTGCTAATTAGAAGTGTACAACTGCCGGTATCATCCATGCCGGTTTTGCAATAATGAGGGATGTCCGGACTTTATGTGCACATCTTGCCAGTTCAATTATTTCTACAACCATGCTTGGATGCCCTCATCCAACAAACACATCGCAAGCCCGAAAACGCCATTCTGACCCTTTTTCAACCGTATATGCAACCACCACAAGTATTAATTAACCCCGCAGCTTTTTCCCCTACTGCCTCCTCGCTCTCGGATCCTGCGCCTCCATCTTCCTCCAATCCCTCAACTCCTGCGTCCCCAAACTCCCCAACCCCCCTTCACTCCTCCTCTCCCAACCTCCCAATCTCACCACCAACGCCGTCGCATTATCCGCACTCGCGCTCACCTCCACGGCAAACGACACCAGATCCTTCGCGCCCTGTTCAGGCGTCTTCGCCTCCTTCACCACGTCCACGATCTCCTCATCCGACATCACACCGGACACGCCGTCGCTTACGAGCACGAGGAACGAGTACTCCGCGGGTGAGAGCTCGACGCGGCGAATCTCCGGCTCGGCCGACACGCCGATGCGCTTTGCCTTCATGTCGCCGAAGGAGCGGGTGTTGGCGAGGCCGATCATGCGCTCCTCGCCGAAGGAGTCGGTGACGAAGGTGGCGGCGTAGCGACGGAGGCGGGTGGCTTCGACGGGGTCGGAGGGGTGGTGGTTGGAGGTGAGGGGGACGGGGAGGCCCGTGGCGGTGGCGCAGAGGAGGATGCGGGTGTCGCCGACGTGGGAGGTGATGAGGGTGGAGGGGGAGGACGGGTGCCAGAAGGGGGTGGGGCTGGGGGTGGAGATGAGGGCGATGCTGCTGGTGGAGCCGCCTTGGAAGGTTTTAGGGCCGCCGATGGGTTCGGAGGTGCGGGAGGGTTTGTCGATGATGTCGTGTTCGTTGAGGGCGCGGTCAGAGAGGACGGAGTCGGCGTCTTCTTTGTTGGCTTGCGCAGAGATGAAGTCGTAGTCGGCTTTTAAGAAGGCGTATTCGAGGACCGTTTCGATTCCGATGCCCTCGCCTGCGGTGGCCGGTCGGGAATTTCCCATGGGCTGTCGAGCGGTCTCGCCCTCGAGGACATAGCCTTTGCCGCCGGCGTTGATGGAGAAGTATTCGGGTTTGAAGCGGCGGTAGTAACCGCCAACGAGCTGTTTGTAGGAACTAACGAGTTCTTTCTCAAGCTCTTCGGCTTTGCCTAAGGCGTCGGACTGCTCCACGGCAGCCGTCTCATCTCCTGCCTTTACATCTCTCGACTCCTGTATTTCCTCCACTTTCACCGACCCGTATCCCGCTCCTTTCCCGGAATCCCCGCCGATGCCCGTAATCGCCGGCCCCTTCTTCAAACTACTCTCCAACCCAAACTCCCTCCCCGCCTCCTCCACATACAAGTGCAACCGCTCCTGCAAAAACTTACTACACTCCGCCCCGCCATGCCCATCAAACACCCCAAAATAAAACACCTGCGGATCCCCACTCGCACTATCCGCACTCGTCCCCTGGCCCGCAATCTCCGCCCTCGCGCTCCGCGTCAGGGAAATCGGCCGCCGCTTCGCGAACGCGGGGATCTCGATCGTGCCCTCTTGATGGGCGTCTTCGTTGTATGGTCGGGAGCCGCGCGACACGGCGGCGCCGAAGTGGTGCTTCGCGCTCTTCAGGGGGATGCGCACGACAGTCATTTCGCGGGAGGCGCCGATGTTGGAGGGGGCGGCGGCGGGGGGGTGGCGGTCATCGTGCTTGTCGTGGGGGGTCGATTTGTCACGGGGGAGTTTGTGGTGGGGGATGCGGCCGTCCGGGTGCATGGAGGAAGAGGGGAGGTTGGTGACGAAGTAGTCGTGGTAGCATCGTGAGTGGCGGAGGGCGGAGGTGGTGGTCGGGAGTATGGGGGGGGTTATTGCTGGGGATATGGAATAACATCGCGGGAGGGATGAGGATCGGAATGCGGGGAGTTGGGAGGGAATGCGTGGGTGAAGAGTGGGAGGACGCATAATCGAGGTTTGATGGACCGCAACATTGTGGGACAAATGTGGTCACATCATTGTCGGTGAGGATGTTGGTATACACCTCGCAATTCGCAAACCATTCATCCACAGCAACACAAAGGGAGTTGGATATCCAAGATTGGTGAATGACGAGGAAGAATTATTGAGACGTTGAGTTGCAGAAGCTTCGGGAATAGCGGACTGGCTCCGCCGCATCGGCAATAATTACGGACAGAGGGGGGAAGACAAGCTCCGCAAGTCCGCATGATTTAATTTAATGCAATTTAATTTATTTGCAGAGCCTCAATGTGCCTCGTGCATAATGACATCTACGATCTGCATCTCAAGGAATCGGTTTGGCAATGGACTACATGTCACAAGTATTGTTGAGAGGATGACAGGGCAATATTATCCCCCATTCGCTCTCTTCCAACTCCTCAAGGCCTCAACTCACTTCTTCATGCGCAGCTTCGGCGATAGTACGGACATTTCTCTGGAGGATTCGAGGTCGGATCGACTTGCCTAATGCAGCGAGACAACATCCACTTCTCCTGTCTGTGTGAACAATGATGTGATGAGATGGCTTATCATGCAGCATCAGCGCATCACGGCTATCAAAGGCTGGAGTCGCCTCTAAACAAAACCAAGACTTGTTGAACCCTTCGAATTGTTCCACTTGATTGGATTATGTGATCGATATGGGGTTCAAGTTGGGGACACCAATGCCTTATTGCCGAACCCCGCCTCCACTCCGTCGTGATATCCATTTCTTTTTAGTTCGATGTCTTTAGCCTGCCATTCCCTCTTCTCCAGCTTTTCTCTCCGCATACCGGTGCACTTCTGTCGAAGAGAAGAGATCGACTCAACTTTGTGTTTCATTCATCGAACCCAAGTCTTTCATATCCCCTAAGGCGTTTCCTCCAGCTCTACCATCTTTCATCTGTCCTCAAGGTGCTGTACCTGTACGCTGTAAGGAAAACATACCGGCCGATATCGCCACCATGACCGGGACAAATGGAACAAACGGGACGAATGGGACGAACGGAACCCGCCAGTTGCCCTTCGAAGTGCGTTATCCCATCTCAATAATGCAGGTATTGCCAGGCTTCAGATATAGCTGACAGCATGGAATCAACAGCTCAAGAGCCAAGCATTGTTCAAAGACCAGGCATATGTCAACGGAGAATGGGTCGAAGCAAAGTCCGGGGCTCGATTTGAAATCGTCGGTACGCTCCATCCCCCTCCATCCCGATGGCCTCCCTACCTCTTTTCCGGCCAGCTTCTCACCATCTCACAGACCCGGGCACCGGCAAGGTCTGGGCCACCGCCCCCAACATGGCCGCCGAAGACGTCGACGCCACCGTCCAATCCGCCCACCAAGCCTTCCTCACCTACCGCAAAGTTAACCCCCGCGAACGCGCCCAGAAGCTCATGAAATGGGACACCCTGATCCGCGAAGCAAGGGACGACCTCGCGCGCATCCTCGTCCACGAGACTGGGAAGCCGCTCGCTGAGGCTTACGGCGAGATCGACTATGCAGTTGGATTTACCTGGTGGTTTGCGGGGGAGGCGGAGCGCGTGCGCGGGACGGTCGCGACGCCGGCGGCGCCGGGGAGGAGGGTGTTTACGGTTAAGCAGCCGATTGGCGTGGCGGCGGCGTTGGTGCCGTGGAATTTCCCATTCGCGTGAGTGAGGTTCGAGTCGGGTCGAGATGACTTGCTAACAGGCTCAGCATGATTCTTCGGAAGTGCGGAGCGGCTTTGGCCGCCGGATGTCCGATGATCATCAAGCCGTCTCCGGAGACGCCACTCAGCGTGCTGACGCTCGTCCACCTTGCCGAGAAGGCTGGCTTCGAGAAGGGCCTCCTGAGTGTGTTGACGACCGATCTTGAAAACACCCCGGCCCTCAGCGAGGCGCTCTGCAAGCACCCCCTCGTCAAGAAAGTCACCTTCACCGGCTCCACGCGCATCGGCAAGCTCATCGCTGCGCACTGCGCCGAGGGCCTCAAGAAGGTCACCCTCGAGCTCGGCGGCAACTGCCCCGTCCTGATCTTCGACGACGCCGACCTCTCCGCCGCATGCGCGCAAATCGCCGCCCTCAAGTTCCGCCATGCCGGGCAAGCCTGCATCACCGCGAACCGCGTCTACGTGCAGCGCGGCGTGTATGATAAGTTCACCACGATGGTGGCGGACTACAGCCGCGGGCTGAAGGTCGGGCATGGGATGACGGAGGGGACGACGATGGGGCCGTTGACGACACCCAGGGGGGTGGATAAGGCGGAGGCGCAGGTGGAGGACGCGAGGAAGCTGGGTGCGCGCATCGTGACGGGTGGGAAGCGGGTTAAGATCGATGGGGGGTATTTCTTCGAGCCGACGGTCATCTTGGACGCGACGCAGGAGATGCAGATTGCGCAGGAGGAGAGCTTCGCGCCGTTGTGTGCGATATTCCCGTTCGACACCGAGGAGGAGGCGGTGGAGCTGGCGAACGCGACGAGCGTACGTACCTTCCATCTTTCCCCTTTTACTGCTTCCGCCAGTGATCCGCGTTGTTTCACCAGCGTGGGAACATGGACTGGGATAGTCGACTGACATGCATGCAATCTAGATGGGCCTCGCGTCGTACTTCTTCACAAAGAACATCGACCGCACGTGGCGGCTGCTAGAAAACCTTGAGGCAGGGATGATCGGGATGAACACCGGAAACAGCTCGGCTGCCGAGAGTCCGTTTGGCGGGATTAAGGAGTCGGGATACGGGAAGGAGTCGGGCATGGGGGTTGCGGTGGACGAGTACATGATCACCAAAACGGGCACGTTGACGCTTGACGGACATTATTGAGTGTACCGGTAGATGGATTGTCGTCGAACGTGGTTATTTACTCTAGATTTAGAAATTGAGTTGCGCAATGCGACCGGAGTACTGGTAAACGGGATATAGATATCAGACCTCTTCAACATCTACGTCGATGAAACAGCATCCATTCGTGGAGCGTTGGGGTGTGACTGCTGATCCATACTCGCCATGACATCTTAGCACTTGGCAACTGTTCCTGAATTCGATCTCGCGATCCATATCCACGGCCTCGTATCCGAGTAGTATAAATGAACCTCCTCCCCACTGGACGGTCCACAAGGACTGGGTGGTCTCCCCTCGTGCGAGCGTCCTACAATCTCGGTGACCGCTAAAGATAGCTCCTCTTTCTTCGGAAACCGGAATGGTACCGTTGACCGTTCATCTCCCCTGGTTCCCGAGTGAATGATTGGTAGCCCAACTCCGCCCATGGACGGAATGCCGTGCATGAATCTGACGATCGCAAAGTCGTAGCGCGGGGAGATCCTTGATGCTAACTACGGAATTGAAGGCGGAGTTGGAGATGTGGCTGGAATGTGGCTCAACACGCCCAACTGACCAATGAGATTCTCGGGAGTTGCATTCTCCCCGACGGAGCAGAATCCCTCCGACTCCTCACGTCGAATTCCTCCGGCTGGCACAGACGTAGAGTAACCATACAAGCTTTCGTGAACGCCGGATTGTTCAACCGTCCGCAGGCGGAATGTCTGCCCTACAACCTCCTCCCATGTCATTCTCCGATGACTGACGCCCCACTAAAAAGTATTGTAGATTCAACGTGCATTGCCGACGCGGACTATCTGGCATTATATTGGAAAATGAAGCTGAGAAAATGATGCCGACTGAGCCATGATGTGTGCGACTCCGCATTTGAAACGGTCGGAAGGAGCCATGATCGTCATGCGGAAGTTGGTTTTCGGCGGCACAGTAAGGAGCGACGCGACAACTGTGCCGCCGCTGTGCACCGGTATGAAGGGACATGGGCGATTGAGATTGGCATATAAGATGCGTGATGGACGCCGATGGATGAAGTTCCTGGATTCAGATTCACTCATAAACTCCTTAATTCACTCTAGCATTTCATCCAACACCTGGACTGGAAGTCAAACGGACATCACGGAACCAACACATCCTCTCTTCAACTTCAAGTCTTTTATATTTCGCTCCGGTTTGGTTCTCCAGTTACGTCTCGTCACCAACATCAGCACCTACACCGCATTCCTCGCCGCTCTCGACTTCGCCATCTTCTGAAGTTCATCGCCAACACGACCACTTAATCATCAACCCTCCACAGCCATCATAATGTCTACTCCTCGTTTGGCCATCTTCGGCGCCACTGGCGGCTGTGCCAACGGCACTCTCGCCCTCGCTCTCAAGGAAGGCTACATCTGTACCGCACGTATGTCCATCCCAACCCTCCTCCCCAAACTCTCACTAACCTCTTCCAGTCGTCCGCAACCCCACCAAGCTTAACACGATCCTCTTCGAAAATCACCAAATCGACGCCGCCACCTACATCGCTAGCGGCGCCCTCACCGTCGTCGAAGGCAGCATCTCCAAGCAAGAGGACATCCTCTCCACCATCCGCAACGGCAACTCCCCGCCCGCCGACCACATCGTCTTCGGCCTCGGCGGTGCCCCCTCCCTGCAATGGTCCATCATCACCCCCGTGACCATGCACCACCCGACCATCTGCGAGGACGCCACCAAGGCCATCCTCGCCGCCATCGCCACCGTCCGCGGCACCACCCCGTCCTACCGCCCCGTGCTGTCCTGGATCTCGACCACCGGCACCAGCTCCCGCCGCGACGTGCCGATGCTGATCTACCACCTGTACCACTGGATGCTACAGGTGCCGCACGCCGACAAGCGGAAGATGGAGGCGCTGATCTTCGACAACCAGCCCACCGAGGGGAAGGGGCACGCATATGAGTTTGTGATCATCCGCCCGACGCTGCTGACGGATGGGAATTATAAGGGGTTGGACAAAGTGAATGTCGGGTGGGAGAATCCCGATCAGACCGGCGACGGGCCAGCAATGGGGTATTCGATTAGCAGGAAGGATGTGGGGCAGTGGATCTTTGAGACGATCGTGAAGGATGGGAAGAAAGGGCAGTATAACAACAAGTGTGTCACGCTCACTTATTGAGCGGTCAATTTGGGTTTGGGAGTTCACATTGATGAAAGGCGTCACGCGAGTGTGGGCTATGGATGAGACTCATGGCTACGGATTGGGAATACACTTTTTCCCACTGAGATTTCCTTTGTTATCATGGGCAATAGATTACGCTGGCATCTCGAGCGGAGGGCATCAACGAGCGCTCGGAGTTGATTCGAAGGGATTAATCATTCAGCCGGACAGTTTTTTCTCTAAATTTTCCAAATTACACATTCACCGTTTTAAATTTACCCCTTTGCAATTCTCACGAGATCGGATAATGTGGCCTCGGTAACGCGTATCGATTGAAGACCATCCTACTATCTTTGTGCTCGTGGAGAACGGCTGCTTAACGAACGCCGTGCGACATTTATCTGTACTATGTACGGCATTGTGGAAGCTGAGACAGCAGCATGCTCATGCATGTTTCCGGTTTGTATTCAGTTATTTAAATACAGACCCATCTAGCCCTTCATGACCCGAAGACATCTGTAGTGTACCTTGCGGCATCAGTACGTGATGTGGTGCACCATATCCCATGCTGGTTTCCTACAAGCAACAGCCATGGCATCCTCGGGTCCAACTATATCGATTCCCCGTACTCCATAAATCATCGTTCACGTGCAGATAGAGGTAAGCAGATTAATCGTAGATTCGAAGTATTAAGTAGCCAATATGTCGAAGAGATTCACAAGAAGAGAATCCAGTCTAGGTACAGAAGATACAGGTATCTACCCCCGAAGCCTCCGGACTCCACTATGCTGTACCTTGACGTTCAGATGACAAGTATCCAAACGAGCCTGTAAATGCGAGCAGATGTGCGTTAGCCGACCCGTTTCCTCTCCAATGCATATGTTCCGGAAATCAAGAGATCCAAGGACTATAAGAACGTATATAGTATGGCCAACAGACCAAGCAGGGCGCCCAAACCTCCAGTTCGCACCGCAGCGGCGCCCGACTCCTCACCCGCTTCCCCCGACGGGTTCTCGGTGCCGACCGTCTGGCTCCCGCCATCGCGTTTCGTGAGGTTCATGTTATACCCGTTGACGGCGAAGGTCACTTTGCCCGTGGAATAGAAGGCCTCCTGGCCGAATTCGACGAGGCCGAGGTTCAGGGAGGGGTCGATGAGATCGTTGTCGATGAGGAATTGGAGGAGGGGGTAGAAGTCCGTGTCGAAGGATGTGGTGTTAATAGGAGGGAACCAGGTGAAGGAGGTGGTGCCGCGTTGGTTGGTGCCGCGGTAGAGAGTGCTGGTGAAGGTTAGTTCTAGACTTGTAGATGCCGTTGCGGGCTCCAGCAGAATTGAGGAACCGATGTAGTGTAAAGAAAATGTAGCAGGGTAGGCGTAGATGAAGAAGTTAAGGAAGGCACGGTGAGGGAACATACTATTTCGCATCCTCCAATTGAAAGTTCCACGTCGGCTCGTTCCATCCCAGCGGATACGGCTGCCCAATAGTACCCAGCCAAATCAAGATCTCATATTTGGCCAGGGTCTCGTTCTGGGACTTGGCCGGATCCGCGTCCACGAACATATCGATCGCGACGTTGGCGGTGACGCTGTTGGCTACCAAGCCGGCGGCATCGAAGGAGGAGTCCAGGGCGGCGACATCCCCGGCCACGAAGCTCCAGTTACCCGACAGCTTCAGCCCCGAGATATTCGCCAGCGGGGTCGGTAGCGCGTCCGAGTTGAATTTGACATGCGGGAAGGAATGCACCGTGCCACGATCGGTCTCCCATTGCCAGTTCACTTCGAAGGCGGACCCTTCGTTGGTAACCTATGATCGCGAGATAGGTGTTAATGGAGATCCACAGCAGGCGGGAAGGGGGACGGAGCTTGTAGTTCCCTTCTTCTGTAGATCGGTAAATCTGCGAAAATAGGTGATAGACTCGGTCGGAGGTGGTACCGTACCTTCATGCATTGCTCGCCGTGCTCCGTAGGATTCCAAACATTGGTTACAACTATTACAAGGATAACATTCAGCACATGTCCTTATTCAAGTTCTGGGCGGACGAAAAGGTCGAGCGGCAGGGAGAAGAGCGCGTTTCCGTACTTGTGTAGCCATTGCCAGGGCTGCTGTAGAAGTCATTCAGCCCACAAGAGAGTTGATCAACTTTGACCTGAGCAGCGTGCGCCGGAGTCGACACCAGAGCAATCGACGCCGTCGTCCATATTAGGTCCGATAGACGTGGTGTTCTCAATCGAAATATAACCATGACTACGGAGTCTCGGTCTATGTCGCTAGAGCAACTTCTCTCGTTGGAACACGACGCTGCTATGTAGGTGTCGAGCACTTTCTCCACAAAAGGGGAAAGTGGTGCAAACTTCTAGGCCCAGTCGATGGTTTCAACTGATTCGGAGGAGCGGACGTACACTGTCTCGGGCGAACTAGGGAATGACGAAAGACTGTCCTACAGAACGACACGTACGTGGCTTTGGGGTGGTACGAAGAAGAACAGAAGCATGGAGAAGTTCAGTTGGGGTCGCGGGGAGCGCGCGAAGCGGTGGAGTGGTTGAGCCCCTACCACTGATGCCACGACCTGACGACCAAATTGATGGTGATGGCGCTCCTTGGACCGCCGTTCCATACTCTGCCGTTTCATTTCCGGATTGGTCGATTCCCATGTGGGTTGCGTTCTTCATTTTACGATTGGCCCAGCCCGAAACTGCGCGCCAATCATAGCCGAAGACAGGCAATGCGCAAACCTTATTGATTTTCGGCACAGCTCCGGCTGTGTACCCAGCAACGAGTCTCCGATAGATAGTAAGCTCACGGTAGGGCTTAATAAGATTCTCAGGAAGGAAAAAATCATCGTTCTCCGCGTACAAAGGACGTCTGTTGTCTTGCCCATCCTCGAGCTATCGAGTATCGATCTGGTAGGTTTGTTAGCGATCCTGTGTACTCATCGTGGATCAGCATATCAGATAACGGAACGCCACACGCAGCCACCGATGGACTCGGACCGCGTCGCTGTCGTGTGAGAGCGTTGATGTGGCCCATGAGGAATTCATTTTTCATGCAAGGAGCCAATGGGGTAAGAACAGATTGGAGGAACACACGAGAAATGGCTCCATGGTAATTCGTTTCGCCCTCCTCACGTTGCAGTCGATGGAATATCCATAACTAACAATAAGCTCTGTTCCTAAGATTAGAATCCTCGATCGCCGCGTCCTTTACTTACCGTCTACGGACTAGGTAGTGGATAGGTGCTGACTCCCTGTGGCGGTTTGACCGGGGTTCCATGGTTGGGCTGGTGGGGTGGCCATTCGATTAATTCGAGGTACTCCGTCCAGAGTCCAGAGCCCAGACTCCAGTCCAGACGGACGAGAGAAACTATCGAATCCTGCACACCGTTAGCGAACCAGCTGCAACTCTCCGTCCGATGTGAAATCCCGATGCCGCGTAATGGGCTTAAAACGATAAGGACTCAAAGAAACAGGAACAGCGAACAACTTTGGTGGTTGGGATGCGGCGCGCGCGGGGGGTTGCAGTGATGGGCATCTGTGGTTGTATTTGGTGTCTTGGCAGACCAGGATACGTTTCTTGTTTGAGCTTACACACCCATGCTTTTCATATGTCGTGTGACAATCTCTTGGTAAAGACAGTCCTGTAACTTTGATGAGAAGTGACGAAGCATTTTAGTGCTGAAAGTTCCGTCGCTTCCATAGGGCACTGCGTCATACTGCCGAGAATAGCGGCTCCACCCCCTTTCGAGGATCCTCGAGGAACATGTCGGAGATAGCGTTATTTTGTCCTTCAGAGATATTGTATCTTTGGAGGCAAGGTAAACAGAATCGGTAGGTTTGGAACCGGGGACGAAACTGTCCTTGGGAAGTCCACGTAGTGTACCGTGATTGAAAGTAGAATTCTTTTGCAGCCACTGTGGTTGGAAGCTCTCCAAAGCTTGTTCCGTACCCCTGTTTCTAGTCCACGATAAGACTTGCTTGAAAATGTGGTCGTTGGCGAAGACTCCTTCCGCGTCCACTACACCGTAATGTTCCACTTCCTCGTGTCATTAAGAGTTACCAATTATTTGCATTAAAGCACCTCCGTATCCGTAAGCAAAGCGATAATCGTGTATCCGGATAGCCCCATATGTAATGCAGCTATATTCTGAAGCCGGTACCAAGTGCAGGCGGACTGTTCCTGGTGGCTGGAAAGCGGGTGGGATACGACGGGGGGACATCTGCAAACTGCATGGCTTGCCGATGCACTGGAGTCTCCGCAAGCGGCAAATCGTTCATCTTTAATCCTAGGGTGTCGTCCCGTCTTCTGTGCTCGAATTCCTATTTACTATTTTTTGAATTTTCAGCCTTCTCTCGTTACCGACCACCTCTTGTTGTACCTGCTGGCTGGGAGTAGGAGAAGAGGAATTGCCGATTCCCTTCGTGCCATTCGTTTTGGAAGGATTTGAGTTGAAGATTCATGTGCTGAATTCGATAATTGTCCCTTCGCTTTCCCCAGAATAACCCAATGGGTCTCCTCAAGAAGAAAAGAGGATCCAATGGGCAACCCCATCCCCAAGCTGAGGTTCGGTCGAGCGATTCAGCTTCAGAGTCGCAGCCAGTGATGACGCAAGAGGCTCTGGATTTAAACATCAGTCAAGCGGAGTTTGCAACTGGCGGTCCATTCCAAAATTACGACTGGGAATTCCGTGATAGTTCTCGAGATTCGATCGGTACAGGATCCGCAGCAGGGTGGTCAAGAAGTGTAAGAACAGATCAACTCGACGCAAGGGATGTAGATTAACGCTGGACAGACCACGAGACCACACTCGTACGGTCAAGATATTGACGTGATAGTAAGTAACGCATATCCATCGTCAAGTTGTCATCGCTCACCTTGACGTAGACACCGGTGCAGCCTGCTGCAAATCCAACGGGACTTCGACATGCGTCCACTCTGGTCAGCGAATTGCCAAGTGCTGCCATGAGCGGCGCTACACTTGCTGGTGATCCTGAGAAGGGCGATGCTATTGTCACAAGGGGTATCGTTCCATCCAGCTCGGGCTCGTCAACAGACGAGAAGAAGGAGGCGAAGACCGATGTGAAATCAGAGCATAATAACCTTGACAACATCCCACCGAAGAAACCTGGAATTTTCCGCCGAATCTACCTTACCTTCCGGAGAACATACTGCCCCCTCGAAGATCCACCGTTAGTCCTCCCATCCGGACCGACAGACGAGGAGAAATACTTCTATATCCATACGAATCGAATCCCGCTATACATACTCGGGGTCCTTGCGTTTTTGAGTCTGTCTGCCGGAATGTGGCTGTTCGCGCTTTGCTCCGTCATTTTCAGTTGGTTTGGGTTTTTCGTCGGCCTCTTGCAGATATACCTCCTTATCTCGTACTTTGTCGGCGTCATTGGAAAGGACTTCGATCTCGCCTCACACGACAGCTTGTTGGAAGAGTTTCCAGTAAATGAGAAGACCGCGCCGACGGTGGATATTTACTTGCCGTGCTGCAAGGAGCCTTTGGAGATCTTGGAGAACACATACAACCATATTTCCAAGCTCGAGTATCCGAAAGGGAAGCTTCAGGTACATGTGATGGATGATGGAAATATGGAGGAGGTGCGGCTGCTTGCAGAAAGGTATGGATTCCATTACTCGGTTCGCGACGATCGACCGCGCTTGAAGAAGGCTGGAAACCTCCGATGGACCTTTGCGAGAACAAGCGCCGATTTTTTTGCTATTTTCGATGCCGATTTCTGTCCCCGATCCGATTTTCTATTGGAGTTGATGCCGGAGCATTTAGCGGATAACAAGACGGCAATTGTGCAGACTCCTCAATTCTTCCGAGTCCGAGAGGATCAGACTTGGGTGGAGCAAGGAGCGGGGGCGACGCAGGAACTCTTCTACCGAGTTGTGCAGGTGAACAGGAACAAATGGGGTGCCTCGATCTGTGTTGGCAGCAACGCGATGTATAGACGGGAGGCCCTGGAACCGGTTGGTGGAACGGCAGAGATCGGTTTCTCTGAGGATGTGCATACCGGGTTCGGCGCAGTTGACCGGGGTTGGAAGGTCAAATACATACCCATTTGCCTGGCGACCGGCGTTTGTCCAGACAATCCCCGAGCATTCTTCTCGCAGCAGATGCGTTGGGCTCGTGGTTCGACAACGCTGTTGACGAACCCACATTTCTGGACGTCGAACCTGTCACTCATGCAGAAAGTCTGCTACCTGTGTGGTAAGTCAGATCCTTATTGCCTCATCACCATTCGCACGTGCTTACCCGAAAGACAGGTCTAATGTACTACTCCGCCATATCTCTCTCCATCTTCATCTCTCCAATTCCCGGTATCCTCCTCCTCTGGCTCCGTCCCGAGTACTTCAAATACTACAACCTCGCCTTCGCCATCCCCTCGATTGTCTACGGCCTCCTTCTATTCCGCTTCTGGGCCAAAGCCAAATATGGCATGAATGTCCAACATATCATGGTCATCCAGTCGTACGCGTATTTAACCGCCATCAAAGATCGACTTCTGGGGATCAACCTGCACTGGGTGCCGTCCGGAGATGCGAAGGCCCATAAGAACCACAAATACCGCAACATGCGGATACTCTGCTGGACATGGACCTTCTTTACTCTTGGTGGTATGATTTCGGCGGTCGTATGGCGGCTGACGCATGATCTTCCATGGTATCATACCCTACCATTGATCATTCTCAGTGTGTACAACACGTATCTTGCACATTACTTTCTCTTATATTGTGGTTGACCGGGGGAAATTGGAAATGACTTGGGGACTTAGACAAGTAATGAAGCGATTTAATATTGCATGACTATGGAAACAAGGAAAGGGAAATAGACTGAGATGATAATAGACTAATAGGTCGAATCTTGGTTCCAGCTAGGTACATGGAATAAGAAGGGATTGAAGATTTGACTGTTACATCACTTCGCAGGTGATGTTGAAGTCGGCTCCAGCAGGCAGGTTGCTTGAAAACGGCCAACCGGTACAATGTTCAGCGCAGTCAGAAAAAGTGAAACTTGCCTTACGTTTTCTCTTGTCGACATCGCGTTCTTTGCGGAATATTCGCAGTTCTTCACGAGGAATTGGTGAGGTTCCGGTGGTTGATAACTGCAGCGTACGACTGTAGAAACACGTGGTTTGGCGATTCCCGCAGGCCAAAGACGCGTCCCCGACGCGTCCCCAGCAGGCGGACCACCCACGACCCAACACCCGCAACGGAGTGGGAGAACAAAATGGACGGA